TGATTGGTCAACTATACCGGTCTTGTGCTTGCGTTTTTCTGATTGGCCTATTTCGATCCACAACTGGGTATATACTTTTCCATCTTGTTTTTTCGGAACCTATTCTGACGTTTTATGCTCTGAGGAGTGTCAGACAAAAAAGCTTTTAGTATGTTGTAAAATGTTTGCTTTTTTCAAAGCCATTTTCAAATTCTGTACCGCAAAAAAATTGTTCACATTTTTCAAGCATATGTACACTAAACAGGAGATTGAGGATCTCAACCAACTGGTGAAGTTAAGAGGTAAGCTGAGGATGGCCAGGTTCTCTTTATCATTTCTCAATTTATGTTTGACTAACCGAGTTGTGCCAAAATTTATCACCGCTCGTATTTCCAAGTCTGGATTTAGACAAAGTCCAACCATTGAGCGCGTTTTTCTCCAAGATGAGATTCAGAAAAGAAAAACCAATGTTTTGAACTTAAAATGCCTGTATACACGCCAATTGTCTAAAACGCGTCCATTTCTTTCATTCCTTGACAATTTTCGAATTTGCCGCTACATTTCTGAAATTGACCAGCGGACACTAAAACATACCACGGAAAAACACAATAGGAATATTGGCTTGCTAGTAAGGAAACGTTTCGGTGGCATGTTGAGCGACACCAAAAAACATATTTTTAATTTCTCGGATTATTCTCTCTCTGATACTGAAACATTTGTCTTAGGTAATGGACTTGAATTTTGTATCCCACCCCTAACAATCAACAGAGAGGAACTCTTTGCTGAATTCGAAATTTTACACGCTCAACTTGCCAAGCACGAGATTTCTAACCCTTTGGAGTTTAACAAATTACGAGCACGACTAAGCGATTTGGCGTACGCTTACAGCGGCTCTCCCATCGACCACTCAGATTTTCTTTTGCATAGAGAACATTTCCTAGCACTAAAATCTCTACGGGCTAACAATGACATCTTTATTACAAAACCTGATAAAGGGTCTGGAGTGGTAATTTTAAACAAAAAGGACTACATCAATAAAATGGAGGTAATTCTCCACGACAAAGAAAAATTTGCTAAATTGGGTGATGTCGAAACACATGACAAAACGGCCAAACTAGAGCGGAAACTCCAAAAACGTTTGTTGGAACTGGTCAACTCAAAAATGTTGGCTACAGAAATTTATGATAGGATAAGACCCACGGGCTCTCAACGACCACAAATGTATGGCCTCCCTAAAATACACAAGCCGAACGTCCCACTTAAACTAATTGTGAAGCTATAGGGATTACTGACAGAGGAACTGTCCTTCCAACAAGTAAAAATTTCTTTAAACGTTCATTAAAGCGTTCAACATGAAATCGTGCCTTGGCTATCCTTCTTGTGGCCATCTCTTCCTCCTTTGTCAGCTTGTCCCTTTTGCCTAAAAATGCTTGTATCTTTATCGTTGCTTGTTTTGCATAAAGAAGCTCCTGAATGGTGAAACCTTTGTCAACTAACAGCACATCTCCAGGTTCTATGTGGTCTAGGATGCCACACTGGCTTGTTATTGAGACATCATCAATACTGCCCTTATAAAGGTCAGAAATAAAGCATGCAGACCCATTTGGTGTCACTGCTATTAAAGCCTTAAATGTAGCATGGTGTTTATATGAAAAATAAACATTGCCTTGATGTGCATAGACCCTTGGAGTCTGACAAAAAAACTCTGTGCAGTCAATAGAACACCTCACATTGCTAAAAGGCTTGAAAACCTTTGGTAAAAATGGCTTCAGATCTTCTTTACTTGGAAACATTGGGTACTTAATTTCTTTGAAATGTAAATGAATAAATTGTATCCATGTAATGAAGATACTACTAATCAAAGACACTGAGACATCATACATGTAGGCTATTGTTTGATAGGTGAATCCTCTTCTTAATTTCAGCAGAGTAATGAATAGTTCTTCCCTCAAAGTAAACACTTTTTTGCATCCCATTTTATTGCTTGTGCTTTTAGAAGGCTCCTTACTTGTTTTACTCTTGTCGCCCTTCCAATAGACGAGCTCAAATTTTGCTGGGCCAAGAAAATTGTATAAAGCATCAAATTACAGAGGAAAGAGTCCTGTGAAAAATTTTTCTTTGTTCTTGTCAGTGAGTATTGACTCTGGCAACATTGAATTTTTGGGGTACATATTTATCCTTGTCAACGTTGTCTACTTTGACACGATTTCGTATCAGCATGGTTTCAATTTTGGCACCTAGAATATAGTTATCATACACTGTTTGTGTTGCCTTTTCTTGATTTCTTTCTTTTACACCATCATTCAACACACCTGAAGGTCCTGGTAATTCAGCAGCTTTTTCGTCATCCCGAATATTATCATTCTTGTCATCAAATGCTATCCCCAACTGAGATTTTTTTTCTAATTTTTTCATTTAGGCCATCAGAACAGCGATCCTTAGCAGGCTTTCTTTTTCTTTTCAATCTTGCCTCTGCTTCTTTATCCGTCAGAGAGGCAAAGAGAGGTTCAGGATGCTCATCTGTTGGTCCAGAACTTTCTGCAAAATGCAACAAACAAATATAAGTATCTTTTGTTATTTGCTCTGGTCTTGAAAAGTCTTTCCTCCCACATAAATATTGCCATCTTCGGGCCTTTTCCGTTTTAAGCTTCGCTTGACTTTTCTCCCATTCTGTAGAGTCCTGGCGAATCTTGCCTGGCTTGGGAAACGGGAAGAATGTCGTACCTTCCGGTATTCGATCGGGGTACCTTGAATCAGAGGTACATGTTCCCCAGCAGCAATGTTTCGTTGCACCTCTCTTTGCCATCTCAATTATTGTGATCACAGCACAGCACCGTTCGTGAATCGTGATGTTTGTCCGACTTTCGATCCCGCGATACTTTGCGGCAAACCGAAGTGTTCTATTTTTATCTCACGAAGAAAGCGCTATTAACTATAAATTATGGGTTAATATCGGTTAATAGTCTACACGTTGCGTTTTGCTTTAGACTTTGCTATATAGTACGTACATTCAATTGGTTTTCGATTTTTGTATGCGAAGAATTAGTTGATAACTTGTGAAAGCTTAGGATGCATTTGTGCATAGGATGAATTCACAGATGCTACCTGATATCCTACAGTCCGGTAAATGCAGTCAAATTCCCAGCAAGAGAGTCAGTTGCTGAAAACAAAAAATACAATGCCTCCGTCGAGAGAGAAAAGAAAATGATGGCTTTAAGATTGATAACATTCGAGTTTACCCATGAGATACAAGCAGATGTACTGAAAAACATTCTTTATTGTCCTCGCTGCTTTGCAGAACTGATAATGAGTGGCATCAATGACTAATTCTCTTTATTTGAGAATATACAAGTCATCACGAGTTATTCCGACGAGTTATCATTTCTAATAGTGGTTTTATATGGGAATGTCACGAGTTACCATGACTTTTCAATTAAATAAATATATATCATATTTTATAAAAAAGGTGGTAACTCGTTGGTATCTCGAATATAGTCATTCTGAGCTCTGCAAATGTAGAATGTAACCCGTAAGGTAACTAGTTGGTGACTCGTGGTAACTCGTAATCATTTTCCCAGTTCGGCACAAAAGGCTCCTGTTATCAATATTATACAGAAGCGCATGCGCAGAAATGGATTTGTTGTAAAAAATTCAAAATGGCAAGTTTTGATTTGTTAAACAATCACCTTAACCCTCTCCCCGATTTTGAAAATCTTTTAACCCCCAACAATAGACATCTAACAAACCTGCCAACAACTTTTGATGCTACCCGAGAGTACATTGGCCCTTTAATAACCATTATTCGACTTTTTAATATTTTGTTGGTTCTAATTTACCATTATCTTAATAGTAAAAATTTTCTCTATTTAATCCCTATTCAGATGGAGATGGTATGCTGTGGAGGTGGTTGACAGTAGTTACGAATTTGATTCCTGCATGACCTCATGTGCTTGCTGAAAATAAAATTCTTCATGGTTGAACCCACCTTTGTTAGATTGGTCCTATTTTCGGTTGCAAAAAATGATACTTCTGTATAATATTTGCAAATTTTATCTGTATACCTCCTCCCTTTTCGCTCCACATTAGAAAATCCTGGCGTATCAACATTGACTGTGGGGAATGGGGAGCGTATTTTTTCAAAAAGACTACATTTTGCCAGCCAGTCAAATAACTTTTGGCCAGGATTGTAGCTGTGAGGCACGTTTGTTGTCATATTCTTGAATTCTGATTGGTCAATGTGGTATGGAGCAGTTAGGTCGCTCAGCCAATCAAAGATTTGGAACCTATGCTGGCAAAGCCCGATCGACGCTCCATTTAGCAGTTTTGGAATCTATCTACATAAACATGAAAAAGCCAATTTTGTGTAGACAGAAGGAGTTCGTTTTCACCTTTGGACCCCATTGGTGACACTTACAATTGGGCAACCTCAACAGCTTTGTGCTCGCGTTTCTGATTGGGCTATTTCGACCCAGAACTGAGTACACATATTGCCTGGAGTTTAGTTTTTGATCTATGTTCTGACATTTTATACTCCAAGAGTGTCAGACGAAAAGCTTTAGTAGGACTCAAAATGTTTGCTTTTTTCAAAGCCATTTTTAAATTTTGTGCCACCAAAAGGTTGTTTTGCTAGCTTTTCTTCTTTTCACATTACTTACGACATATTTGGAATACGCAAGAACTATAGGATAGATCGTACAAATTTCCTAAAAATAGACGAATATGAAACTTTGCTTAGACATGTTACACGGCACGATATTATGGATTTCGTGTTTCACATAACAAATTACAAATATGACCGCATTTGTTCCTCAATTTTCATCAAAATAGAGGAATATTTTAGGAGAAATATCTCCTAAGTTACTTATTATCCAAAGCATTTTTTAATTTTTGGAAATAGCGCACCTGTGAACTGTGCTGAACTTTGACATGTTGGGCCTGGAATGACTCACCTAAAACTTCAGAGAATATATTTACTGTGAGGAATTTTGCAGAGCAGAGCATAAGAAAAAGATTCCAGAGGATGTATTGGATAAAGAGATTATGATATTAAATGAAGCCAGGCAACCACCTTTGCTCTTAATATAAAAATATTTTTCAAAATTTTATGGGTCCTTGACGCCACAGTCCAGTCCAGTGCAGTTCAGTCCTCTAAGTCCATGCCTGCGGTTCAGAGAAGACAAGATTGGTAAACTAAAAATTTTTACAGCAACCTAAAAAACAGCTTTGAGGAAAGCAACAAAAAATCTTGACATCAAGACTTTCGACAAAATTCAGTTCCATGCTACAAACTAAATTGTTTTGCTGTAAGGCTCAGTCTAGTTTTCAATTGGAATCTTGATTCACTTGGCAAACTTGTGCAACTGTGTCCGGTGAACTATGATTTGTTTCTGTTCCATTTTGCAACAATACGTCATCATGCTTTGAACTATCAAAAAGAGGAGATGAAAGATTTTGCTTTGTTTTTTGTTCCATCAGCCTTTCGTCAGTATCAGGATAATTCGAAAGATTTCTTTCATTTGTAAGAATTGTTTGGTGCTGTGAAAGTGGGCAGCCATCTTCGATCTCAATGACGCTTCCAACATCAGCCCCATCGTAACAGCTGACATGGTACGTCTACGACATAGAGGAATTATTCGTATATTTTTGCAATATAGTGTACAAGTATTACACGTATACCTTGTGTCTGCAATTAAAAAAGGAGGACATACCATGGTTATCAATCTTTTTGTGGGAAATTAATATAAAAAGCCAAATGGTAAAAACAAACTGGGAAAATTAGTGTAAGAGTTCTTACTACAACGTTCAAAATCATTAGCATTGTCAATAATAAGTTGGTTTTTAGTACATACATACGTAAAGCCAAATAAAAAAGCATTGTGAAATCTCTCCTTCGATAATTTTATCCACAACAAATACATTACAAGATGATTTAGTTTCACATTCCAAGAATGGTGACTTCAAAAAAAGACTACAGTTTAGCAGTGGAAAATATGTTATATAAGTTATTTTTAAAGTCATAGACATAGTTTTGGAGATAACAGACCCGATATAGCTGTAGTAGGAAGGTGGCAAAAGAAAAACCGGTTGTATCCCTTGGGAATTATGTTAACTGCACACTTTAAAGCGACTCCTGTGATAATTGGAACACCCAAATCAAGATGACATTAAGATCAAAATCGGTGAGGCCATTGTTGAAGAAAGCTGTGAAGAAAAACTGCTAGGGGTGATAATAGATAAAAGTCTTAATTTCAAAAGTCATGTCTCAAATTTATGCAAAAGAGCCAGCCAAAAACTGCATGCTCTTGCTAGAGTTTCGCCATTTATGGGTTCTGATAAACTGCGTCTCCTAACAAACAGCTTCATAAAAGCTCAGTTTAGCTACTGCCCCCTAATTTGGATGTTCCATGGCAGATGTCTGAATGCTTAAGTAAATAAAATCCACGAAAGAGCACTCAGAATTGTTTATAAAGACAGTCATGCTGACTACGAAGCATTGCTGGCTTTGGATAATGCAGTATCAATTCACCAACGCAATCTACAGTACTTGATGGTAGAAATATACAAAACCAAACATTACCTGAACCCTAGTTTCATGAGTGAGATTTTTGAAACAAGAAATGTACATTATGATTTGCGAACTAAAAATAATCTTTGCATTCCAAAAGCCAGGACAACTTCTTATGGTATAGAAACTGTGAGATATTTAGGTCAAAAACTGTGGCAAACACTACCTCACAGTATAAGAGAGTCCCAATCATTAGCAACATTTAAAAAAGAATTAAGAGCACACCCTATAGAATGCGACTGTAGATTCTGTAAAACATTTATTGCTGGGTTAGGTTTTATTTAGAACATTATACCATAAACATTTTTAATATTGTAACGCTGCATAAACATTTTAGCCATATACCATATCACTCGTTGCATAAACCATTATTAATTATTCCAAATTCTTTATAGATAGTTGGCCTTAATTAGCTTCTTTATAGCTATCAGCCGTTCATTTAGTACGCCAACTTTAAACAAATTATTTATTATTATTATTATTATTATTATTATTATTATTATTATGCTGATGTACACAGTTCTGATGTTATAACTGGCTTGTTCTTGATGTTTCTTGAAATCGGATCAATACCCATGATCTTAGATCTCGAGAACTTTTCTCAACACTCTTGCAGTTCCTAAAAGTACAGATTTTTGTATTAGTTTTATAAATAGCTTTGAAAAAAGCAAACATTTAGTAAACTAAAGCTTTTCGTCTGACACTCTTCAGAGTTTAAAACGTCAGAACATAGATCGAAAACTCTACGCTAAGAAATATATATACCCAGTTGTGGATCGAAATAGGCCATCCAGAAACACGAGCACATGACTGTAAAGGTTGACCAATCAGTGCCGCTTGCCTATTAGAATGTTACCAATGGAGTCCTAAGGTGAAAACGAACTCCTTTTGTCTACACAGTAGCGGTTTTTTCGTGCTTGTAGATAGATTCTAAAACTGCTAGGTGGAACGACGATCGGGCTTTACCAATAATCCGAAACATGTCGCCATTATAGTTTTTTGCACAAACTGGGTTTTCTAGCAAATGCTGCCCGATAGCAGAATCGCAGGTCTTATTAGTAATTTTGGATTTGCAAGACCGAGGTGGCTGTTCTCTTTGGGGATGTGTTTTGTTCCTAATATTAGATGGAACGTGTTGTTTTATCCTATCCTCCAATCTTTGGGTGGTGCGTCCTACGTAGCCAGAATCACACTGGCACGTGAATTCATACACAACAGAACTTTTTTTTGTGGCAGGAACGCAGTCCTTTTGAATGGACGGAAGGGCCTTTTTTGTACTGTAAACAACACGTGGGTTAACCGCGAAGAAACAATTTGTTATGGCCTGTTTTATTTGGCTTTCAAAACGTAGGGAGCTGTTACCGATCCAGGGTAGTTTTAGATAGACCGGGCACTTTTGAGGACCAAATTTTACGTCAGCCGAGAAATTTCCTATCTTCTCCTTAATGTTAACTGAAATAACATGTTCTGGATAGCCGTTCTCCAGAAAAATCTTAGTTAGTTTTTCAAGTTCCGAGTCGAGTTTAGACTTGGAACAAATCATCAGTGCCCTATGTGTGAGCGTTTTGATGAGGCTGATTTTTCTTTGTTTTGGGCAAAACGAACTCCATCGAGTGTATAACCCCGAAAATGTGGGTTTACGGTATACACTGGTGAAAATCCAGTGTCAGATTTTTCAACCAAAACATCAAGAAATGGCAAGGAGTTATTTTCTTCCTTTTCAAATGTAAAATGTAGGGCTGTGTGAAGACCATTAAGGCGTTTTAGGAAAATATCACACTCAGCCTCTGTTTTGAAAATAGTATATGTGTCATCCACATACCGAAAATAGACACCTGGCTTTTGGTCGCAGTCAAACAAACGCTCTTCATGAAAGCCAACAAAGATATTGGCCAATGCAGGTCCCAGAGGGCTACCCATAGCGACACCATCCTTTTGTTGGTACATTTCATTGTTAAAGCTGAATTCAACTAAACGTGTTGCAGTTTCCATCAGTTCAATGAATACTTCCTCTGGGAATGGTGGGAAAGATTGGAGGATAGGATAAAACAACACGTTCCATCTAATATTAGAAACAAAACACATCCCCAAAGAGAACAGCCACCTCGGTCTTGCAAATCCAAAATTACTAATAAGACCTGCGATTCTGCTATCGGGCAGCATTTGCTAGAAAACCCAGTTTGTGCAAAAAACTATAATGGCGACATGTTTCGGATTATTGGTAAAGCCCGATCGTCGTTCCACCTAGCATTTTTAGAATCTATCTACATAAGCACGAAAAAACCGCTACTGTGTAGACAAAAGGAGTTCGTTTTCACCTTAGGACTCCATTGGTAACATTCTAATAGGCAAGCGGCACTGATTGGTCAACCTTTACAGTCATGTGCTCGTGTTTCTGATTGGCCTATTTCGATCCACAACTGGGTATATATATTTCTTAGCGTAGAGTTTTTGATCTATGTTCTGACGTTTTAAACTCTGAAGAGTGTCAGACGAAAAGCTTTAGTTTACTAAATGTTTGCTTTTTTCAAAGCTATTTACAAGTTTTGTACCACCAAAAGAGTATTAGTTTTATCTGCGTCTTGACTCCAATTTCCTTGATGTAGTTGCTCAAATTTCGTGTTACTGTTCCAAGGGCTCCCAAGACAATAGGAATAACTTTTGCTTTCACTTTCCATAATCTTTCCACTTCTCTCTTTAATTCGTCATACTTTTCGATTTTCTCTATCTCTTTTTCAGCTATTCTCACATCTCCCGGGACTGCAACATCAATGATGTAACACTTCCTTTCTTTCTTATTGACAACCACTATGTCAGGTCTCCTTGCCTGGATTTCATTGTCTGTTTGAATATTGACATCCCAGAGAATCTTTACATTTGTTGTTTCTACCACTCCATCTGGCTGATGTTCGTACCATTTATTTCCACAATCTATGTCATACAGGCGACAGACATCCCAATGGAGGGCTTTCGCTACACAGTCATGTCTACGTTTATACTCTCTCTGTGCCAGTTTTGGGCATTCACTGACAATGTGGCTTATTGTTTCCTCTTTCTGATTACACATTCTACATTTCGAGTCCCTCTGCGTCTTATCGATGTTTGCTTTAATTGCATTTGTTCGCAATGACTGGGTCTGCGCCGCCATTATCAGTCCTTCAGTCTCCTTTTTCAATTCCCCGTCCCGGAGCCATCCCCATGACTCTGGGTCATTTATTTCTTTTGTCTGCCTGAAAAACTGTCCATGTAACGCAAATTTTACCTCACCAATCGCTTCCCCACAAGATGTCAACATGGTGCTCCATTCCTTCATACTGTTGGTCAGCAAATTTTTTACATTCTCTGCAGCTCCAAACATGTTCAAACATTCCTTCAACCATGAATGTGGGATTAGATCATAAGCTTTTCTATAATCCAGCCAGCCCATTGCAATATTCTTCTTTCTTTGCTTCACTTCCTTCATGATTTTCTTGTCAATATACAATTGGTCTAAGCACCCCCTACATCCTTTCCTCGAACCCTTTTGTTCTTCTGGTAATACATTCTTAGCCTCCATAAAAGAATAAATCTCACCTGCCAATATTCCTGTCAACAATTTCCAGCACATAGCGAGACACGTTATTGGACGATAATTACTAGGCACCCTTCCTTTTTGTGGATCTTTGACTATCAAAACTGTTCTTCCTTTAGTCATCCATTTTGGTACATTTCCTTTCCTCAAGCACTCGTTGAGCTGCAATGTAATTCTCCCATGCAGATTAGTAAATCTTTTCAACCAGAAGCCCTGAACTAAGTCAGGTCCTGGTGATTTCCAGTTTGGCATTTTATTAACAACCTTTTCTACCTTTTCCCTGGTAATCACAACATCATTTTGCCTGTCAATTTTAATTTCCTCCTTCAAGTCCTGCAGCCATTCTGCGTTTTCATTGTGCCGTGTTGGTTTGCTCCATATATCCTTCCAAAATTCCATAGTTTCTTCCTTTTCAGGTCGTACTTCATTTCTCTCTCCGCCATTCAATTCATCATAGAACCGACTTTGGTTTTCCCGAAACAGTCGATTCTGTCTAAATTGATCTATTCTAGCTTGATATCTTGTAATTTTTCCTGATTTAGCTGTAATCCTTTGTTTTAGTTCTCCACTTACTGTTATGAGACCCTTTTCTTTTAACCAATACTTTCTCTGTAACTGTTCTTGAAATCTTGTCTTAATTGTCTTCCCTTTTCTTAACTCTTCAACTCGGCTTAAATCTTTCCTCAAGTATTTTACTTGCTTCTGCAACCTTCTTTTCCACATAGGTTCTCCTTGCCTCTTCTTTCTAGTGATCTTTACACCTAATCTCTCAGTTGTAACAACTGATGCTGCATATAACAAATCATTGGTCGCGGTGATATTTTCGCTTCTTATTTTACCCAGCAAGCTATTCATCTTTCAACTTCTATTTTGACAGAACTTTTATTTAGACCTCTCAGAGCAGGTAGCTTTGTCCTTTCAGGTTGGTGTAGTACTTCAAAAAGCCTCTCAGCGATCGCTATTTCCTCGTCTGAAAATTCCTCATCGTCAAAATTTCTAGCACCATTTTCAGCTGCTCCTGTCTCATTATTCTGCTGTACATTATCATCATATTCTATTTGTATTTCTTCGCGTCTGTTGTTAGCATCGCTTTCCACACTTTCACCCTGGCTTTCATCGTCACCTCTGTTGCCTTCAATTGTTTTCTGTCTCTTGATCTCCTCCATCTCTAACTCTGTTATCCAACCCTTCAGTCTTATTTGCCTAACTTGGTCTAGCAGTCTTTGCTCTGATACCTGAGCAAGATTTCTACTTCTCCAAATATTTACCATACGTTTCCGGTAACCCCTCTTATTTGGCTCGCTCGCGACATAGCACTCCATCACTGTTCTGTTATCTTCTCTTGTCCACTGATTTCTAGTTCTACTCCTCACAGTTGATTCCGCAGTAGCATGATATCGACCGAGACTGGCCTGCGTAGCACCACCACCCCTGCCGGACGCGACAGCTTCACCTGTGGATCCACTCCCGTTGACGTCGTTCTCTATGTTATTTTCAGAATTAATCATCATTTTCTTTTGAAGATGAGGTTGTGGTTTTGCATCACCAACAAAGCAGTATTTTTATCGTGACACCATCACTAGGTGGGTCGCCGACCAGGGCTGAAGAGTCCCCCCTACCCATGAGACAGACTAGCCCCCGCCGGACGCCAACCCGGTATTTCACGGCCTCGGGGAGAGCTAACAGGTAGTATACCTTGCTCAAGGGTGACCTGGAGGTAGTAGTGGCAAAGGGTAACCTCATTCTCCCACGTCAAAACTCCACTACCGGATGTAGTTTTTTGTCATACCCAGGACAACGTTTTTTGTCATACCCAGGACATTTATTATTATTATTATTATTATTATTATTATTATTATTATTATTATTATTATTATTATTATTATTATTATTATCAACTGCCTTCTATCAAATTTACGCAATGCCAAACTGTCTGTCGCAATGCCCTAAAATCTTCTCCTAATATTGACATTCAAACCCTATGGAAAAACACCAGTCATGGCACGAACCTACAGTACGACATCTATCGTAATACTAAAGAGGTATTAAAGACTGTCAAATCAGACAACAAAGAACGTCTCTCTCAAAGCTTACCATCTCAGGGAGCTACAATTACCTTCCTACTGAAACATTCATTGGAAAAGCTGAACGGTATTTGGTCAAGTACACAGAGCAATTTGCCTAGTAACATCTTTAACTTTACCATCAAGTATCTTAACAACACTCTTCCAACTCGTAAAAATCTGCTTAAATGGAACCTTGATCAAACATCTGACTGTGAATTCTGTCTTCTTCCAGAAACACTTCTACATGTTGTTGCTGGATGCAAAGTGTACCTTGACCAAGGCCGCTATACTTGGCGTCATAATTCTGCATTAAACTTTCTAGCCACTTCCTTTCAAGCAATAAATGGGTCTTCTCTCTACGCAGATTTACCAGGCTTTCTTTCCCCTTCTATCATAACTGGAGATCAACTACGCCCTGACTTACTTCTCAAAACTAAGGAAAACTGTCTGTACGTTTTAGAGCTAACCATAGGCTTTGAAACAAATCTCAACAGCAATGCTGTCAGAAAGTTAGAGAAATATGCCACCCTCGTATCTGACTTAAAACGTCAGTTTAAGTCAGTCTCGTTTGTCAATCTTTCCATCAGTTCACTCGGTATTTTTGGCGAATCCTGCAGCTCATTCATCGACATGTGTGACTCTTTGTCCATTGACCATCAACAGAAACGCTACCTCATCTCCAAACTTACAAGCATCTCCATTCGCACCACATACTATATATTCTGCTGTAGTGACAAAACTTGGACTAACCCAGAGCTACTGCCCTTTTAACATTTTTTTTTCTTTTCTCATTACTACGATGTAATAGTTTTTATTTTGTAAACACAGGCTAGCCAGTTACAAATTACTTTGTAATAGTGAGATTTGTAATTGTAGTTTTAACAGGAATTCAAAATGAAAAGTTTCCATTATTATATTTGGATTAGATATAATGGGGTAACGCATGGTGCTAAAGACCAAATAGAGAAATTGCGAGGTTTATTACCTTGGTAATGCAAAGGTCATCAGAAAGGATTGAATACCAACTAAGTAAATGAGATGCCGCAATAGATCACTGATTGTGACTCGTTGCTAAAGTAGTAAGCCTGGATGAGCAATGGTGTTTTGCAAAATTTTACAGCTTAAGCCTTGTTTAAATGATACAGAATGTTATTGAAGATGAAATTTCATGAATTGAAGACTTTGGCTACATTTGCGCCCCGAATAACACATCAATAGCTGCGGAGAACGAAAATAAGATGAGAAAACTGGTATGAAACAATAACAAAAATATCATATGACTTAATAGTACCCGTCCATTAATCCTTGTTGCATTTTTGTACCTCCATTCTTCCAAAGATTCGTCCCAAAATTGCTCCAGTTCTTCTAAACAAACTTGACATGCCTGAAAAGTAATGATGAAATTATCTAGCTTCAGCTTAACTTTTACTGAATGAATAATACAACTTAGAACTGCCACACCAATCCGGTACACAAAGCCCTGATTAGCGGAGGTAAAATCACTCCGCTCTGCCAGTGATACGAAAATCACTCCGGAGCATTTCAATGTAATCGCACAATTCCGATATACTCCGCTTCAAAACAAAGAATTTTCCTAATGTTTTCTGCTTGAAGCAATTCGATCATTAGTGAACAATGGCGATTTCTGAACTTTCGTTGCCGTTGGGTAATGCCCAACGAAAATCGTTCAATATTTTCGTATTTGGACTTCAGCTCTTCCCAAATTTCATTTACGTGGCCCTTGGACGAAACACATACTTTAAATAGAGTTCTAAAGTGATAACGTCACAAAAATCTATTTTTAGAATTTTTCAATTTAGATCCCATAGCCTGAAAGAGAATCATGAAATACCTCTAAATGTGCAAAATCAGTCAAATGTGTTACGAATTGGCTGAGATATGGTCACATGTGTATTGGCTTTTTCCCCATCAAACCTCTGTATTTTGGTCTCTGTTCATAACTTTATGAACAGAGCGAAAATAACAGTGATTCGTTAGCGAACTTCATTGGCAGGATTGTTTTCGTCATTTTATGCAGTAGTTATTGAAAACGAATTTACAACAGCACAAAGCTTCGAAAAGATCATCAAATAATTTTATCTGGTGCATTTTACGCATGGGTTTACAAAAGCACACTTCATTGTTTATCAGAAATGCAGAGGAATGAAGGCGTATGAGTGAGCGGAGTGACGTATTGTAACTGCTACCCAAAATATCACTCCGGGGAAAAAGTTACTCCGCTCTGCTCCGCTCTGCTCCGCTCTGCTCCGCTCTGCTCCGCTCTGCTCCGCTCTGCTCCGCTCTGCTCCGCTCTGCACCGCTCCGAAAGCAATTCGGTATAGTGTAACTGTGACCTCAAGTATCCGGTATAGTGTAACTGTAACTGTAACCTTCTTTGCAGCCAAGTATAAGCTTTCCAAAAAGTTCCCCAATATGGCGCATCCTCGTCAGGAACGGATTTAGCAGGGGTGTAGGGGGTGCGAAACTCACTTTTTCTGTGTTCTTTGGTACATTTTGCTTCCATCCCGTAAAAACCATTCGGTAAAAATCACATACTAACTAGGAGGGCAGTTGCCCCAACAGCCCTAATGACTTTCAATTGTTTTAAAAAATATGCCCCTCTTAATATAAACAAAAGTTTCCCCGCAGCTAGTTTCTCTTGGAATAGGCTATGAACAAAATAACACCAAGATTTTACTTTATCGGAAATCCTCGAAAAAGCCCCCCTCGAATAAGCCCCCACCCTAGAACTACAAATTGTCAAAAAGCCTCCCTTGAACAAGCCCACACTGCTACCATAAACTTTCGGATTGGACCCCTAAATTTGATGATTTTTGCCATCTGAGGTTGCCTATGGCATTTTATTGAATTACCACAACAAATTCATACGTTTGGCAGTAATTAATCAAATGCTCATAAAGAAATTCCTACTAAAACAAACGAGGTCTTTTAATAATGTCTTCTCAATGTCTACAATAATTTTATAAGCCCCCCCCCCTCGTATAAGCCCCCACAAATAAGCCCTCATCCAAAAATGTCAAAAATAAATAGGGCCAATTCCAGGATTTAAGGTGTCTCTTTACCTTAACGCTTAAATCCGAAATTTGAAAATGGGCATTTCCATCATTTTACAGTGACCTGCAGGGTGTGGCACCAAAATCCAATTAGTGTCTAACACACCCCCCCCCCCCAAATCATTGTTGCTAAAATCCGTCCCTGACCCTCGTATATTCCCAGCATAACTACGTACCAGTTCAAAGAAAAATACTCGAGAAAAGGGTCGGAGGGCCTAGGCAAGAAAAACTTTTACAATATGGCGTTTCTAAAAACTCAAAGCGTCGCATCCTTTGTTAACGTTAAGGCCAATCTCCATCGGATGAAATTTTTTCACTATTTCGCCGGCGAAAGGTTATGTACATGCGTATTTGAATTTTTTCGTTTCCTGTCCTGTGCGCGATGTTCGCCTTGAAGGTTCAAACTATTTGAACTTTTTTCTCTGTCGGTGGCGAATTTGACGTCCTTTGAGCATATAGCAAAATGGCTGAGTCCCAAAGTAGCTACGTCTGGCATGAAGAAATAATAAAATTTCTGGTTACAAGCGGTAAAATTCACATAAACAACGATTCACTATCGACGTCATCTCAAACCTCATACTGAAGTCCTCTCACGAAGTGAAGATCAATCGCAAAATATAGAAGCAGCAATACCTTTCGCCCAATGGAGTTTGGCCTTAAGGCGAGTGTGACGCATCCTCTATAGAAAATAGTCATTCGGTCGTTTAGCTCCTGTTCACAGATTGATAGCGTCTCAGTTATAATAACGCTTAAGTCAAGCGGCGGATTCTCTGCTGACTTTATTTATTCTAATCGCATCTTCCACCAACAAAATCTTGCATTGATGCACTGTTTCCGGGAAAATGTTCGGTAAAATTTGACACGTTAGACCACATATTCTCCAAACACTTGAAAAATACAGATCTTTGCAAATCAAATGCTTGGTGTAATATTCGATGCGATTGCCAAGACTTTCAAGGCAACAAAGATTAAAACAATTTTGTTGCAAGAGAGGTTTTGAAGCAAACACTACCAAATGAAAAGTACATTAGAAACAATCCATAGAGCATTGGCATTCAAGTAGAACCGAACACTTAGCTAATGTCACAAATGCATTACAGCCTCAAAGTATAATGGTTATGAATAAAAGAGCTTCCCGTTGAAGGGAAATTCAAAACTTACACGTTTTAGCCACTATAATTTAAGTATTGAAAAGTGACCGAGTTAAGGGAATATATTGCGACAACGTAATTGGGACACGATCTGCTAATGACTCGATGAAAATCAAACTCTTAAAGAAAAAGCAATATCTTGACTCTCGTAAAAAACATATAAGCTAAGCTTGCTAAGAATATTTTCGGGAGCAAAATAATTGTTTGAAAACTTTTCGAAAAATGCGGCTTTAGGTCAGTTAGATCCTTTACAACTCAATACTATAAGTTAAGTTAAGAATGTTGTTAAACATATTGGGCGATGAGAGCTGAAACTTTCACATTTAACATAATTTAGTGAAATCCCTATATCATAAGCCCTTTCATGGAGAGGGAATTTGAAATCAAAGTCGGCAACTGCAAAATATATAATCTTGGGAATAATCTTTAAATTAGGAGATTTGTTGAAAGTTTGTCGATATGAAAACAAAAAGTAAATAAATATTCACATACTTCATCATCAGTGAGCACTGAACAACTGCTTTCCCTAGCACTTGAAGCTTGTCCTTCACTCTTTTTCTCAATTTCAAAGATGTTGCCTTTCTCTGATAAAAATTAGTGAATTAGTACTACCTCACTAAATATGTCGATAAACCATGAAATTAATTCCATCTTCTTTGCAAGGTAGAATACAGAAAAGTAATACTGGATCTGCGATCAGTGGCCGATCATGCCAAAAAACTCACTACCGCCGAAATGGGTTAGAGGGCTGACCACACCCTTTCTGTCCACACCCTTTTCAAAGTGGATTTTTGCCAATAATCAGACTGGCTTCTACGGAAGTATAAAACCGAAGCCGAAGTATTGACATGTTGCAATAGGGTCAGCGATCGAAATGTTAAACTGAATATATATCAGGTGAGACCATTCTCAAGACGCAAAACACCTATCTTCGGCAAAAATGTTAATCGATAGGAACTCTCTAGGACACTAAACGTTATAGAACAGTCCTAAGTATTTGATGGATATTTAGTGCTGGTGAGAAAAGTCCGATCGAATAATTGATGGATATTTAAGGCTGGTAAGAAAAGTCCGATCGAATAATTGATGGATATTTAAGGCTGGTAAGAAAAGTCCGATCGAAAACTTGAGATCTGAGACAGAGAATACCATAATTTCGGATCCTTAGTACTCTTAAAAAGATATACTAGGTATGTAGACTAAGAATACTCTGAAATTGTTGCAAGTCAGCGCTATCGCATAAGAAAACAAAACGTTTTTTCTTCGATAATTTTCAAATTTCATCTAGAACTCACATAAAGTTGAGCAATTACTTACCGAAATCAGATTTGTTTTCAATTATTTTAAAAAGTAATATAAAATTTAAAACCTGTCAGAACAAGAGAGGCAAACGTCCTTTATGGCGAACATTGAGCTTTCTTAATTTTTATAACTCTAGCAATTCTGAGCCTTCATATTTTTATTAAATATATTCTTGCAAAAAGTGCGTATGATGGGTCACATTAGCTTAGAAATACATACCACTTGGACCCTTTTTGCAGAAAATATTGGCCTTCCAATCATTCTGTAACATTTGAGCGATGTTAAGCAGCAGGACTAGTCATGCCCGCATCGGAGCGGTCATCTTAGTTGCTCACTGGTGGTCAAAAATATCCTGTTATCATCCCACTCGTGTTAGGTTGTGATTTCTGATTATTTGATTTGTTTAGGCACGCAGACTATCACCCAGAGCAGCTCATATCCGTTCTACACCGACTCAACCCCCAATGTTTGTTATTCCCATGCTAGCTTGTTATTGTTTGCAATAAATTATTCTTTGCAGGAGAATTTCCGGAGGACTGGAAAATAGCGCGTATTGCACCCATTTTCAAAAGTGGCGCAAAGGATGACAGGTCGAACTATAGACCAATATCAATTCTTCCTTTCATATCTAGGCTATTTGAGAAATTAATTTTCAATCAGTTTTATGAATACCTGGATGCAAATAAATCACTATATGAGCATCAGTCGGGTTTTCGCTTATTAGCGCTTATTTTAATCTTTTAAACAGGTCAGGTTGAAAAACATATATGTATGAGCCTTTAACCTGTATAAATGTTGTAAAATGAAAAAAATGAAAGCATGAGATTCGTATGAACTGCCTGGTTCCCCTCAGTTCTTCTTTAATCTGCTCCATACCGTCATCTTCCTCCCATTCGTATCCCGTATTTCAGATCCCGTTTACATCACAGAAAAAAACTTAACTCCTTGGTTCCGTGCCTGAAAACGCGACGATAGGCCTTGCGTTTACATTAGGTATCTTGGTTTACGTGCTAGTTTAGGAACGGCTCCGTCCTCTTTGGTTTAGCTAAAATGCGAAACCCTTTTGTTTAGTTCCCAAATCTTGCTTGATTTATCTAACGGTTCTTTCGAATGGTATACTCAGATTTGAAAAATGTTGTCATTAATATTTTACTGACCGGGGAGTAATTACGTCATCGATCACGTGACAACAACAAATTTTCAAGAATGTGCCCAAGGCTTAAATTGACAACCAACCATCGTAGAAGTCATATCCACTTCAAAAATTTCGCTTACCCGGTTTGCTAGATTGTTACAGTAAATTCCCTGTCTATGATTGTTATCAGTCTTCACATGACAAATTTACGTAAATTGCGAGAACGCTTGTTATTGGTTGATATTTCGGTAATTCCTTGTAGGAACATATAAAAACATGTGGAATTACCAGTAGTATTGGAATTCAAGCCTAGAGAAATGAGAATTATGTAATCAATATAAATTGCTGAACGCTTAAAGGATTCTTCTTCTTGGCTTTTCTCTTGGACACCGACAACTATTCGTAGAACCAGCGAAAGAAAGTCGAAAGTCTCAACAGCGGTAGTCTTGATCCGCCACTGGCAATAATTCTTAAAGCTTCTTTCATGTTCTAATTAGCAATATCCTACAGTTAAAACGTATACATACCTTGCTCATCTATATCTTTGACATCATCCATATCTATCCATTGCTATAATAAACAAGAAAGTCATAATCCTTATCAGCATACAGAAAATATTGACTTTTTAACATACTTTGCTGGTTTTGACTCTTGTTATAAACTGGGATTATGAATTCACTAAAAATCGAAAGATTTTTTCAATAAATGAATGAACCATTTAAAAAACTCTACAGAGATCCCAACAGCTGCAGCAAGTTGAAATAACGACACGAGATGCATGCAGCGGCAAACTTAATAACATGAATATTTTCATAGTATTAAAGCTTCGACAAATTTTTGCTGTTTTCATTGTTGGTCATGTTAAATAATCAACAATGTGACATCAAGGCTTTTTGATACTTAAAAAGTCACAGTTTTGCAGAGCTATTTAGCTTTAAAAATAACTAGCGTATAAAATGCTGTTTTTTCCTGCCACTGACATCCCATTCAAATGCAACCTTGTGCAGTAGCTTTTAGTTTATAGGACAGTAAAAACCTTGAGACTTTCCAGCTAAATCATGCGAGTATCTTCCTGTCGTTCTTTAGTTGTAACTGCTTATATTTTGATTGGTAAAATCTTGAAGAAAGCTACAATTGGCGTTCAGTACGCCTGCTGCAAATAAGAAACATTTCCATTTGTTATAAAAAAAGGTAATTTCTAGCTTATCACTTGAAATGAGAAATGGCACCGTTCTAATACTGTTTTTATGAATCATGCCCTCGATTGAAGCGTCCCAGTCTGAAAAGTTTCGCACACTTCGGCGAATCTGGTCGCTCGACCCATGCGATCGATCAATTGAGATCGCAGGACTGACTTCTTTCTTGAGATTTCGTCGCGCGATCGCTGCCAGTGCCCTTATAGATTTAGGTGTGTAAACAAATATGGCAAAAACAAGGCGACATATCTTTATTATCATTTTGTTAAGGGGAAAGTTAAAAAGAAAGGCACTTCAGGTCGCAAAAAGAGAGATGAGACTTTTCGACTAGGAATAGTTCTTGCAAAATTTTAGGACGAGCCCTGGTTGGCTTAAGGAAGTTGAAGTACGCTGCACGGCCAGCGAAACCGAGCAAAGCAAAATGAAATTGTTCCGCAGAGGTAGAAAGAAATATGATCTACCCTTCTGTGGTTTCCTTAAATATAACTTCAGCTTAACTTGGTTACTATGGCGCGCCGTTGCGGCAAAAAATGATTAATTTTTGTGCATGAAGTTTTAAAAAAAGTGCATCAGTTTTGAAAAAATGTGAATGCACATTCAAAAAGTTGTGTATGCACAATCAAAAAATTGTGTATGTAAACATAATTTTTTTGCATCCAAATTATTAACTGTTGTGTGTGCGGACTTCGCTGCGTGTGTGTCACAAATCGATGTGTGTGTGTGTGTCTGTGTGTGTGTGTGTGTGTGTTGCAAAAATGGTGTGTGTGTCATGTAATTCGATATGCCTTTGGCATTATGGCTACCCGCTGTTTTCTGTCCTGTCATTTTTGGCAGCTGCCAAATAATACTTATGTTTTTACATTTCTTCACTTCAAAAGGTAAACGTCGTCACCAAACCCAGTTCTTTTTTGAGAGTTTTTTTAAAGAATATTAGGGCTCAGAATCAAACTGAATATCATTTTTTTTTAAAAACGTGTTTTCATTCAGGGGCGCTAGAAAGACGGGGGTAGCTGCCCCTTCTGCCCTGACTCTAAGGGGAAACCGGGGGCAGCACTGTGCCTTTGTGAAATTGGCACTGTCTTTTTGTGCGGCAAGTTGGGGTAACATAAAAAAATATTAACTTGAGTACAGTGCCACCCACACAGCTGGGATTTTACCATTGTAAATAAATGGAGGTTTAAAATCGCGAGAGATGATCCGAAGACTGATACTTTAAAGAATGAGGGTTTCTTGCGAGCGGCTATACTTTTCCTTTCCGTAGGATTACCCCTCATTAGAATTACATCATGTTGCGTAGTCATTAGTTATATTGGGTAGCATTTTATGCTTAGTTATGCTTTTCTGGTATTTTCCTTGTACATATAAATATACGTAGTTAGTTAGATTCAAGGAGATTCGGAGAGAAATTCAGAAGGTATAGACATGAAAAGCTAAACATCAGAAGGAAGCTAACCGTTTCGCCCAAGAGGCTTGCGAAAGCTCTTGCGGCCCAGTCTGCATTTAGGACAGGCAGTGCTTGAGAAAGACTGCGCTGTGCCACGTTATATATTGTTAGTATTAAATTTGCTTAGAACCGTCGTTTCTTATGTTAGCTGTTTAGATTAAAGTTTAGCCTTGGAAGCTGGTAATGGAGAGAAAAGTAAAGCCGCTTGCAGAAACCTTCATTCTTTAAAGTATCAGTCTTCGCAGCGTCTCCCTCTTTCGATTTAAACCTCCATTTTACAGTACGTCCCCTTATCAAACATGTTAAGGTATCTCTCCCCTCAGCAAAAGCCTAAAGAAACTTTGGACTGGCGTTTGATTAAACGTTTTATCGGTACCGATGTATTGTGTCCTATCTTTTTTGTTATAATTCTTTTAATAGTCATTGAAAATGTGCCCTTCTTGAGTAGCTGCCCCCGCCGCCTCGAAATGCTTCCGGTGCCCCTGTTTTCATTCTTGGGCTGGCTATTTTCTTTGAAAACCTTTGAAATAACCTTAAATATGTTCCCCTGAAATCAAATCAGATTTGAAAAACTTAGAATGCTCTAAGAATCTAAGAATGTTCAAGCTCAAAATAAAATTCTGCACCCCCCCCCCTTCCCGTTGATCGTTCCGTCGTCCCTGAAGATAATGATATTCATATTTTTCATACGTTCGTAGAAACACGCAAGGAGGAAAAATGTGAAATTTAAGGCCCCGAATAGCTAATTTCGTAAACAGCTAGAGGTGTAGTTAGAGAGGGTTAGAGTCAGAGGGGGCCAAAAAACCCCTGTAAAGCTCAGGGTCAGCGAAACGTATTTGAAAGTATCAAAATTTTGAAAGGGCTTACGAAAGGCCAACCATGGTGTGGTGGGAAGAAAAAGTTTAGAATCATGGTGTTTTAGGGATTGCCAGAAACTGCATCTAAAATGGATATTGACTGAAAGAAAATGCGAGGAAATGTCTTTAAAGCTGTGTTTGACAGAACAAATGTCAGCGGGTAGCCATAATGTCAAAGGCATATCGAATTACATGACACACACACCATTTTTGCAACAGACACTCACACACACACCTATCAATTTGTGACACACACGCAACAAAGTCCGCACACACAACAGTTAATAATTTGGATGCAAAAAAAATTATGTTTGCATACACAATTTTTATATTGTTCATACACAATTTTTTGAATGTGCATTCACATTTTTTAAAACTCGTGCACATTTTTTGAAAACTGCATGCACAATTTTTTAAAACTGCATGCTTAAAAATTAATCATTTTTTGCCACAACGGCGCGCCATATGTTAAGAGGTAAAGGTAGAGGGTACACTGAAGTCAAAACTTCTTATCATGTAATACTTTAAACGATTTCCCATAGAAATAACAATGGATGTAAAATACATCTTAGATCAAATACTCGAGCATTTCTACCTTTTAAATATCATCAATCATCTACAAAATGGCTCATAACGAAGAGGATTTCATAATAAAGACCCCCATTCAGGGGCGGATCCAAACATTCGCAACAGATTTCCACATGTCTTTTTGTAATTGTCTGTTAATATATTTTAGCATTGTGAATATTGTACTAGAAATGGCCAGATAATAAAAAAAGGTCCATAGAATGCAAGAAACAGAAGTTTTGCCCTAGTTGCTATGATGTCACCTTGTTGTGAGATGATATAGAGATGATGTGATTTAGAGATGATATATTCGAAAGAGGGCTCCCCCTTTTACGCATAAATTCACAGAGCACCAATAAGGTTTGATGTGAATGTCGAATGGAATTATAATATATTAGGCATGCGTGCGCAAACGAAGTAGTACTGAAAAATGTATGCCAAAAATTTGTGCGAATGTCAGTCCAGCTATGTTATTTAGCCATCTGAAAACCAATAGGAAATATATATGGGAAATTTTTTTGCGAATGTGGCGAAGGTAGATGCGAACTATGTTCGGTAGCCAGTTTAGGGAGAGAACCTTGGAAAGTGAGCATATTGAAACCTCGCTTCCAGATCAACGGCCATGATTGTTGTTGGAAAGCTGTGGAGACATTTGCTTGCAGAAGAGCAGCAATTGTACTTCAGAGTGAGTGAAAGGAGTCAAATATAAGATGATTTTTAATTTGAATCAGCGGATTTCTTATGAAGACGTTCAAAGTTTGTCGAAGATTTTGGTTGATGGATGGTATTTGATAGATGGCAATATCAATATGCGAGGACAGTTCAGTTGGACCTAAAATTGTTGATCCAAAATTTTGCCTATGTTTTCATTTTTATGATGGAGGACGTTATTTAGACAGAGATTCAGACTCAAATGATATTTTGAAGAATACGTGATGCTTTTTAAGGTAAATAGCCATTTTTATGCATGCTGTCAATCAGAACTTTTAGGGTTCAAGTCAGGTACATCTTGATATTGATGATGTAGCATTCTGACGAATGATGCTGTTCTATAAATACCTTGATGAGTTCTTGTGTTCTATGAATACCTTGAGTTCTAGATATTTTTTTGATAGATGTTGTTATTATCACAAATATGTAGATAGTTTGACTGTGCTGGAGATTTGTTTTTGAATAAGATATTGCATTTTCTACGGCGTATTCTTTTCTTGTTAATTTTATGCTGTCAGTTTTGGAAAAATCTTGACTGCCATATTTGTAAATGAGAAATGGTAATAGTATTTTGATTTTATTTGTCTGGTCATGCCATAAATATGGTAACCCTTTTCACGAGTTTAACCTCTAAAACTAGTAAAATTATTTGTGGTTTCCACACTATAAGAGTATACCATTTGAAACTCTTGGTTCTGAAATACCCTTAAGTTTCATTAATTTTTGTTTATGAATTTGCAAGTGACTGACAGTTTTCTTTTCTATGTAATTGTGTGTGTAAATAAATGTAAATATGGGTAGTAAATAAGTGCAATCAATGGAATGATCCTAATGGGGGGAATAACTACATTATTAATAAGAAATTCACAGCAAGTTGGTTCTGCCAAGTAAATATTTTATATAAATCCATATAGTAAAAGTTACCATGTTTGCCTTATTTCTTTGCCATTTTAAATTTGTATATAATATCTTTATGATGTTCTTGTTATGGAAAGACAATGAATTGTTTTAAATTCTGTTACATTTGCTGTTTTACCAACACCTGAAAATACTAAAATTGTATGATGTGTATTGACCTAATTTGTATTTTTGGCCCTGTTTAAGGCACATCACACAGCAGTTTGGATAGAAAGGCAAATGCACAAAATAAATAACAGAAAAGCTCTGAGCCCCTAAAGTATTTGGTGTTGAAGTCAAACATTTGGGTGGATATTGCATTGAAAATTTCTACACTAAACACAGTATTTGATTGTTAAATAATATCATTGTATGAATAGAACTAAGATTCCTTTCTTTAAATGGCTGTTTTTTAAGTGAGTGACATAAAACGTTTTTGATGAGTTTTTCTCCCTGAGAAGAGGTGATATACACACCTAATATACCCTTATTTTAGCTCATCCTCTTTGTTCTTGACAATTTGTGATTCTGTGCCTAGACTTGCCATTAAATCATCATTAAGAGGACATTTCAAATCTTTGCTGTTGTTTTTCCATCACAAAAGCCATGTAGGAAACAAAACATGCCAACACAACAAAAGCTTGATGAGTTTTTCTCAAAATTTTTCCAGAGATCTCTTTTCTTGTTCACTCAATAAGTAAAATGCCAATTTGTCAATGAAATCCAGACCTGGCTGTTATTCTTAATATTTGTCCTTAAACTTCTCAACCTTTGAGCCTCAATATTTTTATTTAATCTATGCTGTTTGAAAAAATGTGTTGTTAGTTTCCTAATCCTAAAACTTAATATGAGGAAAAATACATCTTTAAGTGGAAAACTTCGATTCTGAGACTATAGTAAAAATTGACTGATTTTTTTGGGCGTAGTCATATAGGCGTGGTCGAAACTTTGCGAATGTCAGATTTTTTTCTGCATCCGCCCCTGCCCCCATTAATTTCCTTCTAAAACGTACAGCACCATAGGAGAGGTAAGGGTCACGGTAACGCTTTGATAAAAGCTAGATCCGCCAACTAGCAGGTTTAGAAGTAATAACTCCATCTGAATCTACAATTTCTTGCTCTGTAATACAATTCAGATTTCGAAATGCAAGAGCTAATAACTCACAAACTGTGCAAAACGTTGAAAAACAAATAATGAATTTTTATCAGCAGGTTCAAATTCTTTAGATTAGCCAATAAAATGCAAATGCAAATGCAAACTGGAGAGGCCCTTTAAGGGTCCTAGGGGTCCAGTGGTACTAGGGTCTTGGGGTCTGGTTTTTCAAGAATGCCATTGTAAACAAGTCTCACAACTATAAGATTTGAAGGTATAACATCGTTATATTGTCTACCATATTCAGGATTTTTTTGCCTTGATGTAAATTATGGTCTTTATTTGGATTGACTTGCCGCTTATCTTAAACAGAGTAGCAGAATAACTTGCTGAAACATGCTAACAACGCACCATGTACTTATTGATATATTTTCTTTACGTTTTTCGTAACAAGCAGAACATGACTGCTTACATCAAGAAAATTTTTTCATTTGATCTTTGTAGTGCCCGATATCTTGCAGGGGCTTGCACGAGGACATTTTTGCCGTCTATAGCACCAACATAGCTTCTGAATTTCCACTTTTAATCAAACTCATCGGCAATAGCAAGCCAATTGCTCTCAGATTCTGGTGTCTTCCATTCTCTATCGAAATCCATTCTCCATCCTAATCCAGTTTCCATCTAAACCCAGTCTCCATCCAAATCCATTCTCCATCGAAATCCATTCTCCATCCTTATCCAGTTTCCATCTAAATCCATTCTCCATCTAAATCCAGTCTCCATCCAAATCCATTCTCCATCCTAATCCATTCTCTATCCTGATCCATTCTCCATCTAAATCCAGTCTCCATCCTAATCCAGTCTCCATCTAAATCCATTCTCCATCTAAATCCAGTCTCCATCTAAATCCATTCTCCATCTAAATCCATTCTCCATCCTAATCCATTCTCTATCTAAATCCGTCTCCATCCTAATCAAGTCTCCATCCAAATCCAGTCTCCATCTAAATCCATTCTCCACCCAAATCCAGTCTCCATCCTAATCCAGTCTCCATCCAAATCCAGTCTCCATCTAAATCTATTCTCCATCCTAATCCATTCTCCATCGAAATCCGTTCTCCATCTAAATTCAGTCTCCATCCAAATCCAGTCTCCATCTAAATCCATTCTCCATCCTAATCCATTCTCTATCCTAATCCAGTCTCCATCTAAATCCAGTCTCCATCTAAATCCAGTTTCCATCTAAATCCATTCTCCATCCTAATCCAGTCTCCATCTAAATCCAGTCTCCATCTAAATCCAGTCTCCATCTAAATCCATTCTCCACCCAAATCCAGTCTCCATCTAAATCCAGTCTCCATCCAAATCCATTCTCCATCCAAATCCATTCTCCATCCTGATCCAGTCTCCATCCAAATCCAGTCTCCATCCTAATCCAGTCTCCATCTAAATCCAGTCTCCATCCAAATCCATTCTCCATCCTGATCCAGTCTCCATCCAAATCCAGTCTCCATCCTAATCCAGTCTCCATCTAAATCCAGTCTCCATCCATCCATTCTCCATCTAAATCCATTCTCCACCCAAATCCAGTCTCCATCTAAATCCAGTCTCCATCCAAATCCATTCTCCATCCAAATCCATTCTCCATCCTGATCCAGTCTCCATCCAAATCCAGTCTCCATCCTAATCCAGTCTCCATCTAAATCCAGTCTCCATCCAAATCCATTCTCCATCCTGATCCAGTCTCCATCCAAATCCAGTCTCCATCCTAATCCAGTCTCCATCTAAATCCAGTCTCCATCCAAATCCATTCTCCATCCAAATCTATTTTCCACCCAGATCCATTCTCCACGTAGGATTACTCCAGATAGCATCAGCTGCTGCACGTACAATTCTGGCAGCATAATATCAGCTATATGAGCATCCCTTGTCACCAAGAATCTTAAGGTTATATAAAGAAAAAGCTTTGTTTTTTGGGGCAACACCCTTCAAAACTTCCTCAAACCGATCAGGGCTCATCCTATTGCAGGAAATATTCCTTGTCGAAAAGTTTCATTTCTCTGACAAGCTGATGACACTCTCCCTTTTCACAACGTTTTGTGTATATTTTCCTGTCCTTGCAGTGCCTTACTTTTTAATCTTTTCCTGTTTTAACCAAAATTAAAATTAAAATTTGTCGTCTTGTTATTGCCATATTGTTTGCACACATAAATCTATTGTTTGCACATATTGTTTGCACGTTTCATTAACTGACAGCGATCGCGCGGCTAAATTCGAATGCGATTTGCGTTTGCGATTTGCGAAATCATGCGAATAGGCACTCCAAACCTTTCCCAAGAAATTAAATAAACACAAAGGCTTGTCTTTCAGTGGAACATTCGTATGCGATTTGAGAACATTTGCATGCGAAATTCAAACAAAAGGTCGAAGGCGATTTGCGAATTGCGTTTGAAAGCCTTTATATTAAAAAAGACAACGTCCGCTTTGCAAAAAAACTGCTGGGAAGTTCGCTTTTGGCACGCCATAGGTTTCATGCCGGTAATTTCGGTGACCGATTCCTACCGCCAGCTTGCCTAAATTCGAGAGGCACGCCAAGCCACGCTACGAAACCCTCGGGAGAATACGTAGTATAGTATATTTGTCCGACAGGGATAGGCCGTTTAACAGGGTATTGTATTCACATACCTCAAATTGCTTCGGCACACAGGCATCAGTGGCGTAGACAGGGTGGGAAGATTCAGAGTACGTATGCACCTAACAGTAGGGGTCCAAGGGTCTACCCGAAGAAATTTTTGCAGACCACGCCCCAAAGAATATGGGAAAATATATTTCAAATAAGGTATGTCATTTTATGTGCCATTTGTCAGGGCCAAGGGGCATTTCTTTGGTGCTTGGATAAAATCGAAACACAGAAAATTTACGCGACCACGTACTATAGACTAGCTTAGAATGTATCAACAGTCAACTGCTTATTCATATCTTGATTTTGATTTTTCCTATTGCTGGATCCCGTATCAATTTTGTACCTTTTCTGACATATCAAAATCCACCTCCCTCTCCGAGAAACTTATTTTACTGCAGGTTTGCACTTTTTACAGAGACCAAATTTTTCAGACGCCGGATTCAAAGAGCGACAAATGAGCAGTTTCCCTCTTGTTAAATCTGCAATGAAATTTTTCTGATTTTAGGGTGAAGCGTTTAATGCCGTTCAAGTCATTTGTTTTCTCTGGCACCTTGATCACCCCACCTTTCTTACAGTCCCAGAAATATGTTACATGCACATTTTTACAAACATGTAGCATGCGTATTTTGATAAACATGTATCATGCAAAATAAGGAATATTTTGGCAAGTAAGTCATTGACTAAAAGATTTGATGGAAATGATCCGTGACATTGAAAGGAAGTTTTTCTACAACGAATGAGTAACGCAAACGAATATTATAGCTTGATACCCTTTTGATAACAAAGACCATACATAGGACAAAATGGAGGAGATCTTTCAGCTTTCGCGAAATGTAAGACAAAGAAACATTTACCTCTAGGAAACAAAACCATGTCCTTGAAGACGACTTTTTTACTTCTTTTCCACGACTGTTATTGCGAAAATGCCAGTCTAAGTGGTCACTATAAAGAATCTTATTGTCTCCAAAAAAGCGCAAGCCACAAGAAGCGCATTGAGTGCCAGTGTACAAACGATCTATGACACTGCCATGTCGCCTGAAAATTAAAAATGAATATACAACAGTAGATATGACAATTTTTGCAAAAAAATATGCTAACTAAAAACTATGTTATGCTTTTGTTGTTTTAAAGACACAGTGTTTAAGCGTGGAGTCACGTCGCGTCGCCCCTCACGAGTAAGAATCGCTTTTTCGACCAACGACTCAAATTTGAGCCTGCGGAAAAGCGTACAACGGGAAAAAATGGGAAATATCATCCGTCTCCTTCCCCTCTACCTTTATCATTCTTCAATATCAAATCAGAGCCATTTGTTTTCAAAGCCAGAGTAAAGAAATAATTAAGTTAGCCCCAAGTTTTGTTGTCTCTTGAGTGAGACATTATCACATGTCACACGTTCAGCCATACATAAATTGTCGAACATTCGAACATCGCAGCAGGGAGCCCGGTGTCTCATTCAAGAATAGGCCAATAATAGTGCTTCCCAACAAAACCCCTGTGAATGAAAATTGTCCAAGCTACTGTTTGGGTTTTCACGAAAATTCATTTTTTGGAGACGAAGAAACAAGTTGTGGAGTTTGCTTCGTTTTTATTAAAAAACCCGACTGAGGTAACGGCCAAGAAAGTTGAGTTGCAGGGAAAAATAAGATTCGAAGATCTAATTACATTTTCTTTAACAATTCGCTAACTTTAAACAATTCTCCTTCATTTTAAGCACAAAATAAAACAACGATAATTAGCTAAAATTACGAGAATTGCGGTACTGAACCAAACTTCTTCATTTTGATATTTTACAGTCAGAATTTATGCAAAAGCTAGGATCGTCTCATACGGGGCAACAGGGCAACGGAGCGACTCTAGTTGTCGGGGAGACGAACAAAATACGTCTTTCTATGAGTGAGGCAAACATCCGGCCTGGAGCCAAAGGGCATGCACATGAAGTCATGATTTCGTATGCGTTTTAGTAAAAATAAGACTTGGATGAGACAAAGTCATTAATAAAGACCAGATGGAGAATAGGGGAATGGTCGCCTGAGAGCGAAATTTATTTGACAAAGTGTTTTTGGTCAATTCGAGGGTGCTGATTTCCAAAAAAGATATTATACGGGGATTTATGGGTGGGGGGAATAACCATTTTTTCGTGTTTGAAGTTTATGCGCTTATTCATCAATGAAAAAACAGGATAAATGGAAATTTGTCAAAATCTTGAAGTTGAATGAGGGGAATTTTGGACTGTTGAGGGGGACAAAAACCTCGTTTTCACGAGACAATTGCGTAATCTTAAACTTTTACCCACAAATAGACACCTTAAAAGCTTAATGCAACTTTGATGTGACTGATATTTGAATTGTCGTCCATAGGAACTATGCAAAGCTATTCATTACTAACTGAGAAATAACATTTATGGAAAAACTACCGGATCAAGTAAACATAGTTAAATCGTTTCAAAGTTCCTCAAGAGAGTCGCTGCACACAACACCCTAAGTGTAAAGCTCTTTTTTACACTTATGATCTCTTTTGATCTCTTTTTATTTTTCGAAATTCTGCACAAACAACTTGCGTCGGAGAAGATTCACTTAAGATGGTCTTTGATTTCTATAAAATACACGACAAACTTAACTTAATCATTGCCCGGCATGTCCACTCTTATTCAGTTATGTATCCCCAGCTTATCCGAGAGATCTAAAAAAGACCCCTTTCTTCTGATCTCTATGTGAACGTTTTGTACCCTTTCCACTGAGATATAGTACTAAATAATAATGAACTTTATGACTAAACCCGGATTACATTGTGGTTCACGAGTGTATCTTTCAAGTGCTATCAGGAAAATCCCGTTTTCTCCGGACTCACAGTTTCTCAAAAAAAGCTATTTTGTACCCAAGGAACCATTCTAATAGCTCAAAAATTTGCAAACAGCCAGGACAGATGTCGGTTAAGCAAAGGCAGTCTCAAAATTTTTGCAACGGCTCTGGTCCGTCTTTTATAGCCAAATAGAACTACGGGAGGGTTGAAAAATTGTTTACCAATTTTTTACTGGAAAAAAATTCAAGAGGAGGAGTAATTTGCGCTTTCTTAAACACAAGACTTCATATTCTGCGTGCAAACGACATCGCTATGATTTTAAGACAAGCTGGCGGTTTGATGCTTCAGTAAATAGATCATGGTAAATAGGTCAGTAAATAATTGGGCTCTCTAGTAAATAGATCATGGTTGGGATGAATGAGAATACGTTCGTCAGAGCGATACTTGTTACCAAGAACATATCTGGGAGCTTTCGCTAAATCAAGCTGAAGTAAAAAAGAGCTTTACACTTAGGGTGTCGTCTGCAGCGACTCTCTTGAGGGACTTTGCAACGATTAAAATATGTTTACTTGATCCAATAGTGTTTTCATTAATGTTAATTACCAGTTAGCAAGAAATGTGCTTAATTATCTTTGAGATTTTAAGTTATTTCCATCTGAAGTGTTTTCTCATTGATCCCTCATTGGCCTTCACATACGCAAAAATGAGACTTCAAACACGAGGCTCATGGCCCCCAAAATCCCCGTATAACAACGATTTTCGAAACGAGTACCCTCTAATTGATCATAAACACTTGGTCCAATACATTTTGCACTTGGACGACCACTCCCTTATTCTTCGCCTGGTCTACCCGATAATGCTCGTTGACTCCCGGAGGGAAGGCGACCTCTCTTATTTGTAGTTTTCCGTTTTCTCCTAGCCTCAACAAACAAGGAAATGCGATAATGATCTTTGATTCCCAGACTTCTAAAAAGTTTTCGCTCCCTGCTCTTCCCAACAAAAAAGAAGATGAGACCACCGTATTGAAACTTACGTTTTTAAATCCTCCATCACAAATCTGAGATTAGGAATGATGGCCTCTTCTGATTCAAGTGCAGGAGGAGGTGTAGATGCACTTTTTTCTTCAACTTGCTTCGACGAATTGGCTATTACTCCAGATGACACCAGTCTCTGGAAAAGTTCCCTTACACCTATGAACTTCCTTTTTTCACTTGGTATCTCATCATCTGCTTTGGTGTCTGAAATAAATACAGTTGTTGCATTAAGCGATAATCTACTGCTTGAGTCATTTTATTATAATTATCACACTTTGTGTCGTTTTGACCCTGACAAAAGACTGCACTTGCACAAGGCTACTGACTTTGCTGATTATCACAATAAGACAGTGGACAGTCATATGCACGGTGAATCTAGCTGTTTTTTAATAGTCTGCGGAAGTACAGCATCTATTTTCCGATAAAATAAACAAGTGCCCGTTTGAATGCAAGCAGCTTACTAGGGTCAACTTTTAAGATCCTAACTTCAAGGAAAAACTGTGGCCACACCTGTTTCCTTTGGAACTGCTGGAGGTTGATCACAGGACACTTGCACAAAACCCAAGGGATACCTAAAACATAGGCTTTTGAACATGGACGCCAGATGGCGAGGACTGTAGATTCTCCATTCGCTGGTATGATGGAGGAATACGACTTTTTTATCTTGCAAAAGCTCAAAAGGCAAAGCTTGTTGAAAGAAGAGACTCATTAACGAGCCTACACCCTAGAGCCAGATAACTACTTTAAGTTGCATTGTTACCCTAAACTGACACTAAACTGCTTAATAATGTAAAACATTATCCACTCTTCCTAACACACACAAAATCCAAACAAACTTTGCCAATAGCAAAGCACGACTCACCTGAAGTATTGAAAGTTTTGTAGCGAGAACTGTTATCAAGCCCCGTTCTCTGCTCAAACTCTTCAGCAACGTTCGATTTATCAGTATTAGCATTTTTTTCAAAAAGAGACATCTGTTGTCTTGTTCTGCTGCGAATATTATCATTTTCTTCCAAATTTCTTTTGCCGTCTTCATTTGAATTGAAATACCTCAAACGCTGGTCGGCAGAAATCCCAGGACTGGTGCTTTCATCAGAAAGCAGACTACGAAAAGGCAGCTGTTCACGATGTGTCTCGACACTTTGAGTTTGCCAATCGGGTTTCATAGACATATTTTCAGGCACGGGTTGTGCGCTTTTGAAAAAGCCAGATTCATTATTATAAATAAACCTTTCTTCTTCTCTAAATGGATGGTGGGCAATATTATCGGCCCTTGATTGTCGAAAAGCTTCTTCATGTCGAATAAAATCAACGTGCCTGGAGGCTTCAACGTCTCTCCTAGAACCTAACATCTGCCTACGATGTGGATGACCATCACCTATGTTGGGCCCTGCTGCTCCCGATGGCCCGACTACTCTCTTATTATCAAATTTTGAATCCATTACCCAACTATCTTCCATATTTCTTCCTGGTGCATCGAAGTCAGGGAGATTTCTCCTAAACGGTTGGTCTTGAAAACTGTCCGGTAACATTCTATTGTCTTGCGTATTCGGTCTGAAATAGGGGGAACTTGGAACTTTATGCACGAACCTTTGCCTTCCACCTCGAGCAAAGCCTTTAAATTGTGATTGCTGGTGGCGAGAGGCTTCAGGGGCTACGAATCGTCCTTGAACTTTTTCGCTAATACTTCGGACTTCATCAACGAAAAATCCATCATTTTCAGCTTGATTTCTTTCCCTAAAGTTATCCCTTCTAAATCTGTCTTCACGAATAAACGTCTCTTGCTCACGATGACGACGAGAATTATCATAATGAGGCTTCTGCTCAAATAATTGAACTGAGGGTCTGGGGCCAATTTGCCTTCGATTTTCAAAAGGTGCTCGTTGCCACTCACAGCTGTTTCTTGGTGCAAAATTTGCATTTGACGGTCCTTTGCTAACTTCATCCCCCCAATAAAGGTTTTCGTGCCTATTTTTAGCCCTTGATTCAACATCTGGGTCAGAGGATGGCTGACTAACAACCATTTCGTTGAAATTTACCGGAGAACCTCTTGAGCCTTGATGTCTGATTCCAAAACCCTCGCGGCCCTTTTTATGCAAAAGTTTATTGTGTTGAACGTCTTCTCTTTCAGTATTCACTGAATTGTTTTTTGGTTTATGAAAATTGAAAGCATTTCGCTTGTTTACTTTTCTCTCAGTCTTGAAAGCCCTCCCATGCACTTCTAGTTTGTTTCCCAGGACATCAAAATTACTATCACGACTTTTATCTAGATTAGTAACCTGTTGGGATGAACAAGGTTCCTCAGTTGCTATCAAGGGCTTGCTACATGGTTCAGCAACAAGTCTGTCAGTTTTTTCAATGGCTTCAATGTTAAAATTGGGTTTATGAGTACTTGCTTGTGAGGTTCTTTCGTTGGTGTTACTCTTTCTAGAATTGCTTCCAGACGTGACATCAGGCAACTCTGATATTTTCTCCGGTGTTATCATTTTTGAATCTTGTTTTAGAGAAACCAATGGCTCAATTTTTGTGGAATTTTCTGCTAATTCTTTTACCGCATTCAGCCTTTTCTCTTTGAGCTGTGCAATTAGATCTCTGTTAGTTTTCTCTTGCTCCAACGACTTTTGTCCAGGCGACGCTTCCTTCAAAGATCCACCAACGAATGGACTGACAGAGGGATTTGCTTCACCAACTCTCTCGCCATGTGGTTTTTCTCCTGTACTATCCCTCCTCTTTTGTACTTGGTACATCATGTTAATTTGACCAAGAAGAGCGTCATGCGCATCCTTCGTTATTTCTCCAATATCAAGTCTCTTTCTAAGCTGCAATTGAAGAAACAACAAGGTCACAGGGATAAAATGATTCACTTTGGTTTGAAATACCATAAACAATTCAATCCAAGCGATTCCTCATTCCTCAGAAATTATATTTCTAGGCACAATGATAATTCGCTTTTCATATTCCTTTTTCTTAATAGCAAGGATCAAACATGAAGGATTAGAAAAAACCAAAGAAATTGGCGAAAAATTGTTTGGCAGTTACAAAAAATTCTTACGATACCAAATATTTAATAATTAAATGCATTTTTAAGTTAGACAGTAATCGAGCAGTTGGGACATGTAAGAATTCAAATGTCTGCTTTGCTACAGCTACTTAGTTTCCAATAAAAATCTTATATTTTAGCGGAACTGGTCATCCATTCGATATTCATTGTTACCATGTGTATTCTCAAACTTTTTAACATGAAGGAAAAAGAAGAAACATTTTTGTTCTTTGAATTTAATTAATTCAGAAAAAAGATAGTAAGTGACGTAACTTTGTCTACTTGTTTCTAGCTCCAAATAGAAAAAATCTTAAAACTCCAGAAATGTTTAAAAATTGATTTATTCTGCTTAACCAAAATGAGGTGATCAGAAAAATGCATGTACTGACAGTATTTGGCACCTATTGTATGGAATTGGGGGCAATCAATTATAGTGCTTATTTTATTTGGGGAAGGATGATTCTATATGAAAAAAAAGTAGAAGATGGATAACCGATAACGTTCATTGGTGACCTTTCCATAAAGAGAAAACAAACCTCATCAAGCAACTTTTGGTGATTTTTTATTCTCATTTGACGAGGCAGTTCATCTTCTGATGGAACTCTCTGACCATCATCTAAATTTGATTTCCTCTTCATATTGCTTCCATTTCTATGATGATCAGCTTCACTAGGAAAATTATGCTTAGCCAGATGTCCACCAGTTGTATTCTGCTTTTCAGACATTTCAGCCGTAGCTTCTCTGACTTTTTTTGAAACATTGCCATCCAAATTTCCAATCTCATTTGTGCAGTCAGAACCATTTGATGATACTCTTTGATGCCCCACAATTTTGACCTTCTTATTTGGCGGAAACCATTCACCTTTGCTGGCTTTTGTGATATTCGACTGGAGTTGAATGCCCGAATTGGAAAGATTGTCCGCAGCTTCTCCTCTGTACGTAACCGAACTATCAATATTTGATACAGAACTTAATATTATATCATTGGTACCAGCGTTAGCCGGGGACACGTTTTTTTCAGTTACCTCTGAAGACAATTGTGTCGTGCGCTGTCTTTTGACATTTGAAACCGGCGAACCTTTCGGCAAAACTTCTTTTGCTGTTTTGGAGCCAGTTAACAAAAGTTCATCCCTCTTCTTTTTTCGGTGCATTACTTCATGTTGGTTTCCTCTAGCTGTGGAACCATCAACGAAGTTACTGTCTGACTGTAACAGGTCTTTTGCAGGCGGGTCTTTTGCAGGCGGGTCTTTTCTACGCGGGTCTGTTGAACGCGGGACTTTTGAATACTTTGCACTGCTTTGACTCACCTTGTCACCTACTAATGGCTATAAGAAAAAAAATTGTAAAGGGTAAATTTATTGGACTTGAACCTCTTTCCTACAACCTAGAACATTAAAACAATGTTTCAACATTTGGGTTCGACATTGCCAAACAGAGCTGCAATGTCGTGTCTCAATGCTCTAATTATTTGTGCGAGGACACTCAGAACAGGGGACCTTATTTCCTTTGTTTATACTGTATTGTTTTAAATTATACTATATTACATAATGTTATTGTTTTAAGTTATCAACCGTGTTTAAAATGTTCAATGATATGAGACAAAACAGGTTGAAGTTACATACTTAGATAATAGGTTTTAAGGTAACGTTAATTCTACTATCATTTTGAACATAACTATTTTGAATGATTTCGGCCATTAAACCAGACACGACCCCCGAAATATCAAGGTATTCAGGTGTAGGAACTACTTGTGACCCGAAAAAATATTTCCTTGTACCTGATCTTTAGTTTCTTGTTGTTGGGTTGAAATGTTTCTTTCTGCATGTCCAATGCTGTTAGTGTTTCCATGTTGCAAATCGTACTCAATACTGGGTCCACGTTCATTCTAGTAACGAAAAGGTAAAACCAAATCTAACATAAATTTAGAATACGCAGGGGTGCCAAAAGTCCTATGTGTAAAAAGGTCTGTATTTTGAAAGAAATGCAACTTTAGAGTTACAGCAAAAATGCTAGTCTATATTTACAGCACTGAGCACATGAATAGCTGAATTTGTGAATGTAAGGGAAAGTCAACGCAGTATTAATCCCCGTTATATGTCTTCTTAATAATCAATCAGATTACAAGTTTGATAAAGGCAATAGATTATATTTTTGGAAAGCGGTACCTAACCATAGACCAGTACAGCGATAAGAGATAACCAGTACAGCGACAAAAAAGACATTTTGTATTAGTATTTCATCTTCTATATCAATTTACTAATCAAGCTATTTACACTCCAGGTAAGACGTGTGACAATCCATGTGACGAAACCAGTACAGTAAATCATTCCAGTTGACAAAATCAGTGCAATTACATTCCGGGTAAGACGAAGATCGACAAAATCAGTAGATTCAAAAACTTTTAATTCGACTCTAGCTAGAGTCATCTTAAGTATAATAAAAATAAAAGGCAAATTTACTAGAAGTAGGAAAGAATTAAAAAATGGGGCTCGGAAATCACGTGACCTAACAGTACGAAGGAGAAACAATGACGAAATGCAAGAAGACATCAAAGAGAGGTAAACAACCTAGAGAAAATAAACATGGAACAAAGAAATAACAAAGGAATGAAAGGAGATGAAAGAAAATCAGAACAAACTCATGGGAATGGACGACTGCTGGGAAGTAAGTGAAGGTCTATCCCTGTGTATGAGGAGGCTTCCATAAATGAGCAAGTCAAAGGAGTTATCTGTTTTCGAGAGAACAGAAAAATTCTCAATAGAAGCTACCGTGTCCAGTTTTACAAATATGATCATGAATAGAAGAAAGGCTATGAGATTTAGCATTTTTTCCGTGTTTGTTAAAGAAATTAGAGATGTTTAGGTGCTCTGAATACAAACTTTAAATTAACATCAAGGTAACACTGTTTCATAAGCTTAGTGATGTTTTTCTCAATGCGAAGGCTATAGTGTCCTTAAATGGGTAGAAAGTACAGAAAAGGCTGTTATTACTGTCAGTGTTGGGAGCTTTCTCAATGGTTTTAAATTGTTTATCAAGAAAGATCCTTATTTTCTTATCAACCAAAGATTTAGAAAAGCAGTTATCATTAAGAATGGATTTGATTTTACAAAGTTCCTTATGAAAATTATCATACGAAGAGCAAATTTGAAGAACGGTAAATAAGAATATTAAAAAGGTTAGTTTTGTATTCAATAGAAGACAAACTGGTAAAGAAAATAGGAGATTTTTTGCGGTAGAGATTAGTAGAACTTACTATTGTTTTTTGGATAACAAGAAATTCAGAAATGGCAATGAATTCTCAACCTCAACTGTGAAATTAACATTAGGGTACAATTTATTGATTTGTTGTAGAAAATATTAACATGTTCATGGTTCTCAAACAAACCAAAAGTGTCATTCACATAACGTGGATTAAAGAAAGGTCTAAAGTTTTGGGAGGGGGCAGTCATCCGAAAAATTGGCTTCGAGAGCACACATAAATATGTTTGTAAGTGTAGGGCCAAGGGGAGAACCCATAGCGACACCATCAATATGATCAAAGAGTTGACCATTGATAATAAAGTGATTGTTTTTAACAGCAGATCATAGAAGTTTCCGGAAATTTTCACGATCAAACCTGCAGTCCAAATAGTGGAAGGTATCAAGGTTTTCCAATACACAATGAACACAGAGTTCAGTGCATTCGTCCAAAAAAAATTTGGTGAAAAGGTTAAAAACATGGAAGCTGGCTATGTGCAATGAGCGGTTATTTCATTCACGAAAGAGAAAGAATCTTTAGCAGTGTAATGATTAGCAGTATGCGGTTGAAGAATAGGAACAAGTTTGATAAAGCTGCTAAAAATTCATAGCGCAGCAAAGCGCCATTGAGGGAAAAATTGATTTTTGAGTTTAGGTTAGTAGGCTAGACACCAAGCTTTTCAGTTACGGGACGACCTCGAAACAAAAGATATACCAATTGGAATTCATTAGAAGTAGTTGATGTTTGTCATTATTTGTCTCCAAAGCAAAAAAATTAGCTGATTAAAAACTTATCTGATTCGTAGGATTTCAGGAATGAAAAATGAGACTGAAAACATGTTCTTTTACAACATTGCATTGTTCAATGACATATTTAATGACATATAGATGTGAAGCTAGGTTAAATTCTCCTGCCCCTTTCAATAAAAAACAGGGAGCATATAATATTCTTATTTCTTTTCATTTTCAAAACAAATTTTTTCTCCAACGAACGTCCAAAAAGGAGGAAGAACGTTCAAAAAACCACTCGCATGCTTTGCATTTACCTTGAACATATAACGGTTTTCGTACTAAATGTTTCTACTAGAATCTGCCACAGCATCTGGCTGACAAAAAGAATATACAGCCAACGAAAAGCAAAGTTTCCTACTGATCTATCCTGTGCCCCTTACCTCGAAAAATGACTGCAACTTTCATACTTTTGGTTGTAGTACGAAACAAGACTTGGGAGGTGCAAAACTAAAACTTTTTTATTTTAGTGATGTCTCGGTTGTTGCAATATTTGCTGAATAAGTGACAACTACAAATGCTAGTGGCACTTTAATGATCATTCAGCCTTTTCCTGGGAGAATCTGCCATCTTTTGTGTGATTTGTTGCACTATACTTGACAGGAAATTTGAAAGAGCGGAGTGGAGATAGTAGGGCTAGATTTTGGAGGAAGGCGAAGAACCGGGTAGGCTGGAGATATGTTCTTCATACCTGCGTTCACCCACTGCCTAATCGATCTAGGACCAGATGAGGATGATTAGAGCAATTAACGTAATCTTTAGTACCGGTCCCAAAGGATGAATATAGCGTGTTATGAAATTATAGGATCGGTTGTGTTATGTTCGAATCTAAAACGACGTTACCTGTAATGAGAATATAATGTTGGCGACGAGGATGGGGCTGCATGACTGCATGACATACCTATCCGCTAAACGGCTCTGTTGGCAGCGCGCATATGTAAACATAATCTTTTTCATCCTTCTTTGGTATTACTTTAACGGGTGAATATTATGTTTTTACAATTTTGAAATTTCGATCAAATATCTGCAAGAACACAACGAAACACATCTCAATATGAAAAATTGATTAAATATGTTAAAATTAGGCGAAATACCAGGTTACCAGGTTGCTGTTATTTTGGTTTGGTTTATAGAGTATAAACAGATACGAAATCAAATTTGTTTTAGGAGAGGTCTGATGGGAACAGAGCCTGTACTTAAAATGGCAATATCTTAGCTAATTTTTACATTCAACTGATTTTGCGCAGTAATAGCTTGAACAATTTTGATGGTGAATAATTCGCAATCATTCTCCTTACATTTGGCATTTTTTCAGATTGAAGCAAAACAAAACTGTAAAGCAAAACGAGCTTGACAGGAAAAGACATTTCTGAAATATCCCATCAGAAACGCTTATAAACGTTTAGGCCCCAAAAGCTTATAAATAATCTAAATTTTACGTTCTTTCATACTGCATGAAGCAGGAAATTTCAAGCCAAGAAAGTTGAATTCGAGTTTTAGACTCGAGAGGTCCTTTCACAATCCAATTTCTACCTACAACGAAAGCTCTATATGTTAAGCGAAATCTTAATCTCACAACATGTCAGTAAATTTAGGAAATATACAAACGCCGTGTAGAAATATAGACTATTAATCAACAACGTTTCGAGCATAGCCCGTTATTACGCTATGCTCGAAACGTTGTTAATTAATAACCTTTTAGTTATTCCTAGTACAATTTACTTAAATTCATAGTTATTTTCCTTATATTGTAAAGAACGCAATTTTGTAAAACAAACATTATAACCTTTATAAAAGAGGAGACAAGCATGGTTGTCAACAGTAATCGCAGAGTTACCTTCACAAGAAACCTTGGGTTGATATGGATAGAACTTGACGGAGGTGGTACGTCTACTACTGGCCAGTTTTGATCCAAGTTTTTAACAGCTAAATCCAGTTCATATAAGAATTCCTTTGTGAAGAAGTCACGCCAAGTATTTCTCAGTTTATATAATGAGATTCGAACTCGTTCATCTCCCTAAAAGAAATCGGTAAAAACCCATTCAAATCATATGGACTTCTCTACATAAAACAGTAAGTGATTTTTGAATAAGGAGAAGTTATTAAATCAAACCAGCCAGCGGAAAATTCTATTAAAAGGTGGACTTTCTTGTCATTTTACTCTCATACCTCACTTTAGTCAAGGAACTTTTTCAAGCTGTTCCTGTCACTATGTGACTATAGCATCCTAATCCATGCGTGATTTATATTTCGACTGGCTATAGTACACAGTATCCTAATCAGTGCGTGATTTATAGTTCGGTGGGGCTATAGTACTTTATTCTATTTGAATAAGTGGGCTGAAGCAGCCCTACACAACATATTTGTGGGGATTCTTTTGTTATTGTGCTACTTTCAACTTAAAAATAAAAACAAATGAACAGGTGATATTTCTTCGTCATAACAACAGTTTTACTAAATACAGAAAGACTTACATGTTCGAAGACATTCAAAAATATCTCCAAAAGGTTATCAGTAATTGCTCGGATGAAGTTATCTCCAACATTCTTCAAAATTGAATCCAGCAGGTATAATGATGGGAGTTTCAGCTTAATGTTGCTCTAGAAGACACGTGATTCAATCAATTACTCTCAAGTATCGAACAAAGTGGGGGGGGTGAGAATAATCAGGGGTGGGAAATGGTCCGATATGACAAATTGTTGGGTGTTCGATTTGATTTTAAGAAAAAGAAGCCAATGCAGTGGTCATTTCTTGTGTGCGGGTCAGACAAAGCAAAGGAGAATTAAGTTAGTTTTTCTTAAGTACAATTGTTAAGAAGGAATCAACAGGGTTTAAATCAATGTAGGGGGGGGGGGGGGGTTTGGAAAATTTTTCAAAATTAATAAGCAAGCAGTGGCCAATTATTTGGCACTGGAGAGTACAATCAATACATCGCTAATAAGGTTAATTGTGTTTCATATCATTCTGACAGAAGGTTCCCAAGCACAAAAGAATTGGTACCCTAGTACTCTGGGCAAAAAAAAATTATAAAGAAAACTTTTTAAATACTTTCTCTGAATTGTTCAGGTAAAAGAGAATCTGTAATTTTAATGTAACTGAGTAAAGGATATGATTCCTATGGTCTGTGATGCCTATGTTCCAACAAGATATCTAGAAAAGCAGAATTTTATATTCAATTTGGCTTTAATTAGCTGAAACAGTCATATTTCAAGACACTCCAAATAAGTGACATTGGCTTCTGGGTCTCATGACAGCACATAACAAGGTCATATCACCCACATCTAGCCATGGTTATCTAAGGCAGGCTTGTTTCAAAAAATGTTAGTTAATTGCCTGCTTTGCGATAAATTTTTTCATAAAATATGACTGAAAACTATGGAGACTGGGTGCATTAGGACAGGGCATCAATCTACCCTCAATTTATCAATCAAAATAGCACTTCGTGTCGTATCAAAACAGAAGTATTTCTGAGTTTCAAATTCAAGTTCCATGCACAAGTAAAAGTTCTAAATGGAGACAACACTTTAGTTGTTAGTGAATCAGAATCAGATTTAAGTGAAGACAAACTTTATGATAAGGAAATGTGAGGAGCAAAAAAGGCAGGTGCTTGACAAACTGAGCACCTTTTACTTTCTAGGCACTCTATGAAGCACCGCACTGAGAAAAATATTTTGCTCTGTTCAAAGCTTGCTAGTTTAATTACGTTGGACAATGATGGTTGGATGATGGAGGTTTCTTTGTTCAAAATGTCTCAAGGAAATTATTTTAAAAATTGTGATTTTTGCAAATCAGAAACTTTTTCTTGTTGCCCAAGGAATCATCTTTAAAATACAGCATTCACTGTTTAGGGAATCACATGACACAATATGCATTTTAAAGAATGGAAAACATCCTGTGTAGGTCGAGTGTGATGAAAGAACCACTCTAAAGCCGCTCTTACACGGTCAGATTTTGTCGAATTCGAATGTCGAAAGCCATCATCAGATTGTCGAATTCGATTTTTCAAGAATCGAACGTGTTCTATTCCATTCGACAAATCGAAAGGTGAATGAATGACATTCTTGCTCGCCAACGCTGCTACGTCATCCGAATTACCATGTTCTGTATTGTTTCAGTCTGCAATCATTTTAAAGAAAAAATGGAGTGAATGCGGCCAAAGAACAACAAAAAGGAAGAAACAGAATTGTTCATTGCTAAATACTCATGTTCTCCTTCATGTAGTCCTTTCCTTCGGTGAAGCGCAACTCGTTCAAATGTGTATCGTATGTTCCAAACACAGGACATTGATTCAGCCATTCTTTTGTCCATTTTGTTCGTTTTCGCCTCTTATTTCTTCGTTTTTTTTAATACCAGTGCTATAACTCTGGCAGCTGAAGCAACCTACTCCATTTCATAAACAGAATTGAGGCATTTGACTCTTATTCGACAAAATCTGATCGTGTAAAAAGGGCATTCGATCCGACAAATCTGAAGCAAAACTAGATTCGACACAATCGAATTCGATATTAAAAATCGAATTAAAAATCAATTTAAGGTCTTCTTGAAATGCCCATCTGACACAAACAGGGTGGGTGACTTTTGGCCTTTGGCCAGGCCAGGTCTACCATCATAACAGTCATACATTCAACTAAATAATACTAATCATTAAACTTTTAGAAAAACTATTGGTTTTAATTTAACTGTGTAAAATCTGCTTGCTCTAAAAGTTTTTTGTCTGAAAATTTTAAAAGTTTTGAAAGATTTCTTCTTTTAAGTTAACGGTAAACGTTTTCTGGATGAAAACATCATTTTTTCGATTTTTTCACATTCAAGTAGCCGAACTTTCAAGGCACACAATGATACCAAATTAGAAACAAACAGAAATTTTGAAAGTGGAAAAAATCCCATGTAAACGAAGGTCTCCATAATTTCTTTATCAAAACTTTTAGTTGAGGCCCGAAAATCTCTTGACCTGTTAAGCCGATTATCGTTGCTTTGCGGTTGTGGTCGCGTGTCTCATTTACAATATCGCATGGCACATCCATATATCCAATGTACGGACGTGTTTATTTAAACAGGCTTATTGATCTTAAATCTTCAAGTGACTTGACCCGGATTACACTGTGGTTTACGAGTGTATCTTGCAAGTGCGATCAGTAAAATCCCGTTTTCTCCGGGCTCGAAATTCCTCTACATGCAGGTACGAAAAAGCTATTATGTACCCAAGGAACTAATCGAATGGCTCGAAAATTTGCACACGGCCAGGGCAGACGTTGGGCAAAAAAAGAATGTCTCAAAATTTTTTTATTTTCTCTGGTCCGTCTTTTATACCCAAATACAGCTGCGGGAGGGTGGAAAAATTATTTGCCAATTTTTGACAGGGTATAGTTTCAAGAAGAGGAGAAATTTAAAAAATCTGAGACACACTTTGGTAGCTTAGGACCTGCACTTCCTGCTGGTCTAAGTCAGATTTTGTTACCTCAAACGCAAGGGTACATAATAGCTTTTGAAGGTGGTACACTTTTTGACCAGTAAATTCGCATGGAAAATAACATTTAACATTATTTGCCAATAATTTTCATCTGGCTAGATACGCCATAATCTTGTGCATTGAATGATATATAGTTTATCCAGATTTCTTGAGCCGTTTGGCCTTTAGCAAGGAAAAACCAATTTTCGTGTTCAAAACGTTTACCGTAACCTTAAAGATTAAAGAAGAAAAAAGAAATGTGCAACCATTTCGAAGAAAATTTAGGTTTGAAAGAGTGCTTAAGGAAGTTTTCTTGAAATTCTCATATCCTTAACACACAAAGATTCTTTAAGTGTTTTAAGACCACACAATCTTGTTGCCTCAGATGATACAGCTTTCCAAGACCTAATTTTCAAGTTTAATGGATACAAATTTTTTTTCAATTTGGTTCAATATGGTGCAAGGATGATGACACAGTTTCTACAATGCTACTAGTATAAGTTTTGCCACATCACATTTTAGCAAATATGGCTGGAAAATCTGCTTCAAAATTTGAAAAGCTCTAAATCTCCTCAGTCCTTCTCTACTTTCCCTTGATACTCTTAGTTCTCTCTTTTAGCCAACTTTTTATGTTACAATTCTTATAATACATGGAAGATTTTTATCCTGCCACTATAGTATTTTCACAAAGCCTCGACATTTTAAAAGCTCTACCAATGCCAGTTTTTGAAAAAAAATGGATTAAGTGTAGTAAACATCTCAAAGATATTGCCAAGTATTCTATTAAAAAAACTTATTTCTACAAAACTATCAGCACATTTGTCATGCAAAAAAGGTGGTACTTGTCAAACTGACCACTGTTAACATTCTAGACACTAAATTTAGAACATTGAGATGTATGACTCAGTTATATTTTTATTACTGTTCAACAATCCTTGCAAAATGGAGATGTGTTAATGTCCTAGATGAAAAGCATATGGTCTATGTACACCTACATATTTTATGCTCTGTCAAATAAAGGCTGTTTGCAGCTCAGTTTACAGAATTCCAAAGCAATTATACAGGGTAACAAATAGAAACATTATAAACAACAATAACTAATTTTATCTTTTGAATCAATCAGTCAATCTCCTTGAACTTTCTAGGTGTGTGTGCAGGCACTCAATCAAACTCTAAGCAACTTTCCTTGCAAGGACTATTGGAGCTATTGGAGAAAACCCAGCCACAGGGGTGTAGCCTCAGGACCTTCTTCTATTTCCATCAGATTATTGTTTAATGGTTTTTCAAAATCTAGTGTATGGATAACCAAGGCATGTTGAACTGGATTTTGTTTATGGACTGGATTGTTAAAATACAAATATCTTTAATAAATTTGGAAGGCAGATAAATCCCCCAACCATATTGGTAACGTTTCCCCCAGTATAAAGCACCCCAGTATACGGCCAAGCCCCAGTATAGGGATTGTCAATCAAAATCAAGTTCTAAAGAGCCGCCAAAGCCGTTTTGGTGCGTTGTTGTCGCGATGATAGATAGAAGTTATTTCAAGACACAGAGGCTTCTTGGCCAGTAGACATTCAGCCATACACTTTCAGCAAGCGGCCATGTTGTAACAGCCGTACATGAAAGACTCATGCAGCCCAACACTCCAATCCCAGAAAAGGACAGAAGAGGGAAAATAGCAGCTTTTCTTAATGATCACAGAGAAAAGAAATTGGCTCCCAATGTGTCCAGTGACATTCAACATTTGCAGTTGCTGTTGCAGCAAAGTGAAGCTATTGATATGTGCCATACAAATAAGATGACTAAAACTATGGAGAAGATGGCCATGGCTATGAATGGATGTTTCCAAATGATGCAAAATATGTTTGACGTGCAGATGAGGCAGCAAACCTTCAATTATGCATCCCCTCAACCAGCTGCAATGAGGTCTCCACAGATGAATTCAAGGGTGAACAATTTTCACCAAAGAGATTTTCATCAAACAGAATATCCCTCACAGCAACACTTTTCAAGAAGTGCTACATTGTCAACTGAGGACACAGAGGAGCCCTTTTTGACATTGTTGAAGTGATGCAACACAAAAGAATGTATAGACTGGTTTCATTGAGAAAAAACATAATCAACATTTTAAACAACCTGAAACTGTATTTAAAAACCACAGAAATTGCTAGAAGTATTGTTATATTCTGTATTTTTGCGAATTGCATGATGAAACAATGGGAGACTGCATGGTAATTGCTGCTAAAAGATATGAAAGAGAATTTCAACCACCAGTTGAATCCTGCAGATACAATGCCCACAATGATGAGAGAGATGGAAAGAAGAATTGAAGTATTTTTATTTAATACTTTGAATAAGACTGATAATAAATGTATACCAAAAACGTTATTAAGGCCCCCTCTTAAGCCCCTGATGTCAAACAAGAAACATGGGCATTGAGTGGGTCTTTTGATGGGTGTGATGATGATAAGCTCATGTGCATTGAAGAGGGCCCATGATTTCCTTGTGCACCTCAAAAGTGAACGGGATACTGATACGGGATAGAAGTAACTTACAGAATATAACAATGAAAACTAAAAAGAAATGAATTTTTTTGCAATGAACATGTCATTCATATCCACTGTTGACAGAAAAATTATATATACCAAAGGTTTTTCCTCCAATTAATGCAAAGAATGTCTCCCACATCTGACACAGCAAATTAGAAAGCAAAATATATCTAAAAATTTGGCCTAGATTAGGATTTGTCTTAAAATGCTCATATTACTTTTTAGATATGTAAGAGTGGGGAAGCACATATTCCATCCAAAATTTTAAAATTTCTTCCAGCCTTCCCCAGTAGGGATAAATGCACTGCCCTAATCTTTAGGTGTCTATTAGAGGAGATATAGCAAATCTATTTGATTTTTTGAAAACATTCGTTATGTACCAGAAAAGCCCAATGGGAGGCTTGTTTATTTTTTCAGTCCTAAAAAGGTGGCTTAAAAGAGAGGGGGACTTATTAAAGAGCTTGCTAATTATTCAAAACAAAATATATTATAAAATGCCACAATGTTGTAGGATTTCTGATAAAGAATCAATATCAGTATCCCGTTCACTTTTGAGGTGCACAAGGAAATCATGGGCCCTCTTCAATGCACATGAGCTTATCATCATCACACCCATCAAAAGACCCACTCAATGCCCATGTTTCTTGTTTGACATCAGGGGCTTAAGAGGGGGCCTTAATAACGTTTTTGGTATACATTTATTATCAGTCTTATTCAAAGTATTAAATAAAAATACTTCAATTCTTCTTTCCATCTCTCTCATCATTGTGGGCATTGTATCTGCAGGATTCAACTGGTGGTTGAAATTCTCTTTCATATCTTTTAGCAGCAATTACCATGCAGTCTCCCATTGTTTCATCATGCAATTCGCAAAAATAATGTAAAACAAAGCAGGCAAGAAAATTGTAGCAAGAATGCTACAAAGCATCCATTAGTCTTTTCAGAATGCCAAACCTTGCCTTCAAACGTCCAAATGCACATTCCACAACCATGCTTGCACTAGACAGTCTAAATCCAAAAAACTGTTCTTGTTCAGTACTACCACCTTTTTCAAATTCTTTCATAAGATATGGGAGGAGAGGGTAGGCAGGATCCCGAAGCAAGCATATGGGAACAAGCTCCTCACCATCAACTATAACTTTGGGACAGCTTGGAATGGTTCCATCTTTAAGCATTTTATTGATCTTTGAATTTCCAAACACATGTGCATCATGCAAACTGCCTGGCCATTTTATGTCCACATCAAAAAAACAGTATTGATAATCAACACAAGCTTGGACATTTAGGCTGTAGAATCCTTCCCTATTAATAAAATCGACAGACTTTTCATTTGGCTTTCGGATGGAAATATGGGTGCAATCAATAGCCCCAATGCACTGGGGAAATCAAAGAAGAATCTTGCAGCTCCCTCCCTGACTGCTACTCCCGATGTTGGTGCCTTTATATAAACAGCAGCCATTTTTGAAGAGATTGGTGTAGTCAGACATTAAATGATGCAAGAAATAGTAGGCTCTGCCAAGCCAAATGCATTTGCAGTTTTGCGCATTCTCCTGCCATCAGAAAGGAAATACAATGCTGCAACCTGTGTCTCAACTGAAACTGGCCTTCTCATGTTTGTTCTTTGTCTTTGAATAAAAGGACAAAGCTTGTCGCATAATACCTGGAAGCTTTTTCTTGTCATCCTGAAGTTTTCTTTCCATTCTTCTTCCACTGCTTGGCCGTTTTGAATGTGTACCCACCAACTTGCAGCTCTACCTGGTCTTGTCCAATGTGTTGGCATCATTCTGGCCTTTCGTACCTTGAATTTTCCTCGCGGCAATGAGGAAATTTGAGCAATGATTCTCCTTTTTCCAAGCAACATAATTGTGTGTTAAACAACCGAAAATAAAATTGTTTAGCTACATGATACTCGCTAATCCCACAATGGTAAAGAGCAGCGAAGTCATCATCTCATTTGTATCCATCTTGTTCTGGTTCATTGAAAGAAAATTGGCGCCAAAGATTTTAAATGAAAATGGAAATGAAGCCTCAAGATTCGGAAAGAGGATTTGACCCTCGTATTGGACTCGCCTGTTTACACGAGGTGGAATGTGTTACGGGAAGTATCGGATCACTTTTCATACCACTTTCACAGCGGACTGATTCCACTCCGCAAAAGTGGTACGGGACGTATCGGATTAATGCGGAGCCGTGTAAACGAAACCCCTATCAGATATGAAAAGTAATCTGATACATGAGTAATCCGGTATTGTGTAAACGCAGCCTTAATCTTTGTGATTATGATTTTTTCAAAACGAGGTCCTACAAAGAAATTGACCCTCGTAGTTGTCATCTGAACAAGCGAGCCCTATATTCTTGCTAAAGACTCCCAAGTTACTCGGCTCAATAGTCGCACCAAAACTAGGTACGAAGAAAATAAAACAAAACTTAAACAGCTAAACTTATATTTTGCATGAATTTGAAAGGTATAATCTTTTAAAGGTGAGCTATACGAATGTCTTTCATGTACGGCTGTTACAACATGGCCGCTTGCTGAAAGTGTATGGCTGAATGTCTACCAGCCGAGAAGCCACTATGTCTTGAAATATCTTCTATCTATCATTGCAACAACAACGCACCAAAACGGCTTTGGCGGCACTTTAGAACTTAATTTTGATTGACAATCCCTATACTGGGGCTTGACCGTATACTGGGGTGCGTTATATTGGGGGAAATGTTACCAACGTTGCTCAAATCTCCAGAAATAGGCAATACCTTACAAAAAGGAAGGATAAGCCTTATCCTTATCATAATTCATAAGGTATAACTTTTTTGGGTTTCAAATGAACTTAAAAAAGCAAAAACGTCCAGTGAAGTATGTATTTTGCTGATGCCTCAACTTTATTCTATGTTTAACAAAACTACAGGGTGGTTTCTAATTACTATATAGGCCTGTTTTGAGATATGTATCATTAAAAAGGATAAAAAATTCCTTCAAAAGAGGCCCAATATATAGATCATTATTTTTAGACAATTTACAGCCTGAGACATAGATCAAGATTATTTTTACAACTGAATACATACCTCTATAATTCTCCTTTTTATAATGCTCACAATGCCTGAAGCATGACTGACATTTTCCTCAGCAAGCATGGTCAACATATTAATCATTGGTTTGGAGTTGAAGTCAAGGTCACTCAAAGAAGATTTATATTCAAGCAATACAGATTCTTCGTCACTTGTCGCCATCCCATTTGTAATGTATCGATCCAGCTGCCAGGAGAACGTTGGTGAAGCAACTTACTGATAAGCTCGTCGGAGGGAACCGTGTTCTAGGCGCTTGAATATTTATTGATGGCTTTACTGAAGTTGTTTGCTTATGTTTGATAATGCTCCAAATGCCCGATTACATTATCCGTTTAAGTTTGATAGGTTGGCACGATAATTCCAGGTGAATTCTTTCGAGGCAGTCTTCTTCTTCTTCTAGTTTCTTTGTACACGGTCTATCCAATTTTACTGTCGCAACAACTTTTACGATTGTGAAAACGAGTTCAACACCATCTTGGGTTCCCACAATGCAACTTAATCAGTGGTCTCCGTACTTACTTCACGCGCATGCTCATTACTGGCTCGTGACTTGTTCCAGACGAAGCCCACTGGTAAAGGGCCACCATAGGTCTTTGTGTATGTTACATCTTGTAAAGGTATGTCTACTTGAAACATAAACAGTGTTTCGTATCTAAAACCTGCGTGTTAGCCAAACTTTTGTAATTATAGTTACCTAACCTGCTAGTCATGCAGTGCATGTTTCGTTGCAACAGCTGGCACACGTGGCGTTATCATCGTATCGTCTGTTCCTTACTAACTATGTACCAGTTTGGATCATGCAGATCACATAGAGGTGAACTTCAACTCTTGAGGCCTATGTTTTGCTCCATTTGTTACTCATATAACGTCGAGTCTATAAAATCTAAAGGCACATTTAAGATCTTTGAACTAAAACTAAGTTACCAATTGGTTTAGAATTACATGGTCCGTCCGTAGGCCGCTGTATGAGCCATTTATTTGGGAGATTAGTTGGCTGCCATGATTTTTTCTTTGGCTGAATTCCCTTCCTTTTGAAGTTGATTCAAAGTCTCAACTTTCTTAATTCTGACCCTGCTGAGTTGTTCTGGTATCATTTGTTCATAGGAAATACTTCATTTCTTACACCAAATGCAGTGACAAATTATTTTCATATATGTAAATTCCCTAGGATCGGTAGCATCCCAACATTTTCCCAAAATCAGTTTACCAAATATTAATGAGGACAAATGCCTTTGATAATTTCATTCAGCCTCTGTTTGTTTGAAACCCTGGTGTTAGAAATTTTATCTCAATACATTCAAAGGAATGATTGCTTTCTAGTTCATCCATGATTCATTTTGGCCATTTGCGTTGAACTGACCACTGCATATTGAAAGTCAGAACAAGGAAGATGATTAGTGTAAACTTGAGAGGAACAGCTTTGTTTTTGTAAGAAATTGTTTGAAAACAAAAATTTAAAATGATGCAATAAAATACACCATTTCTGAAATCAAAGATGACTTTTAAAGAGCACAGCTTTTTTGTCACCAAACATTCATAAGAATGTTTCAGAGGCGGATTCAGAAGTTCTGTATTTCAGAGACTTTTTGACAAGGTCTATAAACCAAACAGAGAATAGCTTCAGCGACACGCTTCTTGTTGAGATGTGGTACCGCTTTTTCAGACCCCCCTCCAGTTAATCAGATGAGAAAATGTTGGGGAGGAGTAACATTTTGGCATTGTACATTTGTTAATGTCATCCTTTGATTTTCAATCTGCCTTCACATAGCCAACAGTTAGTTATGGGTGTTCATTTCACATAAAATTGACTCTCCTTGTTTGTAAAAGGGCATTTTCTAGTGCTAAAAGGGCGTGGCCTAAGTTTTTTGTTTTGTCCCCCCCAGAGTGTAGTGGCTGGTGACGCCATTGCAAGGGCCATATTTGTGTTAATCACCACCAATTCAATACAACACAATTGATTATTATCAGTCGTACTGTGCTCGAATGCTACACAATTTTACTTTTGTTAGGGCTCAGACAAGAATTTAATAATGCGGCATTTAATAACGCACTCAGACAAAAATATTGTTTTTCTTGATTTCACTGAACTTATAATGAACCAGAACTGATGTTACTTCATGTGCAATTCAAAGATTTCATGTATTAGACTAATACATTGAATACATTTGTATACAATGATTACAATGCAAAACGTTTCGGGGTAACCCTTGAAAATTTGTTAAGGAGAGGAAAACAGTAGATAACAGACATTTTTCTGCCAAACTTTTCAGTCTTTTTTCAAAATATTTTCAGTTGTGCTGGAGAGTAACTGTTGGACATATTTAACAGGGTTTCCAAGTTAGGCCCAAGATGTGTAGACACAAATAACATTCGCAAAGGTCTGGATTGAATATTGTGGTTCATCGTAGATCAAAAATATTGAAAGAACTTTTCAGGCCTATCCAATAATTTTCGTAAATATTTGTAGAACAAAGTAGAATTGAGCCAAAAACCCAAAAGAAGTTACCCTAGATACAGCAATCAAGCATGGACTTGAGTCAGAAAGCATATTGGGTCTGACTTGGACACCCCTTCATTCAGAGGAGCAGTTAGCGGGGGCTAAGAATTCGTTTATACAGATTTTACTGCAGGCTCAGCATGTCATTTGGGGGAGGGTAGCAGTGACCTTTGAAAATAGATACAACGAAGGGGTTGAAGGAAGAAGGGCCAAGACGTTTAATAATTTGAGCATAATATATACCAGTATAAGAACATATATGTGAAGCGGTCACGCTGTAAATTTCTGTTCAGAACATTAACAACTCTTCAAGCATTCTTCAGAAAAATAGCAGTGACCAGGAAACTAGCTTCTTAACAGTAAACCTGCTACACGATCTGCCTAAAGATCCCATGCAGATTACCCTTGGGAAGACAAGAACAGTGCTTACATCGATGACGAAATGAACCATCACGACAAATGCGCCTGCACAGGGGTCAAACATGATGGGAAATTTAAACAATGTTCCTACAAAACATAGTAACAAAATCAGTAGCACTCTTTGGAAGTCGCACAGTCGCTAGGAAGGGGGAGCCTAACCCTCTTTCTCCTAAGGCTCCCCTTTCCTAGCTGTGCGCCTTCCTATGAGTGTGATTGATTTTGTAACTTTATTTAACCAAGTCACCAAAGTTGAAACATAGGTTGGGATCTCTAGTAAATCAAAATAACCTGGGAGCTTGGGCTAAATAGGTAGTTTTGTAAAAATGTTCTAGAAGGCACTTTAGCAAGATATTTGATAATTTATTTTGCATTTTTCAGCATAAAGCGGCTGCGTGATGACATTGTTAAGAATCAGTAACTGTTTCATAAGGTACAAGCATAGTTTGGTAGTCACAGGTAAATATGCATAATTGCTTTTTTGATGTATTCTTCTTAGCAGTAAATTGATAATTTGTTGGGTGTTAATTTGAAGACTGCCTGTTGACACAGCTTAAAAAGACAGACTTTTATGCCATGAGGGAGCAATTACCATCTTGTTTTGTTATTCAAGTGGAATATTTTTGCATGGCAAGATAAAAATTAATTTTTTGCATATATATTTTTTGTCTCCTCTACATACATTCTGCATGTTCATTTTTTGCCTTTTATTTCCAGCATAATGGGTTGTCTGACATGACAATTGCATGTGTAGCCACCCTCTTAATAAGATTTGTTTGAGCTCATTATAGTAAGTATTTTGTAGCCCTTTTCTTTCTTCATTAACTTGATTCTAAATCTGTCTTCTTCTAAGGGTCCAAGCTCAACAAAGTAGCGTCCCATAAACATCAAAAGCAAGTAAATTTTTTACAGGTATGTATCTCGAGATTTGAACATGTTTTGTGCCAAATTTGCTATATGTGAATTGTGTTTTGGTGATAACTTATGAATCAATAAAAAGCTTTGAGTGACACATAAAAGTTTAATTTTTGGTAATCCGTGTTTCCTGAAAAGCAGCTAGCTAATTCGAATGTATCCCAATCCTTGCCTGTAAATGAAGAGAAGAAGTGAAGATAGAGCCCAAAAATTGAAATCTTAGTACTTCTTAGAGGAAATAATCGTAAATTTGTTTTTAAAGTAACAATTTTGGGTCTCCCAAGTTTGAGCCCTTTCAATAGGTTAGAAGCTACCAAAACCCCGTGCAAACATCCTTACAAGAGGGGGAAAACTCCCCCGCCCTTATTCAGGCTGGTAGCGGCAGGCTCGTGAAAACTCTATTTTTTAAAAATCATTACATGAATTTTAGTCATTTCTAATTGCAAACATTTCAGTGGTGATCATTTTGCATATTAAGATTATTTCTCAACCTAAAGTCAGTTCTATACTCGAAGCCAATTCTAAATTTCTATTCCTCGTTTTATTTTTCAGAACGAAAGACTTCTTTCCAGACTTTACAGCGGAACCTCACAGTTTTTATCAAGCCATGTTAAAGAAGGTGAGAAACTGTTAAACATGTACGGTTTTTATTGTAGCAAATGGTCGGGATTTTCATTTAAAACGAATTGATACTGGTAGATTTTTTCGTAACATTTAAGATTTACTGCGAGATTTAATATTACTTTCAGTTGTTAAGGTGCCCCTCTTTTGAAAGAATAACTTAGACCTCTTTTAATGTGCAAAGAGACGAAATGTAATAGTAGATGGAATTGAACAAAGGAAACTGTTCCAAACAAAGTGCACGGTTGCTTTTCCACTGTGATTTCTTAGTTGGTGGTCACACGCATTCAAAAATATTGCTTACCTGCACCCTGAAAAGTTGTCAGATTATTCCACACATGACCTTCCCATTTTCTTCTGCCAAATCGTATTTTGTTTGTGCTCTTTAGACTTGAGAGGCAGTAGTGAATTTTAGAAAGAACAACCGATTTGCATCAAACAATATTTTGGCAAAATCCAAAGCCTATTTTAACCATCTCTTCCAAGTCTATCAGTATGTTCCTATCATTGTTTTAAAGGCTTATCCGCAAAAAGGCTTATTCAAGCGATTAATAATGAGTTTATCCTTTACATGCTAACAATGAATTTTCAGCATTAACTTTCTCGTCAAGTTTTCCAAGCTCGCTATTTGTCTGTGGCGTAATCCCGATTCCCTGCATTAAGCTGTAGGCTGGTTGGTAGACCATACTGTTGCCAAGAAGATGTTATTTTTCCAAAGACTCCGTGTTTCTAAAATTCTGTAAGACAATTTCCAATATAGAATTAAAATGGAAAGCAGATTTCTAGATACAATCAGCTACTTTTTTCAAGTTGTTTCTCCGTGACAACTCTTCCGTGGTTATACTTATGACAAGAATATTTTGAAAGGTAAAGCTAATTAAAGTTTTATTAAATCTGTAGCTATCAGTTTACTGCAATAATTTTGTTGTAGATGTTGCTGCCAGCGGAACACCCTATTCTGAGCTTACAGTTTCTGTACCAAGAGAAGTTCATCCGGATGAAAGAAGAGTTGCTTTGTCGCCACAAGCATGCAAAGCTCTCATAGATAAGGGCTTCAAAGTGCTGGTTGAAGCAGGAGCAGGGTCGCTAGCTAAATTTACAGATCAAGATTATGCTAATGTTGGAGCGACTTTAGTCAATACAAAAGATGCCTATCTCGGTGACATAGTGCTAAAGGTTTGATTTTAGTGCCTTGTGTATACTAAAATTTAAAGTTTGTAAACTAGTTTGTTGGTTATATCAGGGGTTTACCGTAAAACATTATAAAATTGATCATGCTTCTTTAGCAAGATGAATTGGCTCACTTTCTCACAAGTATGCCATTTCTCTTCTTTTGGTGAAAAGTACTAAAGTATGAAACATGACTTCAATACCTATGGCCACCGATCGAATCAAGTGAATCAAATCAGTGCTAGGTTCAAGATTAGTTTTTATGACGAAGTCGTGCTGCTTTAGGTTAGCCTGACAAGCAACAGCACTGCCAAATGAAGACTCTTGAGAATTACCAAGGCAACTTAGTACATGAAAAATGCCTGTTTTCGTAAAGAAACCCTGATCATATTCTCTAAAGTAGGCATAACTGACCACAAGAGTCCAATGTAGGAAAAGTTTGCAGTGCAAGAACAAGATTGTGCAAGCTGAGCATATTAAATAACAAATGTTTTGGTTGTCATTTGGAATTGTGTGTAAACTGCGAACTATTATTTTCTTTAAGCTAGTGAATGTTAAGCTCATTACCATATTTTGTGAATAAAATTCAGTGTGTCTGTGTCTACTGATAAGAAGATGAGAAACATACAAATAGAGAAAGTTATACATTAAAGCCTCAGTTTGCCAGTTTGCTTATGACAAGATCCAATATTCAAGACAGTTTTGGTTATTATATTACAATAAGGGCACAGTCTTGTTTTTTTGTGCTGGCATTTACTTTCATATGCAAAATGATGGCTGTTTAAACAGTGACTTGTTGAAGGCACGTTTATCAAAGGATGGTATCAAAGATAGAATTCATTTTTGATAATAGTTTTTAACTTGACACTGCACGATATTCTATACAATTTTTATTAAATTTCTCATGAAGGTTAGAGCACCTGAGGAACATCCGCACCTTGGTGTTCATGAAGCTAGTTTGTTGAAAGATGGCGGTAATCTAGTTAGCTTTATACATCCAGCTCAGAATAAAGATTTATTAGACAAGCTGTCAGAGAAGAAGCTTACAGTTTTGGCTATGGACTGTGTACCAAGAATATCTCGTGCTCAGACATTTGATGCACTTAGCTCCATGGCAAATATTGCTGGTTACAAAGCTGTTATAGAGGCTGCCAATCAATTTGGTCGATTTTTCACAGGTCAAATAACTGCTGCTGGCAAAGTTCCTCCTGCAAAGATCCTTGTTATTGGTAGGTTTTTTGCCATTTTCAAAGTGCGGGCTTTTTCTCAATTTTTATTGAAAATTTTCAACAAATTTTTGGTAACCAGCTCCAAAGTTCTAAAGGGAGAAAAACTTTGTTCCAGAGGTCTATTTAAGCGTCTTAAATTTTGAAATGATTTTTAATGTAAATCTTAGAAAGGTGGGCGTGATTGACGGCAATGTGACTTTAAAAGGTTACCTTAAGATTGTGGAAAAGCTTATTTAGTATGAGCACTTATTGTTAGACATTTTTTACACTTGTTTAAATCTTTTTATGGAAGTAAAATGATATTTTTTAGTATGACGTGTTTCGAACAGAGAATGCTGCTGTGCAGTGATAAAAATGTTATTTTAAAGTATCATAGGCATGAGTTGAATATTTTTGCCTTTGTCCTTGCTAGCAACAAACCTGATTTGGAGGGCAGTTTGTTTTGAATTTACCATTCATTGTACAAAGATTTCAGTTCGCAGATTGCAATGATTTGTTCTTTGTAGAAAAAAGCAAAGATTATAGGGCAGAGTTTGTTAAAAAGTTAATTGAATGCAGACGTATAAGAAGTATTGTTCTTCTATTTTCATTAGTTATTTTCATTAGCTATTATTAGCTATTTTTATTGTTTTCAGCGACCAGTGCTTCAATCAAACATAAGACTTAACCTTGAAAAATGTTTTTCTAATGTTTAATGTAGAGGAAATAATGTCTGGTCAGCTCATAGATCTCTTTAAAACAGTGAAATGATAGGTGAGCATTAAAAGTCAAGATTTTTGGTAAGTCGGCCCTGCAAATCGGCAAATTTTCATTTCGAATCGAATCGGCCTGAAGATTCGATTTCGAATCGAAACTCGAATCGAATCAGCCGTAACTTTTGAAAAGCCATTTTTACCCATTTTAACTAAAAAATTGTTTTTTTGACTTATATATTTATTTTGTATTTTCTTTAAGAAAAAAAACGAAAAACAAATTTTAAACAAATAACATGAATTAGAGTCACGTCGCCCCTTATGGAACGATTCGATTTTTTCATGAATTCTGACTGTGCAATAATAAAAATAAATATGAAGGAGTTTAGGTTTGTTTTTTCTTCAAAAAATCTGTGATCTGAAGGAGTTTAGGTTTGTTTATCTTCAAAAAAGTGTGTGAGCACTTGATAATAACGCTTTTTCAGGTCACAGGTGGAATCTTTTAGGAAAAACACTGGCCGATTCGATTCGAAAATCTTCGAATCGGAAAAATATTTCGAATCGAATCGAATCGGCAGCCGATTCGAAAACGAATCGATTCGCAGGGCCCTAGTCAAACCGGGATTTTCCCTGCATCTGTCATTTCCGATAGTTCGATTGGCTAAGACCGACATTGGATTAAAGGGTCCAGCATGCACTTGGCTGCATTAGAGAATGTGTTGACATCTCCGAAAGAAACCAAGCAGCTTTGTTACTGTTCTTGATTTTTTAAAGACTCTTTGCTAACAATAAGCCTTTGCGAGCGTGGTAAATTTGTCCAGGCAACGATCCAAACAATGGCAGTAAACTTCTGCGGATTAACCAAAATTGATTTCAGACTGTCTGAAAATGGATTATGGGATGCTTCCGTAGCGTAATGGCACATTGTTAGCAATGATACATTATAGGTGTTCTAGCGCCCGCAGGTTCCCTCTTGATCCAGCCCTAGGACACTGCATTGCATTTTTCAGTGATTCAGTGCTGAAAAACATACTGTAAATTTTGCGTTTTCCAGTGTTAAAATATTGTTAATGATGTAAATAAAAAAACGTGCATGAATTTACTCGTTAGTAAATCAGTAGAAGTGAAATATTCCCGTCAACCAAAGGTGGAGGTGTTGCTGGTCTTGCCGCTGTGGCCACAGCAAAGAACATGGGTGCAGTGGTGAGGGCTTTTGATACCAGAGCTGCCGTTAAGGAACAGATTGAATCTCTTGGCGCTGAATTTTTGGAAGTTAAAGGCGTAGAAGAATCGGGCGAGGGTATGCTATTTACAATATCTTGTTTGGCGGATTGAGGTTGCATTATTTACAATTTTATTGGAAAAAAATAACTATTTACCCCCTTTTGAGTTTGTAAACTCATTGAGTATTTATCCTGAAGTTATTTTTCCGCATGGATCATTTCACCAATTTCCACTGTAGTTCTGTGTTTGCTAGAGGGCATAATTGTACAAATCCATCTTTTGTACTAGTTCTCTATCTGCATGTCATAGGGACCGGTGGATATGCCAAAGAAATGTCACCGGAGTTCATCAAAGCTGAGATGGAGCTTTTTGCAAAGCAAGCTAAAGATGTAGACATAATCATCACCACCGCTCTAATTCCTGGAAAACCTGCACCAAAATTAATAACTACTGAAATGGTGGAATCAATGAAGCAGGGGTCTGTCATTATTGATCTAGCTTCAGAAATGGGTGGTAATTGTGAGGTTACAAAACCTGGAGAAATCTACAATTACAAAGGTGTGCAGGTAAGCCTGTTACAGAACTTTTCTTTGATTTGCAGCCGGGTCGAGATTTCCTGAATACTGGTTTTCATAAAGGCAGGAAGAAATTCAAAATTAAAGTCCATTCATTTAATGCCATTCTTTCAGTGACACGGAGATATTTGTGCTTGTTAATCTTTGATAACTTTTTATCGATTTTCAACATCTTGTCAGGTTTTTGCTGATTTTTTATTCTATTTCCCTCTATTTCGTTCCATGTTCCATACTAGTCTCTGGCAGCCCCTTCCTTTGTCTTCGTTACACATTTTTTCTTTCGAACAGCTCTTCTGAGCGCTGATGTTACCAATCTTTAAACACCTTTTTATCACATCCGATACTTCATCATCCAACCACAATGTTTTCTTTTTCTTATTTAGTTTTTCCTGTTTCTTCTTAAGTTTTACCACAAACTTACATTTTGCTTACAAAAGCACATCCATAATAGCTGTATGCTTCTCATTTCCATTTTTTCTACGTGTCTGGCGTTTTTCTCTAACTTCAGCTCTTTTTTGGCTTGTTTCTCCCCTGCCTTGATTGTTGAAGTATACCGTGTTTACCAGACCGCAGCCTCTCCTGGTGTACCCATGCAATCTTGAACCGATTGCTGTTCTGACTTTCGTATCATGATTAAGTCAATCTGTGATTTCTTCTTCCTGCTGTTATACGTCAGCAGATGTGCTTATCTTCTTCTCAAACATAAAGTTATACCATGTTAATTGACTTGACACTTTTTAAGGTGTTTTCACCTTCATCCTTTTTTCTTCATAACCCATTCTGCCATGTTCTCTTTGAAATCTGTTACGATTTTGCCGACATGTTCATTTAAATCAAAACCAACAAGAGTCTTTTTCTTGGTGGTACCAAACTGACTAATTTATCCAGCTTGTCAAAGAACTCGTCATTTTCCTTCATCGCTCAAACCAGATCTTGGCAAATATCCGGATACTGCACTGCGTACACATTCTTCTATTAACGTTGTTGTTTTTATCAATTGGTTAGATTGTCTATATGCGTCGAACACGGTATTTTCAGCTATTCGTCTTGTATGCCTCCAACCCCATTCTGCCTCTTTCTCACATAAGAATATACTATTTGAAGCCTACGCCCAATCCTCTAGCGCTCTTGCCTCTCTGTTTTGTTTCCTGTACACAGACCATGTCGATTATGCGCTTTTAGAATACATCCACTGGCTCTTGTCCCGTTCTTGCCGTCCTTCCCAAATTCCATGCCACCACTCTTTCCACGACTTGATTCCTGGCACATTGAAAGCCTCAGGCATGCGTCGCCTACAAGATATACCCTAGCATATACCCTAGCATAATTCCTACTCACTTTGAGCCTTCTTAACATAACAACACTCACATAAAAAGCAGTTAGAATAGTCGATCAAAGTTTTATGGTCAGGCTGGGTATCAAGCTGCTGCTGTTAAATTTAAGTCAGTGCCACTTGTTGCACACCTTACTGCGTGTAAACACAGTCACTCACTCAGTTTGATGATAATGTGAGAAGGGGTTTGGGCACCTGGTACCTGGTACAGAGCAATTAAGCTCAGCCATGTGCCACAGTCACCCACAATAGGGGACGTTAGCCTTCAAAGCTGTCGAAGTAAAAAAACTTAAAACCGGTTTTGAAGGGCATCCGGTTTTGAAAAAAGACTAGCATAAATCGGCATCTGATTATCCATTCAATTGATCCGTCATGAAGGGCATCTGATTATCCATTCAATTTATATCCTCTCCCCCCCCCCCCACCCACTATTGGCTCTATTAAGCCCCCTCTCTCTTTTAAGCCCCCCTCTCTATTAAGCCCCCCTCTCTATTAAGCCCACTCTTATCAAGCAAAAAGCTTGTGCTCTTATACCGATGTGTTTAAAAGCTTGTCGGTGACGAGAATATATTTTCGATTTTGTCGTCGATTAAAAAGCTCCGTGCACTGGACTTTTCAGGTTCATATACATTATGTTTTTTAGATAATTGGCTATACAGACCTGCCGAGTCGACTGCCAACACAGTCAAGTACTTTGTATGCCAACAATATCTCCAAGTTCCTGCTCTCAGCTGGACAAAAGGGCCAGTTTGGTATTGACCATGAGGATGAAGTTGTCAGAGGTGCATTGGTGTTGCAAGATGGAAATTTGATGTGGCCTCCTCCGAAGGTAGCAGCACCCCCACCGCCCCCTGCACCAAAGTCCAAAGAAACCGTCAAACCCCCCGCAGCATCACCTCTCAAAAATGCTGTCATTGATATATCTCTCACCGGTGGTTGGTATTGTGCTTTTTTGCTTATTATTTTCCTCGTTTAGAAACGCCTGCAAGCTTATATTGGATCGAAACATTTTTGCCCCTTCTTTAAGCGCAAGCATTAAGCACACATTGCAATGCCCTAAACAGATAAGTGCATAAGATATTTAGAGATAAATGCATAAAATATATAAAAAAGTCAAATATTTTAGATAAATGATCTTAGATCCGCGCTACTGTGTCCCCAGCTATTAGCAATTATGCTTGAGATGAAGCAAATACCTGGATATTTGATTGATATAAAAATAAAAACATACGTGGACGGTCCAGCGTAAAACAAGCAACTGAAAACTTTTAATTTTTATCTTTTATTCTATCCGTCACTATGTTATTTGCCTCACCACACTCTGCTTACAGGCTTCTCGTGCGGCTTTTGCTTCTATATAAAAGTGCCATCACGCTTCTATCAAAAACGGGCCCTCGGTACAAGCTGTCTTTGGGGTTCTAAGTGCAATTCGACTTCTCCCCTGGTTGTACCGTATCCAAATGGCTAATACTAAAGACAGATCTCCACTAGACGTTTTTTAAGACGATCGTCAGAAAATTTCGCAAGAGCTCATGCTCTTCGCGACGAAAATTTTATCTCGACGAAAAGTAGAACTGAGTTCAACTTTTTCGCCAGGTTGTTGACGATCATCACAATATTAGCCAATAGAAAGAATTCAATGAATTTTCAGACTGCATGGCTCAACGTGTCTCCAAGTGGAATCATAGTCGTTGAGTGGATTTACACTACAGAGAAATAGAGGAAGAAAGTCCATCTTCGATTAGCGTTAATTTATTTCAAAGCTTACGATCTCAGTAAAATACAAAGAGGATAATATCATCAACCTTGCAGGACTCCGTAAACAGGGAATAATTTTACAGGGCTTGAGCAATAAATTGGGAAAGTAAATAAACATAGGAAAACAGGGAAAACATTGTCGGAAGTAAAAGTACCTAAATCGACATTTCCTAGGCTCCGTTGTCAGTTTGGCATGTTTTCAGGCGTGCTGCGACACACGCTGCTACAAAGCGAAACAGCGTTCGTCGCGCGATTGACAATCGTCTTAACAATTGTCTAGTGGAGATCCGCCTTAATGCTTTGTGGTAGCGCTCTTGTCCGATTTAGCTACTTGCAACTACAGATACCAGTAGCAATCCTGTTTACATATCAGCCTTATCATTTCCGGGGATTGGGCGCTATGTCCTTGTCATAAATAAGCCTATAGAGATTTTTGCATCATCATCACCTACTGACCCCCTGTCCATCTTTCGTTTATATTCCAGTCGAAATTCTAATGTGTATGCTGTCCAGCACTAAAGATTATGATTCACCAAAAGAAACGTCTGGTGTGACGAGTACTAAAGTTCAAGTCTATTGCTATAATAGACTATATAGAGTTGTAAGGCAATACATTTGTCCTATCACAGCTACGGTGAGCGCTAAGCCTTGAGGGTAAAAGGGTGTCTGATTGCGTTCCTAGGTCATCACAATTGCGACCATCATCAATGGATCATCATCAATCAGTCAAGCATTATGAGTCATCTTGGTCAATCATCGTTCTCAATCATCAGTCAATCATCACCGATCAATCATCATCAATAAATGTACTCATTGTCGTCATCATCGTTGTTGTCGTTGTCGTCGTCATCGTTGTCGTTTTCATCGTTATCGTTGTCGTCGTCATCGTCGTCGTTGTCAGTGATGGTTGACTGTCACCGTCATTGTCATTGTTTAGCTCAATACCATTACTCATTCTTAATATATCTTGATAGCACTGCTATTTTCTGAAGACTGTATAAAAGGTTTCCATTGCCCTTTAATTTTTTGTATCTCAGCTTTATAATTCTATTTTTAGTTTTGAGATTTTAGTTTCGAAATTGTTCAGTTTTTGAGATTTTTCAGTTTTGCTTTGAAATCCTATGCCCAAATTTGTGGTAATATCAGAGGTTTTTATCTTCATTTTACAGCTGGTTTGGCTTCTCTCATTGGTCTAGGCATTGCAGCTCCAAATGCAGCCTTTAGTCAGATGATAACAACCTTCTCATTAGCTGGTGTAATAGGATACAAAGTCGTGTGGGGTGTGACACCTGCGTTGCACTCACCTCTCATGTCAGTAACAAATGCCATATCTGGAATAACAGCAGCGGGTGGTTTGCTGTTAATGGGCGGTGGCTTCTTTCCAACAGCCACTCCGCATTATTTAGCTGCTTCTGCCGCACTAGTGTCCTCTATCAATATCACTGGAGGCTTCATTATTACCAAGCGCATGTTAGATATGTTCAAAAGACCAAGTAAGTTTGATTATTCATTACATACGTTGCATTCGGGGATACAGGTATTTGGTGTATCCACTCCTGAATACACAACAAAAAGTTTCGAAAATTCGTGCTGTAAAATAATGAACAGGTTTATTTGACAGTTTATGAAGACAGTTTGCTGTTCAAAAAGCAATATTAGTCTTAGTTATATTATTAAAAAGTAGCGAGCTTTCAAGGCACTGTCACTTTTGATCAATGCCCATTGCAAATAGAGTGGGCTAGAATGTTTAGCAGACGTTTTACTCAAAGTAAATGGTGCGATTAGTATTAAGGAGTCTAATCTAAGGGCACGCTGTGGCAAGTGCTTTTAGCCAAAAAAATTTATTTATAGCAGGGTGGAAGAATTGTGCTCTCTGTATTTGTTTTCCATGGCATGTCATTTAGGCAAGGGGTGCAGTAATAGAGTGATTTGCTGGAATGACTGCTGGTTTAAATGGAAAAAAAGTATAAACGGTCCTTGAGACATTGTGCAGCCTCAAATCATTCAAAGCCGTTACTTTCTGTAAATTCTTTTTATAGCCGATCCACCAGAATATACTTTCCTTTACGGCGTTCCTGGTGCCCTTTTCGTCGGTGGCTACCTTGCTGGTAACGCATACGGTTACCCTGATATCCATCAAATGGCATACTTGGCCTCATCCCTTTGTTGCATTGGTGCACTTGGTGGTCTCTCAACACAAGGCAGTGCAAGAACAGGAAATGCATTAGGTATTTACCTATAAAATTTAATTTTTACTTTTACTTTAAAGTTTTCTAGACCGTTACACACCCATTTACTATCTATCTATCTCTATATCTATCTATAACTATATATATCTAATGAAAATTACTGTTTACTAAAAATCACTGATCTTTCATAAAATACTCGATGGCATATAGGCAGATCTGGACACGCTGTTGATGCATAGAACAGGACGGTTTTTAGTTGCTACTCCAAGTTTTACGCTTACTGTGATGATTTCCTCGCATCAGCCTCTATAGTATCAGGAGACGCTTTTCGCCCTAATCTACTTGTTGTCACTTCTGACAACAGCATATTCATACTCAAGCTTACTTTAGGTTACGAAACGAATTTTGATCTTAATGCTAGCAGCAAGAGAGAGAGGAATACTTGCTTCTTTTCACAGCTTATGCTCAGCCTTTACTTCTATTTTATTTGTTTATCGTTCTATCAGTTCCGTAGGTCTCTCTGGTCTATTATGCTCCTAATTTATCGACATGTGCAACGCACTAGATATTAGTGAGAGCCATCTCCGTTTCTTGATGTCTAAAATTATCCTTTATTATTCTTTATATCAATTTTTATTGAATCTAAAAGATTCTTTCTGAGCTAACTTCTCCCACAGCCACTAATTATGTGTTGCACAGTTTCTGTTATTTTTCTACAGACATCTACAAAAGGGAACTGTCAATACAATCGCCTGTTCCTCTGCAGCACATAGAAACGCTTCCTATGCTCAATCCCAAGCTATTCTCCTCTCAATTAACACAGTGTTTTCTGCTTATCAAAACCTCTGCCTCCTTTATTTAAATCTTTTCAAGTATAGTCTCCACATCGCTTTCTTCATCGCTCCACGCCTTTTCATTTGTGTTCTTTTTGTTCTGTCTAAACTCTTCGGTTCGCGTTCTTTACTGTTCAGGACTCCAGCCCCATATCTAAAAATAGCTACAGTCCGCCTGTTCATTGCTGTTATTTTGTTTTTGCCATTCAGCCTTGGTTTAAGAATCATTCCAATCTCCTCTTATATTTCCTATATTTCTCTTAATATCATTTACTCTGAATATTTCTCTTATCCAGCTGAACTTTATTAAACGCCAAAAATTTTGGACGTTACTAAACTACGAGCTACTAAGTGAAACAGTATGATATCTTGTCAGGTAAACTCACTTATCAATCACGAAACATCCTCATCACCCTCAACAATTATTATGTCGTCCTCTGTCATGCTTTTATCGTAGCAAACATCTTTGTTTTTTGCATTTCCTGCATCCGACTCCATTTCGTCCACTGTGCATTTCTCTTATTTTGTTTAATAATGTTGTGCTTAGAAAATGTTTTGTCGAATTAATTCGCTAATGGTTTGAAGTTCCTGTTTCTGCTTCTTTGAGTGGAAATGAGTTCTCAAAAAATCAATTTGGCCTAAATCTACAACTGCCCTGTGTCAAGTTTGCCAAATGCAGAACAATCTTCCGGAAGGCTCTCAAGTCTTTCCATAACATCGATGTTCAAGAGAAAACACCAGCCACGGCACGAACCTACAGTACAACTGGAGACCAACTACGTCCTGACTTACTTCTCAAAACAAATGAAAACTATCTTTACGTGTTTAAGCAAAACAGAATTTGAAACAATCTCCTTTTTGTCAGTTTACATGATTTTTGGCAACTCCGCAGCCCTTTCATCTACATGTGTGACACCCTTTTTATTGACTATCAACAGAAGTAACAGCTCATCTCCAAAGGCTCAAGCATTTCCCTTTGCACAACATTTTACACATTCAGTAGTAGGAACAAAACCTGCACTAACGTACTACTTCTACTTTTTTCTCTTTTGAACTTTTAAGTTATTTGCTTGCTTGCTCTTGTTTACTACAATTGTAACAGGATTATTCTGTGAAAAGATACTAGTCAGTTACAAATTAACAACGTAATAGAGAGATTCTAATTTTTATTATTGTTATTATTTTTATGTTGCCCTTCTTTGTGAATTTAGGACTTAGAATTGGAATGTTTTTACTTTTGAGATAACATTATTGATATATTTCCATAATATGTCATAATAGGTTTTTGTCCCTTTGGTTGAAAGGTATCATTGGTGTCAGCGGAGGTATAGCGTCGACAATTGGATTTCTTTCTCCCTCGCATGACGTCTTAACCCAAATGGCCATGACAATGGGTATCGGTGGGCTCATTGGAGCCATCGTTGCCCAAAGAGTAGCAATAACAGATCTTCCTCAATTGGTTGCCGCTTTCCATAGCTTTGTAGGATTGGCGGCCGTGTTAACTGCCTTTTCTTCTTTTATGATTGATCAAGGTAAGTCAAGAAGTACCTAAAAATCGTCTGCAAATAGTTTAATTTAATGAAGACTACTTTCTCTCTTTGGCGTTGCAAAAGAAAGAGAGGTCTAGTAGTGCTTTTTCAGTGGGTTACTTAAAGCTTAATTTATCATCTGCTTGATGTCTAAGACAGTGTCTTTAGTACCTCTTAGTAAGTAGTCAGTCGCTTAATTTTTCATTGCTACTGACTACTGACAACGGTAAGGTGCAGAAGAATATGCTCTTTTCATCTACTGAAAATCTAAAGGAAATATTTTCCCAATGACACTTTTCCACCTTTTAATAAAATAACAGTTATTAACCCTTATCTCGCCAAGGCTTTTTATTCTCAGTGAGGTTTTTATTTTTATTCTAAGATAATTTGAAGTGTCCAACCAAAGAAAGAGCACCAATTTTTAACGCTTTATACGATCCACATTTATGAGAATCATTTACAAAACTGGTATGCTGGTTTGGTTTTTTTCATGATTTTGTACAAGTTAAATGTAAATTGCACATAAAGGTTTTTTGATTTCTTCAATCATTGCAGCTCACTTCGCAACTGACCCTGCTGGCTCCGTACATAAAACAGCAATTTACTTCGGCACATTCATCGGAGGAATAACATTCACAGGGTCTCTTACAGCTTTCGGCAAACTACAGGGGCTACTGAATTCAAATGCGTTGAACCTTCCGGGCAAAAATGCATATAACATATCGATGGGACTTGCCAGTGTTGCAGCGCTAGGTGTATTTATGAACAGCTCTGACATGGGTACAGGGATGGCAATGCTTGGTTAGTAAAACTTTTTTGTAATCAGTATTCAATTCCGCTGATACTATTGCTTTTTCGGGTCTGGACTTTCCATGCTTATAGTCCCATAAAACATCGACATCAATGCTTGCTTTCTTTTCAATACGGCCATTTTACTTTCTATATTCGTGTAAATCAATTTCATGTAAGATTCAAGATTCTATTTGACTACGAAGTTATTCGGTTCTGACATGATCGATCACCGTCCTCTTGTTAGTTAAGACAGCCTCTGAATTTCGTAATGGTATTGCCGTGAATGTGATATTTAGTATTACCGTGAATAGATATTAAAAATGACAACAATCATTATGCACTCGATTATCTTGAGCTCCAATTGTCCAGTTTATGTTGAGATGATGCCCATTGTCGTCACATAAGTAATTTGAGTTCATCTCTATAATCACATTTTGTTCAATTATTTTATACCCTTCTACACAGATCAAATTACAGGATCAACGTAGGGATCAGTATTGCAATCCTGAAAACTCCTTTGCCCATCGTGATTTTTTATCCGATTTCATATCCTTTGAAAGTGTTCGAGATCACGACCCTCTTTCTCTCTGCTTGTTAAGAACAGTCCAAGAACAATAAAAAACATTTGAGAGGACCGCCCGATACATCTTGCTGTATTGTTGGAGAAGAGAACTGATTTGGTAACTTGTAGGACAATAGAGAAGCCCACTAAAAAGCTACATAATTGTTAACCTACAATAATACTGCATAATTAACTTACAGTAAAACTGCAAACAGCCTGATTGATTTTTTTACAGTAGGTTGTTCTGCAAGTCAATTTATAGAGAAAAAGTTAGTAGTTCAGATTTCGTTAAACTTACTGATTACAATGACTCTGGTGATAAAAAGAGTTAAAAAAAGCTCGCTTTTTTCTTATTATAGGAGCAGCTGCCGCTTTGTCATCAGTCATGGGAGTGCATATGACAGCTTCAATTGGTGGTGCTGATATGCCTGTTGTTATAACTGTTTTAAACAGCTACAGTGGTTGGGCACTGTGTGCTGAAGGCTTCATGTTACAAAATGATCTTCTAACAATCGTAGGAGCCCTTGTAGGTTTCTCCGGAGGAATTCTTTCTTACATCATGTGCAAGGCTATGAACCGCTCTTTGTCGAACGTGCTTTTTGGTGGCTATGGTACTCTAAGCACAGGTTTGTGTACGGTCGTTATTTAGTGAAAGTAAAAAAGCGTACCCTTCCAATACAAGAATATTACAAAACATCGAACTTTGCGTCACCTCGTCTTTTAATTTGTTTTCAATTTTCTAACCTTTTTGGCACTTACTTACTTTGTCAATAGATAGGCAGGAGGTATCAATTGATAGATACAAGTTATCAATGTCATGGAAAAGCATCTTAATCTTGTGCATAGAATCAATTTGCCACTGCCTTCAGGTTATAAAGAACCTATTTTTAATATGCACATACTTCACGCTAATATGCACACACTAGTATATGCAAATCCAAATATTAGTTATTTTATTACCAATCAAACATTTCAGGACAAGAAAGCTTTTCATCAAATAAATCGTTTCATATTTAAAATATTGCGTTTCTATTTCTTCACCGAAAGGACAGGTGCAAACGGAAAGCAGCACTGCGAAAACTTTTATTGGCTTGTCGAGAATTTTCGTACAAATCTGCACCTTTCAAGAATCAGATGTTTCCTAAATAAAATTGAAACAGTTTTAAGGCTCCAAAGTAACATTCTGTAATATTTATGCAGGAGGTGGAGAAAGGATGAAAATAACAGGTACACACACCGAGGTGAATGTTGATGGCGCTGTAGATACAATTGTCAATTCGCAGAATATTATTATTGTGCCCGGCTATGGATTAGCTGTGGCCAAAGCCCAGTATGCAATCGCTGATATGATCAGTACTCTAAAGAAAAATAACATCAACGCAAGATTTGGGATCCACCCTGTAGCTGGCCGTATGCCAGGGCAACTTAATGTTTTGCTAGGTAAGAAAAGTTTTGCTGCAAATCATTTGACAACAAAGCTATAAGAATTTTTGTTGCAGGAACAATACCTCCTTTATATGAACGGTCCCCTATAATGCAATGCATACTTATGAAACCGTAATGAAGCATGGTCGTGTTCCTGGTTATTGAAGTATATTTGTGTTTTTCGGCAGGTTTTTTATTATGCTTTGTTCATTTTCATAGTAGCTTTTTTTTGATTTAGCTATTTAAATTAGCATCTCGTTATGATAAATTTAATTGAAAAGATAATATATACTGAGTGAGAATGAACTGAAACGAAGTGTATGAAATGAAATTAAACGAAACGAACCTAGCAAATGAAAGAAAGTGACAGAAATAGAAAGAAATGGAACAAAAAAAAATGAAACGAATAAAAAGAATAGAATTTAATTGATACAGTGAGAAGTTCCGGATTCAGTTACAATATCAAGGAGAGGATAGAATGAATATATATATATATATACAAATTTGTCTTTTGATACTTCTGTAGCACAGTGCTCAATACGTTAGCACGTAGAACGTTAACATCTCCTGAAGAGTGAGTTATTCACGAAACAGGCTTGTAGAGATAAATCATGTAGTCTTCTTTTCTTCAACTCTATGGTATATATAAAGAGGTGATAGGCAAGTTTAAGAGGAGATTGAGGTGGACCCCACGATAGAATTGGGTAAGGCCGTTAACAATAGGATCAATGAGTTAAGGGTGGAGGATCCCGGGTTAAAGGAAGTGACTGATTTTCTTAAAGTCAATGAGGGGAAACTAGGTAGGTTCTATTTGTTACCTAAGATTCATAAGGGATTAAGTGGGGTTAAGGGTCGACCAGTCATTTCCAATTGTGGCACCGTTACAGAAAATATATCGGAATATCTAGATCACCACCTCAATCCACTGGTTAGCCTCGGTAGGTCTTACATTAAGGATACTAATCATTTCTTGTCTAAGTTAGGTGAAATAGGTAGGATACCAGAGGGGCTATACTGTGCACAGTTGATATTGTGGGACTCTATCCTAGCATTCCACATTGGGAGGGTCTGGAAGCCATCAGGGAAGCGCTGGATAGAAGGGAAAACCCAAACGTGGCTACTGATACCCTAGTGGGATTGGCATCTCTGGTTCTTGAAAGCAACTACTTTGAATTTAATGATAGGTTTTATAGACAGAAGTTAGGCACCGCTATAGGAACTAAGTTCGCTCCAGCTTATGCAAATCTCTTTATGACTGGGTTGGAAGAAAGATTGTTGAAGGAATCAGTGGACACACCCATTGTCTGAATGAGATTCATCGATGATGTTTTCTTTATCTGGACACATGGCGAGGAGAAGCTTGAGACCTTCTTCAACTTTCTTAACAGTAGCCACGATACCATCAAATTTACAGGGGAGCACTCCAGGGAGAGTATAAGTTTTCTAGACGTTAAGGTTAGTGTAAGTGAGGGGGGAGTCCTAACGACAGACTTGTTTTGTAAACCTACTGATACACATCAGTATTTACATTAGAAGTCTTGTCACCCATGGCATACCAAGAAGGCGATACCCTATAGTCAGGCTTTAAGGTTACGTAGCATTTGTTCGGACGATCGCAAGTTACGGGCTAGGTTAAGAGATTTGGCTGGATGGTTCAAGGCAAGGGGGTATGAGGAATCACTTATAACAGAACAGATAGATAAGGCACGTAAGCAGGATAGGGTCACATTACTGGATAAGGCTAATGGGAAACAATATCACAATGGGAGTGGGCGGGTTCCGTTGGTTGCCACTTACCATCCAGCCTTGAATAATTTGGGCAAGGTGGCCGGGAGATTCCATTCTATGCTGACGATATCGGAAGAGCATAGGAAGGTGTTTCCTCAGCCACCTTTGATATCATTTAAACGATGTAAGAACCTTAAAGATTTACTAGTTAGGGCGAAACTTTATAATGAGGGGGCAGGGACCACGCATAATAGGGGTTGTACTCCATGTGGCAAGTCTCGATGTCAAGTGTGTAATGTTATGTGTGACAGTGATACTTTTACTTCCCATATAACTGATAAGGAATATAAGATAAATTTTCCGTTTAACTGTGATTCGTCCAATGTTGTGTATCTGATGGAATGTAAAGTATGTGGTGTACAGTATGTGGGTAGCACTTGCACGCCTTTTAGGCTTAAGTTTAATAACTACAAGGCGTGCAATCATAAGTTTATCGGGGGCTCTTCGGGTATACCTCAGGCTGATTTTTTCCGGCATTTTGCAGGGAAGGATCATCATGAGTTTCTCGAAGATATTAATGTAACTATCATAGATAGACTTAATGGGAATGGTAGGATACGTGAAAGTTTCTGGCAGTATAAGTTAGAAACTTTCGCGCCCCGGGGCCTTTATATTAGGTTAGTTGAAACATAGTTTTATTTTTATTTCCAATCTCTTGGATTATTTTCTTCTTTTCACAGCTATTTATTATTTCCACATAATATTATTTTCTAATCTTCATGGTAGGGACAGACAGCATTCACTCTTTCTCGTTTTTGTGCATTCCTGGGTAGTTTACCATCTGCCTCCACGCTTCTCTTTTGTTCTTTAATCTATTGTATTTATTTCGCTTTTCTCACCTTCAGCTGGGCCTAGAAAGTTTGCTTGTGTCGTATAATTATTGTACATTATTGTCCTTGCTTGTAAAATGTGTTCTTTTGTCCTATTGTTTTGTATTCCTTATTTTACGCTCCAAATGTAAGTGAAGGTTATTCTGAATAAGCATATTGCGAAACGTTAATCAAGTTGTTTTGTTTTTTTACTGATCATCTATATATAGTACTGTTTCGCCCTTTGTGGGCTCGTCAGTGCAGCACAGAGCTTGTCTGAGACACAGAGCTTGTCTGAAATAAAATAAAACTATGTTTCAACTAACCTAATATTAAGGCCCCGGGGCGCGAAAGTTTCTAACTTATACTGCCAGAAACTTTCACGTATCCTACCATTCCCATTATATATATGTATATACACTATATATTTATGTATATACACTATCAAAAGCTCATGCACCGATTGTAATAAAAATATTATAGATATTCAGATAAAAAAATCTATCGCTTAAACGTTTCGACCGAAGTCTTCATCAGTAATACTTTACAAATCAAAATGTAACGTACTTTACAAATCATTTTGATATGGTGTATATATATTTGGTGTATTATTTGGTGATGTGGGATATATATTTATCATCAACTACAATGGTAAAAGCTAAAACAACATTAGTAGTACTCATTTTTTTCACTTGATGTACATAGTAATTGACGAACAATATTCCTCAATGAAAACCGCTCCATGCATTAGGCTGTTTCGTCACGTTTCGCAAAATGAGAACGAGACTGTTTCTCGATACTTTTTTGATATTGCTAATGATGCATTACTTTCAGCTGAGGCTGGTATTCCATACGATGTTGTCCTTGAAATGGATGAAATTAATGATGACTTTCCGGAAACTGATTTAACTTTGGTCATTGGCGCTAATGATACTGTGAACTCAGCTGCACAGGAGGATCCTAATTCGATCATAGCTGGAATGCCAGTGCTTGAAGTATGGAAGTCAAAGCAGGTAATAAATCCGTTATAATAAACTATTTACTTGCATGATGCGTTATTCTGTATTTGTACATAGTGAAGTAAGAGGTAACTAGAGCGTTGCTATCAACCCAGTTAGTACCGTTTAGTATTGGCCTGCATCTGGATACTTGAATCGTTTGAATATCAGCCGCATCTATAATGTGACCCAGTTTGCTGAAAAGATGTCACGGTCCGTGTAACACTGGTGTCTGTGAAAGAAATCTAGTTAGTTCCAAATGTCCGTTCCGTTTCGAAACTTTGATCGAATCCTTTAGACAAGGATTCGAGCACACTTATAATATTACAATATTTATATTCCACTTGTCTATTTCAGAACAGGCTCGATTTGTCTTTAAATCTAGCCATAACGTCTGTACCCAAGCCATTGCTTCGGTTAAAAGTCCATGTAAGTGTTGACTGATGCTTTAATAGACTTTCTTGTGGTATGTCGTAGGTTATTGTGATGAAGAGAACCCTGGGAACTGGATATGCTGATGTGGACAACCCAATATTTTATAAAGAAAACACATCCATGTTGCTTGGTGATGCCAAATCGACTTGTGATGCATTATTGGAAAAGATAAGAGGCCATTATGAAAGCTAACCTCGTATGATTGTTTCATGGTCCAGGTCTATCTTGTCTTCTCAGTTTATGAAAATTTTAAATGTGCATGAATTCTGTCGTGTGATTATTTTTGACATAAAATGATATTAATGGTAGTATTACATATTTTTACCTGGAGATTACCTGCGAAAAGTTGCATAACACAAAGTGTAAACGGTCAATGGTCAAATAAAGCAAATATATCTTTATCTGTTATCCTCGAAATGGGGTCAGTTGTTTTTGGCTCCAGTTCTGTAAAATGGGTCAATCGTCGGGGCTTTAGCATGCCAGAGGTCAACCATGTTTTCGCATTTGGTAGCATTCTTTCATTGAGCCGCTTTGTTCAAGCAGGATCATGTCATGGCCGACCTGGCTGTGGAGTATAAATTTGCCTGATAAAAAACTTACCTGCAATTCTTTAGTTGCTGACAGAAACCTCCGCAATATATTTTGTCAATCCTGCATCTGTTCCATGTAATTTACAACACCGGTTTACATAATGATAGCAGACCTTCAATCTTATAGATCTGTATATCTGGACAAGCACAATATGTAGCTACCGTAAATCCTTGAATTGGCCCCCCTCAAAAAAGCCCCCCCCCCCCTCTATTTGGTGTTTTTTCCCATCTGAGGTTGCCTATGGCGTTTTATTGAATTGCCACAACAAATTCATACTTTTGGTACTAATGCTCATAAAGAAATTCCTACTAAAATAAACAAGATATTTTAATAATGTCTTCTTAATGTCTACAAAAATTTTATAAGCCATCCCCGCCCCTCGAATAAGCCCCCATCCATAAATATCCAAATAAATGAGCCCCCAGGGTGCTAATTCGAGGATTTACGGTACTTCTCTAGCGAGAAAGAAAGATAATTTGCCAATCATGATTCTTCCAGTTCGCTAGAAGATGTACTCTTTGTAATAATTTTTACCATTGCAACCTTGCTTCTTAAGTGAATATCCACAGGTTGAAAGCTATTTGATGGTTTCCATCGATTTTCTGGTTTATTCGAAATCTGAGGGCGCTAGTTGTCTGACTTACCAGTGTGCAGCAAGGGAAATTGTGTTTTGGTGGCAATTTTAAAAAGTGGCAAAAAAGAACTTGCTCCGCACTTCACCCTTATAAATTTGGCAAAAGTAAGGATTGATTTCGTCCTGTTATATTGTATAGAAATTTATCAATCTATGTCAATACTTGAAAGCGGTCAAAGTCGGATATTGGAACCATGCGATCCTTTCATTCTTGCGTATTTTTGGCTTATTTGCCTTGTTTCAAAAAGGGAATTTTTTTTAAAGCAAATATCAGGTTAATGAGTTTTCGTTAGAGAACTATCAAGATGACGAATTTGAATCGCCTAAGTCGCTCTGTCATATTTTTTATTGCTACTAAAAACCTCATAGCTCTAACCGCCAAGAAAATTTAGGTTGGTACTTTCAACCGGAGTGGAATAGTTGAAACTTCTTGGTGTTCCACAAACGACCCAAAATTTGCAACGAGGGAGACACCGAAACGTAGTTGAATAAAGATTGAATTTCCCGATCATCAAGTTTTGCCCATTATCTAAACAGTAAGTTTTACAAAAAGTAAGCAGATACGTACTTGAAAGAATTCAAAAGCCTGCATTTGTAAAAAGCAAATTTCAAGACTTTCATACTCACATTTTTCTTAAAAATCCGCCATTTTGCAATTGAACCGCCATTTTGAAAATAAGGAGAAAAGCAACAGTACCCAAGTATAATTTGATTCTACAATGTTAGTAAGCCTAAAACGCTCTCACAACTTTGACTGGAAATTATACCGATTTAGCTGGTATGAAACCTGTCTATAAGGTTGTTCCAGTTCTCGTGCCACTTCATGAGGGTCACTTCATGAAGTTCTAAGTTCCTCAGGTTCTAAGGGTCACTTCGTACCCTTACAACCTGACACGCTGAGTCTGAGATGCTCTTGGTCCTGCCTAGCGGTAAACAGTGCAACAAACTTAAAATGTACCTATTTCATTATGCATCAAAACTTCGTTTCAATCTGCTTAAAAATGTTATCTCAGTACTAGGTAGGCCAAACACAGTTGATAGAAATGACAATAATTCGTTGGAAAGTGCTGTTATATTTTCTAGATTTATCACTTTTAAGACATACTAATCAAAATATTTCTTTAAAGATCTTGTCTAATTTAAGGGGGCCGCATAACGTGGAAGACTATCACAAACATTCAACAACATCTGTTTTAATGTTAACGGAAACCTCATAGATTGAATTTTAATTACAACCTTCAGTTTGGAATCGACCAAGCCTCACACAACACTGGTTTACACTTCGAACAGGACGGCGCTCTAAATGGCAACATCAGAACTTCAAAGGACTTAGTGCATTTTCATTCTCAAGTGATTAGTGTTGTTGAAGTTGAAATTGAGATAGAATATAGGAAATTTGGAAAAATTCAATTACGGTTCCAATTTTAAAAATATTTCTACTTATCTATCTATAAAGCAATAAAACACGAATAACGAATTTTTACAAGATAGGCATGGGATTGCCTTAATCGTGATAGAATCGTTGGACAAAAATAAGAGGCAGGCAGACAGTTTTCTGAAGCAGTGCGTCGGGAATGGCAATTAGAAGCTTTTTCCAAGTACGAGCTACAGGCCCTAGGGTCTTCTAGTATTGCCAGCCCCCGTTGTGTATGTATCTTTGAATTTAACGATATTTGTCAGTTGCTGAATCCATGCAAAGCCCCAAATTAAGAATTTTGTTAACAAGCGTGGTATTGCGCGACCTAAGAAAAACGCTAGCATAGTTTTCTATAATCATATTGGAACAATAATTCATTAAATAATAGAATGGGCCAATATGATCCAAAAATATCTACGAATTGATCTGCCAAACCAGCAAATGGCTTCGTTCAGCAGCAGCTGTTTTTGAAGCGAGTTGAAGGCCTTCTTCGGGGAACTTTGTCTCATCTGAATCGTCATCGCCAACTCTAAAATCTATGTATCCTAAAATAAATAAATAGCTACAAATTACCGGTCGAGAAAAGCAAGATCGCAACTGGCATATTACAGAACGAATGGTTCGACATCATTAGGCTGTGGTAAGGTTTTCAAAACTTACCAGCCTGGTTTAAGAAATTTTTACGTCCATACTTTTACGGAGGACGCTCTAACACACAAAAGCGCCTAATAGTAATCAAGCAATGATTGGCAACGTCATTAAAATTAGGCTAACTAATAAACATCTTTTCAAAACATGAAACATTGCAAAATAGCTTTAAGTTTTTAGTAAAAGAAAAACGAATCTCTCCCACGACGGCACAAAATATATCGATTACTTTATCGATATTATTTTCGAGAACATGATTTGAACATTAACGTTTGATATTTAAGAGGGCGACATTGTCTAGTCATTGCTGTGTTACGAAGTATGGTGTTACGAAGATATGTTTTTATATGTCTGAGTAAGCTGAATGTCTGTTTCGTTCAAGATGATGCTGCTGGAATAGTGGCCAGGATTTTCATCCCTTCAGCAGAATGTGGAAGTGGAACTAAGTCCGAAACATTGTCATCATGCATCATTTTGAGCAATCCACACATTTTTTGCTTGATCTATTTGATTTGCAAAATCTATTTGGAAGAAGAAGCAAACCTTTCTGATGATTTCTGTTGAAAGGCTAGCATTCACGCTTGTATTCCTTAATGCAGTGGCGCAAGACAGTTTAGGACACCTTAGTTTGATAACTAAGGCCCCCCGAACAAAAGGGGCCCAAGATGCTTTAATGCACATATTTTTTAAACTTTGCTCAAGTTCAAATAACTCTCCAAATCTTCTAAAACTCTTCCACTGAAGCTCTATAACTCAGATCCCTCTAGTTAACGAGAAAAATTCTCATTTTTACATTTTGCTATTGTGTTTGACGTGCTCTACACCTTTAGACTGCATCTTTTTAAAGTCTGTAAGTAGAGGTTCCTAAGCAGATTTTTTCTTAGGGCCCCAGGTGCCTCCTTTACGCTATTGCCAAAAGCACACAAAATTCCTTGGTCATTGTCTCTAAATTGCGCACAGAATTCTCGCAATTTAGACTTTATCCATTACAAAAGCTTCTTTAAACAATTTGTACAACTGTTGAAGACTGAGTTTGTAAAATCCAACAAAAAAATCCTTTCTGACACCATTCAGTGCAAAACTGATAAACTGACACTTGTTCTTGCTGACTAAAATCAGATGTTTCATCAATCATGACAGCGTAATAGCCGCTTTCTTTTACTTTTTTGACAATCCTCTCAAGCACTATTTGCGCTATTGCTGTTCTTGTAGCCTGTGCCTCAGTCCACAATGCTGCTACATTTATAAATTTGGCAGCATCTGTGTACTGGGGCGCAGGCTATGTTCGTGGCACTTTTTTGTTTTTTCACACAACAGGTTTCTTCAACATTTTTCCATTACTACTGAAAGCACTCATGATTACGGCCACTTTACTCATCTCAGAGATTTATAAACATTTTAAAAATGTAGTTTTTTGATACTTCTTTTTTATGCCCCCCAGCCACAAGCCGTATTGCAGGCACGAGATTAAATAGGACAACAACTTTTCTTTGGACTAATCACAAGGACCGATCTACCGGTTGGGGGGGGGGACTAGAGTAACAGAAGTGAAATCCTTTTAATTTGCAAGATATGGCTGTTGTTACACTTATTTATCAAGGATGCCCCCCTCCCCCTTCCCAAACAAAAAATTGTATCTCGGTCTTTGACTTATCAGACATCAGTGCTACTTTTAATCGTTGAAGAAAACGCAATTCTCACCTTCTCCTCCACTAATGATTAGCGTTGGCTTGACAGACTTTTCAACCACAGACTTTTCAACTCCATCTGTTGATGATTTTCCAGTCGAGCTTGAGTTTGTCGATTTGCTCAACACATGTGCTTTGTCACCGGCAATACCATTTTTAGCACAATTTACGGAAACAAAAAACTTAACAGAATCTCGATGACCATGAAACGATAGCTGAGCGTGAATCTGGAAAAATGAATTACTTAATATCATAAACAGAATAGTTCTAATGCATTTTTAATAAATACATTAAAAATCAAGTGGAGATTACTGCCAACCAGTGTTCTGCAAAGTTCACAATGCCGTTTAGACAGAAATACACGTTTTAGTATGAAGAGGAAACGGATTTTGTTGTATCCCATTGTGAAAGGACCCTATCTCATGTCACAAAATTCGGTCGCAAAATTTAACCTCTCGACGATTTTTTTGCTTGTTCACATCTTTGCCTAGTGCTTCTTTTCTTTATCAAGTTATTATTGAGGAGGCAGAAACGAGCATATTCATCGATAAAAACAAATAACAAAGGCATTCTAAAAGAAGTCAATAAAATGCCAGAAAATAAAAGAATTGTGATCTTGCAAGACAAACCATTGAGCAGTAGGGCATAAATCCCATAACATTCTTTGACGGCGAAACAGCCTGCGAAGTGCTGCCTTCATTGGAGCTACTTCCTGCGGAGGCGCCTCTTGCTGCCACAAGAGGAATGGAAAGAATGACCCCGTTGCCAGTACCAACCCACAGTCGGTCCCTGCTCAGTAAGAGGGCCGTGATACGTACATACGAATAGCCACTGCCAGTCCCTTTCAAAAAGAATATTAATCTGGATTATCGGGGAGCCTAATAAAGACAATTATAAAACGTTATACATCTGAATTCGGTGAAATTTTGAGAGCATTTTAGCACGACATTTTAGCATTCTAGAATTAATTAATAAATCTACATATTTCATAGTAAACAGGAAAGGTTCGGCGTAATGCTTTTCCCTAAAAACCTTTTAAAACCGTAGGAAACGATCTTTCTAAAAGCTTTTTTTAAAGGACCTTCGCAAAAATGCCGGTTGCTACTTCGTAACATTTTGTATCATGTTCCAAATTATTTTTACAAGGTGATTATTTCATTCATTTCCATTTTCATTTGCCAAACAAAGGCTCAACTGGGTATCAATAAAATCTAGCTTCCAAAAAGGATATGGCAATTTCAACCCTTAATATCAGCAGGCACCTTGATAAGATTAAGTTCTTTCTTAAAGTGCCTGTGACATGATTTTCGTACTTTTAGGTTTATATATCTATTCTGATGTAAAAAGGCCTGTTATTTTCATTTCTGAGGTTAGTTTTTACGTTTCGTGAGAAATGAAGGAGTTATTGGCGATCTTCTACGCCAAAATTTGCCATCTTGGTTTTCAGAATGAGTAGACGGTGTCGTCACGGGAGGGACCTGATCGCCTCCTCCTTCGAGTTTTTGTATCGTAGTCAATGAGGGAAATCTAACAGGTCCAAAATGAGCGATATTTCCAGAGAAAGTAGTGGCAGCGAGGATGAGATTTTTTAAGGTAGCGCTTACATTGTTACAATAACGAGTTCCTCCCATGTAGTCACAAGAGAACGGCGAATGATGATAAAGCGACTTGGCTAGGCCGCACTATTTTGCTTAATTTCAATATCAAAACGCTTTTATTTAAAAAAAAAGTTCAGATCTACTATAAGAGCAGTGCAACGCTTTAATTAAGAGAATAAAAAAAATCATGTCACAGGCAGTTTAATGACTTGGGAATTCCAGCCCTTTCTAGTTGTAGTTTGGTACAACCCAGTGACTTTGTTGACTCCTTCAATAAGCTGGAAAAAGCTCTTGGCCATCTGGACAGATCAGGGATGCATTTGTTACAGTTCAAAGAGCTTTGGGGCCTGCAATCTTAACAGCCATCTCAAGGCTCTTTGAGAAACTCATAACCAACTAACTGTACCAATGTATGGACCTAAATGGTCTGTTTTCAAATGATCAGTCAGGTTTTCGGCGAGTCCAGTCCACGGTAACATTTCTACAAAAAGACACTGACAACTGATTCAATGGCTTGAATCTTGGTAAGCTTGTGGGATTATTATTCATTGACCTGAAAAAGGCTCTTGATACTGTTGATCTTTACACATCCTATGCTAAAAAAATACAAAATGTTCTGTAGGGTTAATTGTGTTGATTCTGGGATTGAGAATATTGATGTCGTTGTGCCGCAAGGGACATACTTTTGCCCCTTACTCTTTCTAATCTATACTAATGATATGCACTTGTGTCCAATGATTTCAATGTCTCTATGTATGCTGATGACACCAGCCTTTGCTACCAGTGTGATGACACTACTCTGCAAAATTACCCTATTAAAAATGATCTCAAAAACTTTGACATCTGGTTGCAACGAAACAAACTATCTTTGAATGTTATCAAAACTCATTCCATGCTCGTTTCGACTAAGCAAAAGCAAAATATTGTTAAAAATGGGAATGATGTTCTGAAAGTACCTTGGTGTGCAAATTGATTGCCGTTTCTACTAAAGTCTCAACAACTTTAGGTTATCTGAAGCGTGCAGAAAATTTTGTCAAGGAATGCTTTGGAAACTCTATACTTAGGTATTGTGGAACCCTGTTTTCGTTAATGTTGCTCTATCTGGGGTAGTCCAGGGTAAACTGGAATCGATCAGCTGCAAAACTTCAGAATCGTGCTGCTAGAATTGTCACCAACAGCCGCTGTTATGCCCCTAGTTGGTCCCTAGTTCGAAGTTTGGGCTAGAAAATCATTCAGATATATGTTCAAAACGAGTCACAAGAAATGGTCTTCAAATTTCTGAATGATTTGGCACAACAATGCCAGGGTGATATTTTCACACAAAAACTGTCAGTGCTCCTTTTACGACCGCCGTAATAGAGCGGCGGATCTAAAGCTACCTGAGAAAAAGATGTGAACAAGAATTTTCTAACAAAGGGCGATGGCATTCAGATGGAAGTAGGCTAGCAAAAGTTTCTGTTGCAAAGTTTTAAATCTAACATAGCAACAAAATCAACTAAGGCTGGTCATTTAGATTGGTTCTAAACTTGCAAAAAGGGCAAAATCTTACCGAGCATTTTGCTCACGTATGGCTCAATGTCGACATCTTGTAAATGGTGGTAAGTCCTTGCATTATACAGCCTGAGCGTGCTATCTAGTCTGATGGACACCCATACACCATCCCCTACGCAGGCTAGCTGTCTCACTTGACTTTCACGGCGTGGATGAGCATCAAAGCTTTGCTAGTTGAAAATATGTTATTTTCGATAAAATGGAAAATTGCAATGGCCTTAAAACAAGGAGTGAATAAGAATCGACACGATTTGACGATTCCCATATAGACATTTCTTCCGAATTTTATCAAAGATAGGGTTTGCATGTGAGAGAAAAGACTGTGAAACTTTGAAAGCAGCAGAATTCAGAAAAAATTAAAACAATGATCAAATCAAAGTTATAGTGACTAGGAAACATAAATTTTCTAAATGGTGATAATCTAAAGATGCCGGGTTACTTCATCAATATAACAAAAGAAACTAAAAATCTGACAAAAACTTAAAAAACTTCTTTCAATGTTGCTCTGTGCATAGGAAATTTGTCGTCCTGCAACAAAAAGAAATCATTATTGAAACGCTTACTTCAATTGACATGGTTTTAGGGTTGATAATCTGCACTTTATTGCGGTATCCACACCATACAGTTTCATGCACGACTGTCATGCAGCGAATCGAATGATGCGGCCTCCCAAGGTCCAGCAAGTGATAATTGCTTAAGTCCCATCTTCCATCTTTAAAAGAGAGTAAAAAATGTAATAAGGTCAAAGACAAAAATTCAGTGCTCATTTGCAAGCTTGATATTCATATCGTGATATTTATAAATTAATTGAAGTCATAAATTTTGACAAGGCTACAGAGAAGCATGATTTTCTAGTTAAGCAATTGGTGCTAATCGTGCAACCGTCATAACAAATGCTCGAAATAGGCCTGCCAGACTCGATTCTAACAACGTAATTGGTGAAATTCCTGTTAACCTGCAAAAAATGGGATCTTGCTAACTGTAAATAAACATCTTTCTGCTATACTGGTCTGGATTGGTTGTTCAACATAAAAGGTTTAAAAAACAAAAGTTAGCCATTTCAACATCGAAATAACTCATGGTAAAGCTAACCTGGCTTTCTATGAAATATCGCAACAGTTCCATCTGCAAGAGCTACCATTACACGTCCGCGAACCTCACTTGAAGGGATAATGAAACAGAAAAGGTTACAAAAAATTTGAAACTATTTGCCAAAAGATGCGATTATCAGTGCACTGATACCAAACAATATATCAAAGTAGGCAGAACTTATTTGCTCAAATTTATTGGGCTAATGATTGGCAGTAGCACAGCTACATACAATAGAATGTAGTTGTGTTTACGTATTCAACTAAGATTTTTCCAAAACGGACGATTATTGCCTTATTACTGATAGTCAAAGTAGCTTTTCTGTGCTACGGCGATTCCGTGCTTGTGGGCATATCCTTTTTGCAATTCATGCAACTTTTAAATGATTTTTAGTAATCTTTGTGCCCCTATGAGCATTTTCGAAAAATTCACAAACTGTTTTGATCAACAAGTTATGCTGACTTGGGTTGCGAATGACACAAGCAGAAGCACTTTGCAGTAAGGTCAACATGCATTAAACATTTTATTAAATGTATCTCACTTTTGGTTATACGGTTTCGATAAAAATAAGTAAATAAAGTCAATTCAATTACTTACGAAGTTATTTTTCATAAAGTGGTCTAGTCACGGGCTAGCAAGAACAAACATTAATACTGCGGTAGATTTACTAAAAACTTAGCTTTTTCACAGGCCATAACAAACCAATTTGAAAAAAAGATTGACTGGCTTTGCGCATTTACAGGTTCTTTATTTTGTTCTTTAAGGTTACGTAGACGACAGACAAAAGCCTTAGAAATATGTGTTTATGATGGAAACATTTAACCACTCTCAAAAATTGGATATTACCCGTTGATTCTAAATAAAAGTATTCCAACAAACTAACAGTCATAGAAAGTTTTGGAATTTAGCAAATGAAAGGTTTGCTAGTTGCTCATGCATTTAAATTTTGGTACATTCAGAAACTTAAATGTTAACACTTCTTGTACAAATAATCCAACCATTTTGTAATTCAATCTATAAGTCACGTACACAATGCTCAGAACAGAGTCTCTAAGTTTTCCAGACTGCAAGCACTTTTTCCAGTTCACAATCGATGAATGGACGTAAATCCTGAAAGAAGCGATTCACAAAGTTAAACACAAGTAATGAATGGAGTTGAACGTGATGCACGTCAGGTAATGAGCAAAAATTAATACAGTAGAAACACGACTTTGTAGAAGAATGAAACATAAGAAAGACGTTTCGAGCATAACTCTTCATCCTGATGAGCAGTGGATACCAGAAACCTGATGTGCACTACAAGGGTTTTGTTTGTGGCGAGGGTTTTGAGAATACGGAATACTTTATGGTGCTTTGAGCTTTCCCTCAAGTAACACGAAAAGATTTTCTCGCAGGAGTCATTTGCGTGATTACGACTATCTGGATACATTACTGTTACAGACAAAGTCTTTATGTGAATAACATCGTTTTGCGATAAAGACCTCCCCAAAGACCTTTATAAAGATACATTCGATGAAAGAATTTCCAACTCCGATACAAGACACTCGACCTTCGTGTCACCTTTAGGAAATATACATAAGTTTATGACCTTCTGTTTTTTTCTTTTAGCAGTTACGCGTTTATTGTAGTGTGCATAATTGGAACTTTGTAGTGCTACACGCGGTATGGCTGCCGCAGGGAAGATACAGTATTGTTCAAGTAGTGTAGTAAAGTAACAAGTGTAGAAAGAAGTGTAATTAGTTATATGTCAATACAACGTTTCAAAGATTTGTATACGGAAAAGCATGTCACAGTTTCTTGACTCCACAGCAAAAATGTACTTTCAAGTCTCTTTTTCTAGTCACATGCAAATTCTGTCATAAATCTGAAACTACTTGCAAGATAGAGATTTATGCCCTGAAATTCTTCATTGAAGAGGTGAGAGAGAAATGCTACAATTAACTGCAAGCAAGGTATCTAAAATCTGCGTCTTCTTGATATCCCTAAGAGACGGCAATACCTTTAATCCGGACATGCAGTTGGTATCTGGGAAATTATGAAACCATGAAGATTGCTACTTGAAATGTGACATAAGTTCTGTCAAACTGGGATGTTAATAACATACTTTCCAGACTGGGCGCCCAGCCACATGGTGGGCAACGCACTCGTGACTTTTGAAACTCCTTCATCTATGCTATCCTCTTCCGGAAAGATCTCTTCTTCAGCTTGAACACCAGTTAAAATGCCAGTTGCTTCATTGCCATCTAAAGAAGAAAAGGTAAAATTTGTCTATGCTTCTGATGCTGCGTTATTCAAAAATGTTATAGTAAAAAAGTCATTCAAAAAAACACTCGCTCACCTCAAAAGACAAGGGAATCCTAATCGGAGCATGCAACATTTGGGAGATAGCTTATAGAACTGGGTAGGGTTCAAGTTGGCGCCCGTCACAATATACGAATAATGTTACATTTGGATGAATTACTTTTATACAATGTCTCAGGCTTTATCTGGCAAATCTTTGATATTGGGAAAACTGTCAATTAGAATCTTCTTAGATTAAATTTTATTGAACTGTTTCTCCTCTAAAACTTCTGAAGATCGAACAAGAGCTTTTGATCTAGTAGACATTATCAACAGCTGCTAAAGATATTATTCAGCTTTGACTTTTTCCGAATTTGACAAATATGTGAGCCTGCTTTCTTTCTTATAATTGATTGCGTTATATTGAAATGTACAATTTGTACTTCAGCAAGATTAATTAAAAACCAAGAACAACATTTCAAACTTAATAAATTTCGTAAGTTAGAAATCAAGAAAAGTTGTTATGCAGAAAAAAACATACTGCTGTTTATGAATGTATTTTATTATAACTCAAGAGCACGTAAATATACATGAATCTGTGTTAGCTTAATGTACCTGATGTGCCTACAAAGTTGACATCTTGACTGCCAGCTTTTCGCCTTGGCAGTGACGAACGCATTTCTGTCCCGGAACCATAGCTATAACTTCTGGCCCCGATAGGTGGACGTGAGCCTTGGATATTTTCGGAATACTTTCGGTGAGGTTTATCTGAGTGGTTTTCTTCAAAGCCAAGATCCGTATTAGAAACACCAGGGACTGCGGCCATGCATAGCAAATGCGAGGAGCAGACGATAAACTGATCAATGGCATTGGAGGGTGTATTAGCATCTAGGATGGTCACCTTACTGCACGAATGTGTACTTGTTCCAATCCATACAGTAGATGGGGAAGGCTCTTGAACATCAGCCTTGAGACCAACAAAGGAGCCGTCACTTTTTCTTCCACCATATGTAGATATTCCAGCACAACACCATATCTGCAAAAAAATCAATTTTTCCAGCAAAATGTTAAAACAAGGAGAAATGAATACCAATTGAAGCAAGGAAAACTGGCTTTGCGGATTCCAATGAACATTTACGTAAATTCCAACGAACATGTGGATTTCAAAAACATTTACGTAATCCGTTGTCTAGCCAAGGTGTTGAAAAAATACCATGATTCAAGGCTAGTTAGAACTCTGTTACAGAAATAGGAAGTAGCACAAAAATTAATTACTTTCATAGCTGGGTCTGTATTGAGCGGTCTACAGTAGACAGGAATGGGAACCGTAACAATCTCCTGATCTTTTGAGAAGTTAGCTGGCAGGCTCCAACCGTAAGCTTGCTTGCGACCCTCTAGAAGACGAAGAGTTAAAATTAGACAGAATTTTTGCCAAAACAAACACGCAAGTTAAGTGAACTTTTTTGGTGATTAAGCAAGCAATGAATCGGGTAACCAAGACGTCATCTTTCAGAATTAGAAGATTTGTTTGTTTTATGTATGGAAAGGAATAATAAAGGACCTTTGTTTAGTTTTAGAGATAGGAAGATTAGGCCAAAAGATAGAATAATAATGGAATTTTGCAGCTAATGATAAAAGTTTTCACAGTGAAAGCTTTGCAAAAATGATACTGGTTATGAATGGAACAATTTTTTAAGTTTGCAGGAAAGTTTTGGCTAAATACTTATGTTGAAAGATTTCTGATTTCAGCGAAATTCGTCAAGAAAAAGACAATAACTTCGCCTTAGAATAAAGATTCCAATTTAACTTCATATTTTGTTTCGAAACTCGCTACAAAAGCGAAAGGTAGCAACTTTTAACTTTCTGTTCAGTAAATAGACATAGTTGATACAATTTATCAAAGATTTTTGTAATCAAAATCCAAACGCAATTGGTATTTTGATCAATAAGGATGGTTTTTTCTACTTAAAGTTGTTCTGTGGAAAATTCAGATACGTAAATCGAAAAGCAGTTAAATTCCTTTAAGTAATTATAAGATCGGAGCATGTCAGGAAGTGGTTGGCGAAAATGAACACCTGTAAGAGGTACTGGCTTACCGATTACTGAATCAAAACAGGGTAATAGAAGGTATCCTGTATCAATTTATTATTAAATAAACAATGGCAATTAAAAAAAGTACATAACTTCTGGTAAATATTTGCACATTTCACTGAAACCAATGCTTGTAAAAACCTCATCTTTTTCAATTAACCAAGCAACATGCTGATTTTCTCCAAAATGAGTCTTGGAAGATTAGAAAACAAGCTGAACGCCTATCTACTGCTTGTTTTTCAAATATTAATGAACAGAGAACACCGACTTTGATCTAGTTCAATTTGTTTTCTAAATTTCTCTACGGGGACCATTTCTTCATCTGGTCAAAAACTGCTTAAGCTTCATTTGCTAAACTTTCGAATAATGTGAAGACGAACAAATACTCTGCAAAACTGGGTAGCCATACCGGTGTTGATATGCTCTTTCACGTGTTTGTAGCGCTCTTTTCTTTCTTTTCTTTGCTTTTCTGTTATGCTAAAAACGAGTTTGAAAAAAACATGTAGCTTTAAGACTGAGAACATTCAAGCTAGGTTATAGCAATGCCATACAGTAAAGGCCTTACAATTGGTAAGAAGGTCCATAACAAATGTAAAACATAACAAGAAAGTGACTGACGCGCAAAGAAAACCTACAAATTTACAAACTGGAGAAACAAATCTACAATGTACATTGTTAAAGCTGATAAACATGCACCTATTAAACATTAAAATTGAAAAAGTTTTCTAAAAAATGTCTATATCCAGTGGAATTTCGAGTACTATGAATTTTGAAAGAGGAAGAAGCAAGAAAAAAAAAGAAAAGAACATGTAGGGAACCCAGATTTGTGTATCTTGCTATAGCTGGTTATCATTTGAAGAAAATTGTACAACTTGCAAGTAGCCCGCCCAGTATTATTGCTTACCATTCAACGTAAGGGGAACCTACTCCCAACACTGAGATACTTCGCCGATGTTGGGACAGCGGACTTTGACCTTGTGTACTCCATACATTTATTTGGCTGCTATCACCTCGTGTCTGCGGAGTTGGGGGTCCACCAGTAGAACCAGCAAAGAGGTTATTAAAGCTGAAAACAGAAACCGCCATAAAAGTTTAGCTCTACAAGAAAAATTTGCATACGCTGAGATAAAAGTTCAGCGCTAAAAGTTGACCATAGCAATCTGGTTTTGTTGAGGGCGATCCAAAGTAGACCTGTAGAAAGAGAGGTGCACCAAAAAGTATCAATGGCAAAATCGATTTCTTATTATCTAGAACCAGCGTCTTGACATGCTAGTTAGTCAAAACGATTTTAAGCACAAACTATTCCCAGTTCAAAATTTGAGATATTCCATATAAACTGACAATGACAAGTAAAAGAAGCTGAGAAGATGTGGAAAGTGAAGTCCTCCTTAGGAAGCTGAGAAGATGTGGAAAGTGAAGTCCTCCTTAGGAAGCTGAGAAGTTGTGGAAAGTGAAGTTCTCCTTAAGAAGCTGAGAAGATGTGGAAAGTGAAGTCCTCCTTAAGAAGCTGAGAAGATGTGGAAAGTGAAGTCCTCCTTAAGAAGTTGAGAAGATGTGGAAAGTGAAGTCCTCCTTAAGAAGCTGAGAAGATGTGGAAAGTGAAGTTCTCCTTAAGAAGCTGAGAAGATGTGGAAAGTGAAGTCCTCCTTAAGAAGCTGAGAAGATGTGGAAAGTGAAGTCCTCTTTAAGAAGCTGAGAAGATGTGGAAAGTGAAGTCCTCCTTAAGAAGCTGAGAAGATGTGGAAAGTGAAGTCCTCTTTAAGAAGCTGAGAAGATGTGGAAAGTGAAGTCCTCCTTAGGAAGCTGAGAAGATGTGGAAAGTGAAGTCCTCCTTAAGAAGCTGAGAAGATGTGGAAAGTGAAGTCCTCCTTAGGAAGCTGAGAAGATGTGGAAAGTGAAGTCCTCCTTAGGAAGCTGAGAAGATGTGGAAAGTGAAGTCCTACTTAAGAAGCTGAGAAGATGTGGAAAGTGAAGTCCTCCTTAAAAAGCTGAGAAGATGTGGAAAGTGAAGTCCTCTTTAAGAAGCTGAGAAGATGTGGAAAGTGAAGTCCTCCTTAGGAAGCTGAGAAGATGTGGAAAGTGAAGTCCTACTTAAGAAGCTGAGAAGATGTGGAAAGTGAAGTCCTCCTTAGGAAGCTGAGAAGATGTGGAAAGTGAAGTCCTACTTAAGAAGCTGAGAAGATGTGGAAAGTGAAGTCCTCCTTAAGAAGCTGAGAAGATGTGGAAAGTGAAGTCCTCTTTAAGAAGCTGAGAAGATGTGGAAAGTGAAGTCCTCCTTAGGAAGCTGAGAAGATGTGGAAAGTGAAGTCCTACTTAAGAAGCTGAGAAGATGTGGAAAGTGAAGTCCTCCCTAAAAAGCTGAGAAGATGTGGAAAGTGAAGTCCTCCTGAAGTAACAAAAATAATCTGTTAAAGTGCCAATGAAAGCAGTCTGGAAAGATTTTAATAAAAAATAATGGCATTGTTCAATTTATGTCTTGAAATAAGTATTTGAAGTAAACGGACAGAAAAGAGAAGGGACGCGGTTCTGGCTAGACTCTGTACCTTCCTAACATCATGATTTTGTCCTTAACAATAAGCAAGTAACCTATAAACATAGCATTGGAACGTAATCTTTTATCAATATTCTAAACAATTATTTCATTAGCATTTAGCAATAGCAAATAGATCAACATTGTTGTGTACCATGTAGCCTTTTTTACAAATAGTTTTCAAAATACTTACTGAAAGGTTGAGCATAGAGTAGAAAATGGGAAAATAAACAAGCAAATTTTGAAAACAAAACTTACAATTTCCAAACTGAAGACCTTTTTTTCTGCTGCAAAGCGGCAAGATGGTTTTCTTTTGAAGCTCTGTTGTCAATCAAAACAAAAATTTATTGATTTCAGCAGTACTTAAGCTTAAAACCTTGTCAAACATCATCATTCTTTGCTACTCTCACAAGAAAAATTATCTACAGAAAACGTAAAAATGCAATTAAAAGCTCCCTCGTATACCTAATCATTTCTGTCCACCTGACAGCCTCCTGCAGCTCCATCAGACGCTCTTTGTATTGATTTCTTTCCATCAAAACCCTCGCCATTTCAACTCGAGTAAATCTCTTCCTATTAGCAGAAGATACCCGGTCCTGAAATGAAGGTGCTTTTAGAATTATCAGCTATTAGTCTGTCCTCTGAGGTTCTATATCTAAAAAGTTGACCCCAGCAGTACCGTTGCTTGGTATTCCAGGTGCTACGATTCATGTACGGGAATGTTAGAAAAGGTGCCGTAGGGGTAACAGTGTTTAACAACCTGTGTTGTTAATAACGTAACAGTCTCGAAGGACGAATTATTGAAGAGCGAAGTCGATAGTAAGAGACGTACGTCGTGTTATTATCTTATTTCGAACCAACTATCTATTTCTAAATAAACATAGCGGTATATACAAGCAGCGAAGCGTAGCATGAAAAACACAGCGGGAACAAAACAAAAGCTTAGATGTTATCACTACAGTACCTCCCCCCTAGAATGCAAGCTCGAGAAAAGCATTTGGGATAAAAGTTAATTAAACGTATATAAGAATATTCAGGCATGTCCATATCTGTCGGGAAAATGAACTTGTCTCCCTGAACGTGTCCAAGAAGTACCAGGTACTTGGTTCTCTACCGGCTTGGCCCTCGCTGAAGCATGGTTTGATGGGAATGATGTGTTTTTGGCAGTTGAACGTTGGTTATCTGCATCGGTATAAGCAACTTTAAGACGATCTATGCTTATTGTTTTTTGTTTTCCATTGACATCTACGAGGAAATGTTTGTCAGAGCGCTTGAGAACCTTAAAAGGACCGTCGTAGGGAGGTTGAAACGGCTTTCGAACAGCATCATGGCGAACAAAAACGTGCGTACAAGATGGAAGATTAGCGGGGATGTATGTGTAAGCTTCTTGAGAACGGGGAGGAGTTGGTTTTAGTTGTTGCATAAAACTTTGTAGACGATCAACGAAAACAGAGGGATCAAGGGCTGTGACATCAAATGTCGGAAATATGAATTGACCTGGAAGACGAAGTGTGGAACCATAAACAAGTTGGGCAGGTGAACAACCGAGGTCAGTTTTAATCGTTGTCCGTAGTCCGAGGAGAATGAGTGGAAGAAGGTCGATCCATCTTGTGGAATCCGGTTGAGCTTTGATTGAAGCTTTAAGCTGTCGATGGAAACGCTCAACCATGCCATTGGCACAAGGGTGGTAAGAAGTAGTATGAATACGTTTGATTCCAAGTAAATCAGCGAGGGAACGGAAGAGAGCTGATTCAAACTGAGCTCCTCTATCAGTTGTTATCGTTGAAGGAACACCGAAAGCTGCAATCCAACGTGAAACAAAAGCTTGAGCGACGGTTTCTGCGGTAGCATCTGAAATTGGAATCGCCTCTGGCCAACGAGTGTAGCGGTCGATGCAAGTAAGAAGGTATCTACAACCGTTTGATGGTGGTAGAGGGCCAACAAGGTCGATGTGTATGTGATCGAAACGTGTGTCAGTAGATGGAAAAGTTCCAATGGGGGAAAACGTGTGACGGGTGACTTTAGCCTGTTGGCATGGGATACAGGACCGAGTCCAATTGCGGATGTCTTTGTTGATACTAGGCCAGATGTAATGTTGTCTGATAAGTCGCTGTGTTGCACGAATACCGGGATGTGCAAGTGAGTGGAGGTGATTAAACACAAGGCGGCGATAACAGACAGGAACATATGGGCGAGGAGTGCCGGTTGATATGTCACAAATGATGGTTCCAGAATCTGCCGGTAAAGGAAACTCTTTCAGATTAAGAGAGGTGTTTGACTGTACCTGGTGGAATTCAGAATCTTGCTGTTGAGCTGCAGACAGTGTGACAAAGTCAAGGCTTGGAATATTGAGCAAGGAATTGAGCTCAATGCGAGAAAGAGCATCAGCAACCACATTCTGATGGCCTTTTACGTGTCGTATGTCAGAGGTGAATTGAGAGATAAAATCAAGATGGCGAATTTCCCGTGGCGAATATCGATCAGACGAAGAAGACAGTGCATGGAGCAATGGCTTGTGGTCTGTCATAACATGAAATGCGCGTCCTTCCAAAAAGTACCGAAAGTGCTTGATAGCTAAGTAGACGGAGAGTAGTTCTCGTCCAAATGTGCTGTACTTCGTTTCGGCTGGTTGCAGGCGCTTTGAAAAGAAAGAAATAGGTTGCCAGGCACCGTTGAGGAATTGTTGAAGCACTGCTCCTACAGCCACATTCGAAGCATCAACAACTACACTGCATGGTGCTACTGGTGATGGGTGAACAAGAAGAGTAGCCCAGGAAAGTGCTGTTTTGATCTCTGAGAATGCAGATAACGAATCCACAGTTAGTTGGAACGGTTCTTTGGTAGACTTGGCAGAGAGAAGGTCGGTGAGAGGCTGTATTAATTGAGCACAGCAAGGCACAAAACGACGGTAGAAGTTGATCAATCCCAGGAACTCGCGAAGCTTGTTGAGCGAAGTAGGAGGAGGAAAATCTTCGATTGCTTGAACTCTTGTGGAAAGCGGTAAGATTCCTTGTGGTGAAACATGATGTCCTAGGAAGTCAATATGAGATTGGCCAAAAATGCATTTGGTAGGATGAATGACAATACCATGATCGGAAAGACGAGAGAATAAAATTTCAAGATGCAACAAATGTTCTGCTTCAGAATTGCTTGCGATAAGTAAATCATCAATGTAAGCAAAAACGAAATCCAAACCACGAAGTACTTGGTGCATGAAGCGCTGGAAGGTCTGTGCTGCATTACGCAATCCGAATGGCATGCGAACGAATTCAAATAGTCCAAAGGGGGTTGTTATAGCAGTCTTAGGAATGTCACTAGGCTCGACTGGAATCTGATGATAGGCACGCACGAGATCAATTTTTGAGAAAATGGTTTTTCCATGCAGAGACGAAGAGAAATCTTGGATGTGTGGGATGGGGTAGCGATCGGGAACTGTAGCATTGTTCAAGCCACGATAATCACCGCAAGGTCGCCAGTCGCCTTGAGTAGCCTTAGGAACCATATGCAACGGAGAAGACCAACTGCTTTTTGACGGTCGAATGATGCCAAGTTGTAACATGTGATCAAATTCAGCCTTGGCAATGGTCAAACGTTCAGAAGCAAGACGACGGGGACGAGCAAATACAGGAGGGCCTGAAGTTGTGATGTGATGGGTGACTGTATGCTTTACTTTTGATTCATTGTATGAAGGACGGGCAATGTCAGGATACTTTTGAAGTAAGGCTTGGTATGGCGAAGTAGTATCAGGGGTTGCCAGCATAGGATGAGGTGAGCTGTCGGCGGACAAAATACCTTGAATGGTCAAATTTGTTGTAGTGTCAATGAGTTTCCGATTTTTAACATCAACTTTAAGGCCAAAATGAGCAAGGAAATCAGCGCCAAGAATAGGAAACGGTATTTCAGCAATAATAAAAATCCACCTGTACGTGCGGCAAAGTCCGAGGTCTATCGTTAAAGACTTTTCTCCGAAAGTACGAATTGGCGACTTATTCACAGCCTGTAAAGAAATGTTTTGAGAAGTTTGTCTGTCAGTAGAAGAAGGAGGTAAAACGCTTACATCAGCACCTGTATCTACCAAGAAGCGTGTACCAGTGATACGGTCGGTAATATAAAAGAGGCGACTGGAAGGAGCAGGACCAGCAGAACTAGTCGCCCTTAGTTGCTGGTGGCGTCGTTTCCCTGGTTTGAGGTGAAGCTTGAAAAGTTGCATGGTGGAGTGCAATTGCGAGCAAGTCGACCATAACGTTGATGGTACCAGCAGTAGGTAGAGCTTGAGGGTGCTGGGCTGGTGCGGCGATTACGGCTGATAGAGCGGCTTCGGCTACGCCCTGGGAAATTATGGGTTGGCTGTGTGTGGCTTATGAGGGCTTGGACTTTTTGGAGAAAAGTCAGTTCCTCTACTTGAGATCTGAGAGCATGAACTTCAGATGCGATAGGCGGTGTAACAGGCGTGGGGGCCGGCGCTGACACGGTAGGTGTTAAAGAGGAGATGCCAAGAGGGGTCGCAACCTCTAAAATTTTGTCTGCTAATAAAGCAACCTGCTCAACAGGAAGGGAGTCAGCAGTGGAGGCTAAAATCAGCCTGACATTGGTTGGTAACCTTCCCAAAAACAACTGTTGTAAAATGTTGTTTTCTAGTGTATTGTCTCCAAGCAGTTGTCGCATATGGCGCAGTAATTGAGAGGGCTTCCGGTCACCCAGTTCTTCTGCAGTCAGCAGTTGGTGAAGCCGCTTTTGTTCAGATGCGGAAGTACGCTGTATGAGTTCGGCCTTGAGTATATCGTACTGCGTTGCTTGAGGGGGGTGGATCAAAATGTAGCGTACCTCCTGTGCGACTTCAGGCTGGAGAGCGGAGATTACATAAGCAAACTTTGTAGCCTGTGAAGTTATATTTCTTGTGAAAAACTGGGCCTCTACTTGAGCAAACCAAACAAGGGGATCGTTAGGCCAAAAAGGTGGAAGTTTGACACTTACCGAAGCAACTGGTGCTGGTTCTGAAGTCGTGGCGATGGCTGCAGTTGCAGTAGTGCTGGCTGACGGTGGCGTGTTGGCGTCTGTATTCATGTCGAATTGTAGACGTAGAAATAAACAAAGTGGTCACCAATTTAACAACCTGTGTTGTTAATAACGTAACAGTCTCGAAGGACGAATTATTGAAGAGCGAAGTCGATAGTAAGAGACGTACGTCGTGTTATTATCTTATTTCGAACCAACTATCTATTTCTAAATAAACACAGCGGTATATACAAGCAGCGAAGCGTAGCATGAAAAACACAGCGGGAACAAAACAAAAGCTTAGATGTTATCACTACAAGTGTACCTGAAAGCCCTATTTGTACCTATCAAGGTTGGAATTTGATGAGAAGACTGATGCAGAGAGGTTGGCCTTGGCCGATGCAGCGATAAAACAAAAATTGTGATTTAGATCAATGGAGGGAAAGAGGACTCACTGTTTTGGGAGCCACCCTTCGTCTTGGATCAGAGGAGGGAGAACTAGTTCGGTGGTTGATGCATAAGTGGCAAGCAAGGACATAGGAAGCTCTAGACTGGGAAGACTGAGATTTTTTCCATTCCTTGAAGAAGTGATTTTATTGTTTAACAGCTTTGTCAATAGTGGATTGAACCTCTTAGAGGATCAATCTTGAAGGGAGATAAAATTTAAAAGATACACGCCAAGTAGACTTCTTTTGGAGATAAACGAGGCATTAGCAGATAGATCATTTGAAAAATCTGATCACAATGAAAAAATTTCATCAATCACAATGAAGAAAAAAAATACAACGACATCCGATACGCCGACACGAAAAGCCTCTACCGAACCTTTACCGAGCCGTGCAAATTTCATAACGAACGTATAACAATAACGCCGAATGTTGAAACAATGGTCCCCTCACACGTCATAAAGTACTTTTTCCGAAAAAACTTTTGTCGTATTTTTACGGTGATCTTCAACTTTGCGCGTCTATATCTGGAAAACGAGTAAAGATTTTCGAGAAAAAAATTCACGATACCTTCTAACTCTCGACTAACTACCAATTTATAGCCAGATGGGTTTTTAGAGGTTTCTGTCATTAAATGCAATTGCCGTTTTCTTTTCTCAGTGGTTGCTGTGATTTTCACGTACGATCGCTTTATATCTGGGTGTGATCGTAGACCCGTACGCTCATTCTGAACCCTGTGGAAACTGCACCACGTACAAAATCAAAGATATTTTTCAGGATCAGGGAGGTAGCCAATGCATAACAAAAACAAGATGCACAACAAGACATCAAAAGAATAATTGTTTAAAAAAACTGAAAACCCACCTCTCCATTCCTAGCTGTTACAGAAAATGAGGCTTTATCCAATTCGTGTTTCAATCTAGAAAAAGAAATTTCAAGAATCATTCGATAAGTTCACCTAAGCTGGTCCTTCGATACAACGAGAAAATTCTGTAATCTTCATTCACTGTGTCTTGTGGGGTTGCGTGGTCTTAGCTAAATGGATACACACACTTTAAGAAGAGTGCGTAAACCAAAGTCGATGTTTTGCAAGGATTATACAGCGTACGGATTTAGCTGAGCCTGCTTCATTGGAAAGAGCCTTGAAATACTTTTTCGCGCCGGTAAGACAGGTATAAAGCTGGGCAGCCTTCAATCACTTTTTTGAACCAAGTATTGAACACATTAATATATTAACAAAGTCTCTGATTTATTGCTTTTTAAAGTTCAACTAAGTACTGATATGCTGCAAAAAGCTGAAAATTTGTCCATGCTTCCTTTATAAATGATAGCATTGGATATATGATAGCAATGGACAGTTGGTTTTTACGAAAGGAACACAATGGGAATGAAAACTTGTCAATGATGCTTATTCAATGTTTGCTGAATTACGCCTGCATTCTGTTTAAAAATTGCAACTTTACCAAAACCTCCTACGCCCTTATATTCGATATTAATTCATTTGCAAGATACCCTCACGAAAGACCTTTCTAGGCCAAAGAGTATATCATATTAATGATTTTACTTAAAACTATTTCAGCTGTCCTTGAAATCATCAACGAAATTCGGTAAAAATCCGCCATTATTGTGGTAAATGGAGAATACATTCTTCATTTCATTATTTTCTTTCGACATAATATAATTCAGGCAAAAAACAAGCAAACCAATTAGCAAATAATACAAATAAATTTTGAAAATAACACTAAAACAGATACTTTTTTAATTCCTGTTCCAGTTCTATGCATCTTTTTTTCACTTTTGACTTTGAAGCGGCCAGGTCTGATACGTGATCTTCCAAAATCTCTTTTTCCCTAATTGAAAAACATATTCAGAATCAGAGGTTAAAAGGTATTATAGATCAATAAAAAAACAGATAATCCTATGTTAAAAATGATTCGAATCTTGATAAACGAACTCAAAATACTACAGCAACCTTTCGGCTAGCTGACAATGGTTAATCAAATTACAAAAGAAGCGTCACTTGGGTAAAATGGTAAAAGTAGTTACAAACGGAAATTTTACCTTGATATTTCTTCAACCTTTTGCAGCAAATCATTCTTTTGAGTTTGCAGTTTTGTTCTGTAAAAAACGAGTATCAATTACAATATCAAAATGGAAGTTCACTTTGGGCTACCTCTGGTTTTATGCCACACCTAACTCAGCATGTGTTGATGTATCACATATCCAGCAAAAGTGATAACATGATCAGCAATTTCTTTGTGATTACGATTACATGATCAGCAATTGTGATAACATGATCAGCAATTGTTGTGAGGGTGAAATCCTTTGGTGTTAGGGATCCTTTTTGCTAAAATAACACTTTCGAATATTGGGAATTGGGAAAACGATCACATCGAAAGTTCATCAGTTCCTGAACTATCTCTGTATTTTTCTCAAACAATGTATAAATTGTATCTTTTCATAGAAATGAATTTTACTCCATCTTTAAAAAGCCTACATTGCTTTATGATTTGAGATGCTAGAGATGGGCGTTAACACCGTCATGAGATTTTTCGGAAAATAAAACAATTTGATCGCATTTTACTTTTAAAAAATGTCTTGACCAGCTGTTCTGTTGCTTTAAAAGTTTCAATGAACTTAATTAGAATTTGTTCTAATCAAATTTGTTTCAAACAATGGAAAGAAGCGACAGATGGAATTCTTTTACACATTTAAGACTGAAGCTAATAAACAATGATTCTGGTAAAGTCTAAAAACAAGAGGTATACTATCCAGGGTAAATCTTCTTGACAAGAAAAATATTAGTGCGGCTAAGCGGGGCAAGCGCTTAACTTTGAAAACGTGTTCTGAAAAACTATAGCATTTAAACAAACTTGATAGTCCCACAGCTACAGTTACTGTGTTTGAAATTTCATTTCATTTAATCTTATCTACACACGATATCCATTCAGTAAAGAGAAAAGTTATGATATACAAACAAAACTACATCACAATTAAAATTGGTTAACGCTCATCAGATCTAAAAATATAAATTGCCTGATCTCTCATGGATCCGTGCCAGCATTTTATGAAACTCATTATTCGTTGCCATGTAACGGAAAGCTTTCCAAGTTTTACAACTTACCGTTCTAGTTATGTGTATTTGCTGTAATTTCAATAGTTTTGCTATAAAATGGAAACCTCAAGTAGAATCGATAACGAGTACACTGAGAACACAAAATCCCGAATATAAGGGAAAATTTGTTTACTGAAAGAGAATATTTATCAGTATCCGTTTAACAGATTTTGTAACCCGAATAAACAAGCACCAAAATGGTAACACTACTTACTTTGAATCTAAAAGCTCTTCATTCTCCTTAATCAAGCTCTCGAGACCTGTATCCATTGGTGATAAGAAATCCCTTGACATATCACCTAGAATACTTGGCTCTTCCTTTGAAAGCTCCGTAAAAAGGGAAACATCATTAACCGAGCTATCCAGTTCGGCCGTCCGTTGTGCTGCAGGAACATTTAATCTTCTTTGATCTTGTAAGGTTCCCAGTCTTGAGCTATCCAATGAAAGCTGCGATGCCAACACGTCATCAATAGATGACAAATTCTCGGGTGTTTCAGTATAAGCTACAGTGGAGCTGCGGAAATTGTCAGAGCTTTCTCCTAAGACTGGTTGCTGCTCTACATGTTCACTACGATCAAGCAAAGTTTCTTCTGTAAAACTGATACCAGAAACAGATTCCACAACGGCCGCTTTATCTGGAGTATTTTCAATAATATTTTCCTCTCCATGGTTAGAATCAGAAACTTCGATATGTTCTATAGTTTCAGATGTATCCGACTGTTTTGAAGCAGTGGAAGCAGATTCCTGTGCCATTTCCAGACGTCTAGAGCTACTCGACTTGGTAGCAAAATCTAAAATTTGGATGCTATCAAATGAAAGAGAAACCCAGAAAATTCGGAAGGAACAATCAATTCAAAACGAAAAACAGGAAAAAGGAGCATACTTAGCCAATCATAATCTGTTGAAGAAAATACCTTTCCAGAAAACATTGAAAATATGATTGCAAAAGGCTTTTACCAAAATAATTTATAACGTTATATTAATTCACCAGTAAAAGGGGAAACCGGGTAGCTACCTTGCTTCTCTAGGCCGGTTTTGTTCTCATATTCAAAAGACAGCTCATTGCCCTTCTCGTGCTTTTCAGTTGACAATTGATATTGATCAGTATCAATTATTTTTTTACCAGTCTTTTCGTTTATTTCTGCCGAAAAAGTAGGAGGAGCTCTGAGCTTGCTTTCTACCTCATCTTCTGGTAACTGTTTCCTGTTAGCAGATTAAACATGCAAAGTTTCTTAAAATTGTTTTATACAAAAAATACTAAATTTTATGTAAATTAGATAATGCTGAATACGAATAATTCAACATTACCTAAAGTCAATGGAACCTCTCTCAGAAGTGCATTCAAATGTGCACTTACAGACAGCTACAGAACCAGGCTTTAAATTTACAAAGAAATATTCAATACAAGTTAAAAAATGTTTGTTAAGAGACTATGATATGATATTTAACATAGAAAGGTGGTTTGTAATACCTGACGAATGGAGAAGCATCTTGAAGACCAGCAGTCATTCTCCTGTAGTGCTCCATTCTTTCCATATACATGTGGATCATCTATTGCAAAAAAGCTGACGCTTAATCAAATTAAAATTATTTGTAAACATGGATTTTAATAAAAAGCATACCAATTTGGTAATATATACAGTGCTTTCCTACACACTAAAGAGCAGAATTGCAGCTTTTCTTTTAAATTACAACTAAGCCATGACAGGTCAGCAAAGAAGGTCTCAAAAAATGCAAATTAAGAGTTACTTCCACAAACTCCTGCATGTTTGAAAAATGTATTATAATATAGCTTCAAACTAGGCTTTACAGGGCATTTTTGAATAAGAAAAAATTTTGTGAAAAATAAAAGAAATGTCATACCTCCGTGTGCCTTGTATGAAGTGAAGAGTACTCTCTTTTGCTCTCAGCAAATCTTTCTTCTGTTCTTTCAACTGATGACAGAGATAAACAAATTGTATTGCCCCAATTAAAAAGTTAATTGAGAACTTGGAACATAAAGGGCTAAAAATTTTATTAATTATTACCAACTAAAAAGATTGTCCCTTCCTGCTGGAGTGTAAAAAAAAAATTTTATTGCATAATTCCAATACTTCATTAAATTGTAGCTGAAAAATTCCCCTTGCTAATCAGAAACTGGACATTGCTTGCTTTGTCAAAATTTGTTTTGCATTTGAAGGGCCTAACAGTAACTTTTGAAAAACAACCACTGCAATTTAACTTTTGAAAAATTTGTTGCCTGGAAAATGATTTGAATGAATTTAGATTTCCAGTTTCCATTGATCAATTCTATTGCACTTGTGACCAGAGGACCCTTGAGCTTTAAATTGAATTGACTTGAGCTTTAAAAAGCATTGCGAAGTATTTTGTCAAATATTTTGCCTTGAACCAGTAGAAAGTTTTTTTCACCATATCCAGAATTAGAAAACAGCTGAGAGCTTCAAATTTACATCCTAATACAACAGAACTGCAACTTATAGCACTTGCAGCTAGTAGATTGTGAATAGGTGATGTTCCAGTGTGTGTCTTCAGATACCAAGTAAAGGTCATCTAAGATATGATGTGACATCAAACTTTTTGGCAGTCTCCTGAACTAAGATTTGACCTCTCTTGACCAAAGATTTCACTCTGAGTCTTTAGAGATAGCAAAAAAGATGGGTCCAACGGTGGATAGGGTTACTAAATTGCATTTGATTGCATTCAATTGGTGGCAGTGAAGATCATGATTGGAAGAGACAGGCTACTACTTAAATCACATAATACATCATATTGTTGATACAAGGCAATAGCCATATGCAAAACATTACAGTACTCTATCTGGAAAGACAAGCTGACCACTAATAATTAACATTATGATTCTCAGTCTACTTAATGTATATTTATTTTGTGAGGATTTTAAGCAAATATTTGATTGATAGCAAACAGGGCTGAAAACATGATTGACAAAAGAGCATCTCAAAAAATGAGAATGTAGTAACCACCATTACACTCACTTTGATCAAGAAGTGATTTTATCCTACTTTCATGTTGCTTATTTGTAAATTCCAATGATTCTATGCTTGCTTGAAGGTTTCCCTTTTCTTGATCCTGGGCATCTTCATATTCAAGATATTTCTAAAATGACAAGCAAAGGCTTTTAACTGAATTACAATTGCATTAACAGAGTGGGAATCTAATCCTGAAATGAAAATAATATTGCTTATAAATGATTACTGGCACAGAAGAAGATTAACATTTACAAAAAACCAACTTTATCTGAGTATCTTTAAATGTTCTATGTATCTACCTACCCATATTAATCTATGTTTATTTCAAAATAGATATATCAAAAAAGGCTTGAATATAAATTCAATAAAAACCAAAAAACATGAGGTATAAGCTTCTTCACAATAACTTTGCCTCAAATTTTCAACATATGATGCAAACTACAGAATGAAACAACAAAAGCTAACACATTATACAAAAACAAAACTTTCACATTTACTATTCCTCTTTAGTTGATCTATCATCTTAACCAGAGGTGTCAACTGTAGGGCCTACATGTCAGAATCAGCCTGATGAAAAAGATATGAGTGTAATACATTTTTTAAGAAGCTGCCTTTAACTGGCAGCAATGGGTCATATATTGGTGCCTAAACCAGATATGGCGGCTGATTGCCTGATTTCACATAAGTATGCAGTAACAACCTACCAACAATCTTGGAAAATCTATCCAGGAGTACCAGCAACTCACAGAAATTCCTATGATTCTTTTTCAATGTCTTTTGTAACACAAGGCAGATTTTCAGATTTTTCAAAGAACATTGGGAGAAAACTCCCAGTCAGCTCAATTTTATCAGGGCAGTCATAATATTACAGACCACCCTATGGAGTTCTTGAAGTGATGATGTCAAAAAAATATATTTTTAGAATCTTTGAATATGGATCCCATAACCTGAAAGGGCATCACAAATTACCTCTAAATGTGCAATATCAGTTAAATTTGCTATGAATTGGCTGAGATACAAACACATGAGCACAGGCTCATTCCTCATCAAACTGTAGTTTGGTCAAAATAATAGTAATCTGTTAGCAAACTTCAAATCTTTCAGTGGCCACCCTATTTTGATATATTTAAGAGATTTTGCACATTCAGAGGTATTTCACTGTGTTCTTTTAGCATTTCCAGATGTGGTCAAAATCCTTAAAATTTACTTTTTATGATGTCACACTTAAGAACTCTGTGAGATTTTGACTCATCTGAAAATTGTATAAATAACAGTGGTATAGTACACATATTTTTTTCTAAGAAACTAAGGTCCTGTGCTAGTAGACAGTTTCTTAAATTTTCTGACCATTTTGCTATCGAAAGTTTCTTACATGTTCCTTAAATTTTTTAGGTAATGAATTTTTAACCATACTTCCAAGGGAAAGTAAATAGTTCATTCATATTCAGAGATAAACTAAGTGATCAAAGAAATTTTTTCATAGAATGTCTAACTCTGTTGTGATCTATAAACAGTTCAGCTAATTGAACTTCATCAATGTCAAGTTGAAGTTAAAACAAACTTTTAAATTGAAACTTTTTGAGTGTGCAATTTACTGAGAATGAAAGCAAACTGCATGTCAAGTGTATTGTTGCAATATACAGTGAGGTTCATTGTCAAGATTCTTTGGAGTGTCAACTTAGAAACCTAAAACTTCAAAAGGGTCATACATAAATGATGTTACCTAAAATTTGAAGATTTTTAATACCCCCCTCCCCCTGTGTCATCAGCTATCTGCCCCCCCCAAGTATTATATTGCCAGTGACATATTTTTCACACTACCCACCCCTCTCTTGCTAAAAATTCATTTGAAAAAGAAGAGCAAAGCTTAAAAGCATGCTTTTTTATCACAAAAAGTTGCGGGAATATAAATAACGATGTTGTGAAAAAAAATTTTTGAAGTTGTGAACAGTAAATGTTGCAAAATAGAACATTTTTTAAACAAATTTTAGCATTCGTAGTTTGCTCGGCAAAATTTCCTGAAACGACTGGACTTTCTGTTGAAAACTCAGAAAGTAGAAATCATTAACACATCAGTTTCGCTACATATTTACTTTATATTTCATAAGGCAAAAGGTCTACATATCAAAGTCATCATCATTTTTTTCTTCATCTGAATTATCATTTTAACAGTGATGTTGCGTGGGGACCATGAAAACAGGTGAAACAAAAATGGAATTCTGCCAAAATTCATAGACCTTGCAGGGAAAAAAGATTCAAATATCAAAAAAATTTAAAGTTTCGGGAAAAAGTTGTGGAAAAAAGTTGTGGATTCTGAAAATGACAAATTTTTTGAAAAAAAGTTGCAAAAGTTGGGAGTTTTTCCTTGCAACTTTTCTTCTGGCAACTTTTTGTTTCGGCAACATTTTCTTCCATTAAAGTATACATTATGTTTTGATAATAACTCATCATCAATAAAGTATTTTCTTGTAGAATTTTGACAAGATTAAAAACTGGGGGCCTTTCGAATGGTTATGAACAATAACCCTCCTTATATTTCCATTTATACTTTCTCCATTTTATAATTTTATGAATTTTCCAGAAAAGGATGGAATGGAGATCAAATCAGACATTCTCTTCACAGAATGCAAATTAGGTCAGAAGGGGGTGGCAGGGTGACACTCTCAATTCTAACCAAGAATTCTGGTGAATTTGCCTCAAGCAAGCTAAAAATGCAGTTGGGTTCTTCCAAAATTTCTTGTGAGAAGGATTTAGGCAAAGAAAAATGATCTTGAATTTTGATCCATTCTCAAAGAGTGGTTCTTATTAAAGCACAATCAATCACCACATTGTTTTCTATTTGTGAACCTGACTATATGTAAAGCTGCTATGATAACTTTCATTTACAACTTATGGAAAACGTTGGGTGTAATTTAGACACAAGACAGGGGCATAGCCAGTAGTGGCTGTTAGGAAGTGGAAACAAGGAATGAATGGGCCATAAAATGTTACAATAGGATCATGGGGATATGATCATGTGATGAAGCAGTTTTGCTGGTGATAAACCTTTTGCTACGTACTAACTCTTCCTTTATGTAAATAGCAACTTGAGTCTGAGCCCTTATAAACATAGCTCAATGCAATTTTCTTTGCAAGAGATGACCCAACTTTCACAAAGGAGACATCACGGAAGCTGGAAACCCCCTCCCTTCTCCCTCTCAAAGTGTCACCTTCCATCACCAAAGCTGTAACCCTTCTTTCCCCCTTCTGCAAGGATGTCATTTATGTATGACCCTGAATTATAAAAGTTTCTTAGCTTTTGTCAATTTTGGTAGGGTTGTTTCTTAACTTTCGAAAAACTGAGCCAACAGTTTCTTATATAACCTGTTTCTTATAAAAAATGAGTGTATAACTGTGTATGTGATGTAGTACACTATTTTTATCTTATCTTGAACTATCATTCCTCGTTTACTCTATAATTGGCTAGGTTTGCCCATTCTTGCAAACTGTTTTAGATATTTCTTTTTTTTTCTGTAGACTAAACTATATGCTCTAGATTTAAGGGAAAGTTGTTCTGAAGAAGCTTTAAGAGAGATACTTAAAAAGCTTACTAAGTATTTATATATAGATACATGATTATTTGCCAAAATCTGATAACTAAATGTTGATGTAACAATAATAATCCAAATGCTGCTTAATGTTTGACAATAAAAATTTTTACGAAAAGGAAAATTTTCAATTAAGGTATCGACATAATATAGATCATAAAGCCTATATATATCTGTGGGTGTATATATTTATGTGGCCTTTATGGGTGTACAATTTTATGACAACGTTGTAAGGAGTTCTGACGTGTTTTAAGGTTGATACTATGTATCGTAAAGCATTCCTTCACAGTGAAGCTTTGCAGGAGACCGAAAAATAGCATCTAGAATTAAACCACTTACAGATTCGGCTAGCTTTCTAAGTTGTTTTTCTCGTTCGTATTGATTTATCAGTTGTTCGTTGTCTTCGGACAGCATCTCCAGCTCCAGAGTCTGCTCTCTCATTTCATTGTAAGTGGTGTCTAGTTGTTCCAAAACGTTGACAACCATTGGCATTAGAGTGTCAAGTATTCCCTGGCCATAGTTCTGAATTAAATTTTCGAATTCGCCATAAATAGCAGCTGCCAATGAGGACACTCTTTCAGACATAATAGGGTTCCCAGCTTCATCATTACTGGAATAGACAGATTCCTGGTCTGTGCTTATTGCTAAATCCAAGTGCTCCATCTTACACACTCAGTAAACATTTGACATTACGCTTACTTCCTAATTTAAATTTATAGTCGCCGGTCTGTTAGTCATGTAAACATAATAACTCGCATAACTTCATAGTTCAAGCACAACAGCAGACTGAAGAAATCAGAATTGGCACATGCGCAATGGAGGGTACCGCCCTGATAAGCAGCCTCACTTCTGGACTGCTAGAGAATAGGGCGATGAGGTCATAGATCAAGAGAAAAAGATAAGGAGCGAATAAAAAACAACGTAAAACTTAAATGATTCATTAAAAAGAATGTAATGTTAAGACAAGATTATTGAATGGACAAGATTAAGTACAAAATGCTTAATTACAAGTACGATACGAAAGTTTAAAAAGTACAACCTCAACCTCTTCAGGACATATAGCTTGACAATCTGACATTCAAGCTAATGTTTACTTTCTCAACGGATTCTTGTAGTAGGGAGTCTAGGCTTTCATAATCTGTCAGGTGACTTTTTAAAAAATGTCTGCATTTCACGGGACTGATGACGTCATTTAACGGTAAAAATCAGATAAAATCATCGCTAGCTCTTTACTGAAGTGTTATTTTTTAATGCAAATTACATACTTTGACTCTTCTCGTTGCAAGCTTTCAATCGATGTATATTTAAGCATTATTTTCCGACATCAGTATTTTTATTATGACGTCATCAAACAATTTACATGACGTCATCAAAGATCTTACTGCCATATAATGATACATTTGCATAACTTTTTTTATTATGGCGCTGGATATCAGCAAAAGCATTTCTTCCATAATTTTTTCGTCCAAAAATTAGTATTTTGATCATTTAAATTAAATTTGTGCGCACCGCAATAGCCAAGGAAGTTCGAATAAGGTAGTCACTACCTGATGAGTGGGTCATTTCTTCCTCGGAAGGCATTATTGTCTGGTTCAGAGTCATGGTCCAACTCTGAACCGGACAATAAGTTCTCTGCATCTGCATTTGGCTTTTGCACTGAGTTGGAAGACAGTCTTCGCACTATTATAAGCTGTCCAAGATGTCTTCACACTATAGGTCTTTAGCGCTGGGTATGAAGGTGCATGATTTTCTTCATGGGTAAATTCATGTACATCTTCATATCCTTGTGCTGTAAAAGAAGCTTTCTTTTCACACCTTGGATGTCTTTTTAACCTCTTTTAAGATGGGGAAGCTGTTTTCTTGTGGACCATTTAGACTTTAAACGATCAAGTATGTCGTCCAAATTTCAACTGCAGGCTTTTGGCTTTTGGAACATGCCTTGTAGTAATTGCATCTAAACACTGTAGCCAAAATAACCTTGTTAAGTCGACACAATTTAATTCGTCTCTGATTGAGTGATTGTGGAACTGCTGCAGATGATTTTGTTTTCAGAATTGATAAATACGAATCCTTGCCTTTAAGCGGCTTTAATATAGTGCTCCACTATGTTCTACAGTTTCGCGAATGTCTTTACGTCTGCAATAAATCTTTCTGAGAGTCTCAGCCCATAATTCCATGGATCTTTGGGAGAACACAGCAAATTTTTGAACCAAACGTTTGAGCGATGCCTCAAATCTCGACGGTTTGTTTGTTGTTTATGCCATAAACCACTCATTTGTGGGTTTGCACTTCTGCATTGCATGAACAAGCAGCACACATACATCAGTATCCTTCGCAACAAGAACTATTTTGCATCTTGCGAGTTAGCATGCAAAATCATTCTGGTTTCAGCCTTTTTGTGGTTACATCTTGGAAGGACTTCTATTTGCTTTTTTGAAGTCTCCCATGCTTCTTCTCCGTAAGTTTTAACCAATGGAATTGTCTGGAGCCTGTGAGCCTCAGCGCTTAGAAATAATTTGCGAGTAAGTTTTATTAGATTCTCTTTGTTTGCATCATTGTAAAAAACTCTTTTAACCTTGGAGAATCTTTTGCTTTAAACTTTTTTTATGCACTTGCCTTGATGACTCACTTCTACTTTGTTGTGCACACAAAAATCCAAGAAAACATCGAAAGCAGTCTCAATAATGAACGAAGACCACCAAGGTTTCGAGACTGGCAAGGCTGTCTTTATCGAAAAGGCATTTGCACATCTCATCAAAACCATAGCTCTAGCCTTGCAACTCCTGAAGGTGTACTGTGACAAGGAAATTAAGCTGTTTCTCTTAATTTCATGTGCAAGGAGTCAAATCCATATGTAAATCTACCACCAGAAAACGCCAAATGGAGTATTGATGAGATGGTCATATTTCGCAGCGGAATATAGTCTTATTGAAGAAAGTCATGTACCTTCAGCCCAGCGCGAGGGCATCTTGGATAGCCTATAGTTCCAAGACATTCTTGCGACTTAGTGCAACAGTCAAATGCAGATGCAAAGAACTTATTGTCCGGTTCAAAGTGGGAGCAAGACATTGCAACTGCGGAGGAAGAAGTGACTGCATCGACAGATAGCACTACCTTATTCGAACTTTGGCTACTGCAGTTCGCACAAACGTAATTTAAATGATCTAAATACTAATCATTTGATTGAAAAAATATGGAAGAAATGGTTTTGCTGACATCCAGCCTCATATTAATACAAAGTTTGGCCAACTTATCATTTAATGACAATAAGATCTTTGATGACGTCATGCAAAATTTTTGACGACGTCATAATGAAAATACTGATGGCGACAAATCATTCTTAAATATACATTAATTAAAAGCTTGCAACGAGAAGAGTCAAAATATGTAATTTGCGTCAAAAAATAACACTCCAGTAAAGAGCTAGCGATGATTTTGTCTGATTTTTTACCGTTAAATGATGCCATCAGTCACGTGACACCCAGACATTTTTAAAAAAGTCACCTGGCAGATTATGAAAGCCTGGACTCCCTACTACAAGAATCCGTTGAGAAAGCAAACATTAGCTTGAATGTCAGATTGTCAGGCTATATGTCCTGTCTATTATATTCAAGAGCAAAATGAGAGATGCTTAGTGTTCAAGAAGTATAATACATTTCACGCTTTTAGAATGCTTGCCTCACTGTTACTGCAAAAATTGATAAATTAAAAAATCTTCGAAAATGAGGAACCTCAATTTTATTTCCAAGCAGGTAATTGATAACATTAGCACTTTTAAGCTCTACGAGGACATTTCTTTGCCATGCCAAACAGTTAGGGGCATACTCACCAATCCCTAGTACCTGGCAGACAGTAGCGGCGCCACAGGCAAACTAGGAGGAACACGTCCCCCCTCCCAATTCTCGGCAGGATTAATTGTGCATTTCTTTTAAATTCACCTAGAAAATGTTGGGGAGGGGTAATATTTTTGCAACGTACTTTTTGTGATGATATCCTATTGATCATGGGCGTTACTTTCAGGTTCCTTGTTCCCTGTTGGTGTTCCTTGTTGGTAAAAGGGCGGTTTCTGTTGCTAAAATGGGCGTGGCCTAAAGACATTTGTTTTTGCCCCTCCTTCAGAGCCTAGTAGCTGGCACCTCCATTGCTGGCTCTCAGTGGCGGGGTGGCTTTTTTTCCCTGGGGTGGCCAAGTCGATTTTCGCGCACTATCTATTTATAGTGGTTATATAAAAGCACGTGTTTTTAGAAAGGAATTCAATTTTTGTAACTTGAATTCAAAATTTCATGAATAAGTTTTGATTAAAAATGTATGAATGGAGAAAAAACCTTTGTGGTTCTGTATAATATCCAACTATTTTGAATTGGCATTTTTTCGAGGGTATATTCGTAGGCAAAATATAAAATACTAATCAAAAGACATTCTATTCAATTACACTGACGTTACATACAGGCCGGCGGCTCCTCAGTTTTTTAACTAAAGGCAACCTTAGTCCATTTCGCTACTGCTTACGGGTGATTTTATCAGCCAAGTGTTATTATACTAATGATGTATTATATACAAAACATGGCTCAAGTTTGTTATTCTTTAGTAGTTATTAAACAGTAGTTTCTTTTAAAAACGTTTCAGGATTTTTTACTATGGAAGGAAAATTCTGCCTAAATTCTGCCAAAATTCTGCCTAATTTCTGCCTAAATTCTGCCTAAATTCTGCCTTCAAATAATGCCATTCAAGCACTTAATCCCACCGTCCAATCGGACAGAGACGGGGGGCACGAAATTGAATCTTGGGGGGTCAAGAATCAAGTTTAGTGACATAGAAGAACCCATCATGGTTGGGTCCGACGCGCAAGAACATTTTTGAATCGAGCCTTCTAGAATGGCTAAAAATGCATCTTTCAGACTAAAAATTAACAAATCACCATACCGCTCAAAATAGACAATGCGCCGACGATCAGGAAAACATTGATTATTGATTCTTAGAAAAATTGGGGAGGGGAGGATTCATGATCTGGGGAACGAAAGAAAAGGTGACCTTTGGTCCAGAGTGCACATCGATCAGGCACCGCTGAGCAGGGGGCTGGGGGAGCTTTAGCCCCACTTTTTGCAAAAAAATGCCAAATATTAAGTAATAAACTACAAGTAAAGCCTCTTTTTATACGGTTTTAGCCCCCCTCCCACATTTTTAGACCCCCCACTTTACTCGACACTCCGCGGTGCCTGTCGATTGTTAATAACAAGAAGCTGCTGTATTGATTGCCAGGGTGCATTCCATGCCCTAGGCCCAAAGATCTTCGGCGTACACTCAGGCTTTTTTGGCGTTCCGAGTCCAATCTAATTGAAAACATTTTTGGCATACGTAAAATCTTCGTTAGTTGGCGTGCTAAACGTGAAGCCACGTACAAAGATTTTGAATGAAAAGACATTTGACATGCAAAAGTACAGCGAATCCAAAACTAACTTAGGCCAGATTGATCAGAGCGAGCATACAAGAAAGGAATTGGAAGCTGCTCATGTGAAAGCACTGCGCGCTGCTCTAGGATTTCACCAATTTGCAGAAAGGCGGAAACTGTTCACGTGTTTTTCTCTTTGCGCAATTTGATTGATCAACCGCTCGTGGTCGAGTGGTTGTAAGCCACTTTTACCTGTGTCAAGTGCCTTTAACAAGAAAACATATGACACAAATGTTGATTGGGTCATGGCAACGCAACTAGCCTAGCCTGCACGCAGACTCGACTGGTTCTCCAAGAGATGAATTAAGTTGCATGGAAAATTTAGGGTTTGTCTTCTGAATGAAAATTTT